CGTTCCGGTGCGCCAAGCATCTGCAGCGACGGCCGGGCAAGGCCGTGTGATTGACCGCGAAGCGCGCTCCGAGGCGCTGCGGGATATGGGACGCAGTGAAAATGTGCGCATGGAAGGCTGGAGCCCACGGCGACTGCAGACTGTGCGTGCGTACGCAGAGAGCGTGGCGAGCGGGCGGTCCTCGACGCCTTCAGATAGCGATAGCAACCGCAGCGGCAGCGCAGCCAGTATTAGGAATGTCGGGAGTGGTGGGAGCAGTCTCAGGAATGTCAGTATGAGAGATGCTGGTGGGAATATCCGGGAGATTGAAATCCCGCCCAAGAGCCCGCTTCGAGCTGATCATGGGCGGGGTCCTAATCCCGAACGCCTGAGCTTCGGCTTGAATAATGCTATTAGCAATGCGGTTGGGATGAGTCCGGGCGGTTCCTCGAGACAGAGATATCAGCTGGTAGATGATGTTATGAGGGAGAGGATCGATACGGTGCCGGTTATAGATGTTCCAGTGCAAAGCCAGTTTGGGAAAGGGCCGCCCAAGAAGGTGTCAGAGTTGGAGTAATTCTAGAAGCTCGTGTATAGTTTTTCTTGTCTTCCGTTTGCATATATTCTCGGGCAATGGAGTTTGGAAGGGAAAGAAAGGCAAGGCATGGGATGGCGTACGGGTGGATGTACAAATCTTTGATACCCTTCTACACACTCTATTAGAGTAATTTTTATTTTATCCAAAATCAATTAGACATACCTGAATATCCTTAAGAATTCTTCTATTTTTTGATTCATGCATTCATACCTGATTTCCACAGTCTATTCGGTTTACTCAAATGCCAAGCAAGGCACCTTTGGTGGTCTCTGCCAACTGAACCCTCCACAGCTTCTGCTCATTGCAAAGGAACAATTCGCCTTCCTTCCCAAAGCAGAAATTGGCTACACCACCTGGGACGATCATCCTCCCAATAAGACTCCCAGCCGGATTCCAAACCTCGACTCCATCACCGCAGCCAGCGTATACATTACCATAGACGTCACATTTAATACCATCCGGGACACCAGAGGCAGCAAAAGCAAACGTCCGGCGATTAACAAGAAAAGGAGCACCATCCTTAGTCTCAACATCAAAAACATAAATCGTAGCCGGTCTACCATCCCAAATTAGCATTTACTCCTCTCCTCTACTCAATCCAGATCGAAAAACAAAACTCACCTCGTAAAATCCTTTGTCCCATCCCCATGAATCAACCCCGTATCCGTAACATAGAGCCTCGTCTCCCCTACGCCGAAACAAATCCCATTACACCGATCGAACCCCTCAGCCACAACCCGCACCTCTCCACTCCCCACATCATACCGGTAAACCTGGCCCGGCAACTCTGGCCTCCGCCGAAACCCCTGCTTGTACCCATAAACGGGGTCCGTGAACCAGATGCCGCCGTCCACCGCACTCACCACGACATCATTCACGCTATTGAAATCGCGCCCGTAGAAATTCGTCACGATGGGCTGAGGGGGGGAGTGGAGCGGCATGTAGTATAGGCCTCCTGTTTTGGGCGAGGGCGAGCCTTGCGCGCAGAAGAGAATGCCGTCTTTGTAGTTCACGCCGCCGTTCGGCATGTCGATACCCGGCGGGGGACGCAGTTTCGCCCATTGCAGGCTGGCGATGTCGTTGGAAGAAGTTTCGGAGGAGCGGGTGAGCTTTATGCGCGAGATTAGGATAGTGGGGTAGGCGGAGGAGGTGTTGGCGCTGAGGAGGTTGGAAGTTATGTAGAGTTCGTTGAGGGCGGGGAGGTAGACGCAGGCTTCGTGGAAGAAGGGGTTATTGGTCTGGTTGGTGGTGCTGAGGAGGAGGGAGTGCGTTGGGGGAGGGTCCGATGAGGGTTCCGAAGGAGTGGTGGTATACTTGGATCAGGAGTTCGTCTTTGGAGGAGGAGGATGGGCTGGGTTGTATCAGAGGGGTCCATGGATGTGGGGGGAGGGGGGCACACTTGACTGTGCCATTACTTTCGGCCACGCGATCAATTACCTGTGATTATAAATATTCTGCTATGCTATGGACATCTGCATAGCTTACCTGGACCTGTGTGGCAATCACAGGTATATCTGTGGTTGTTATAGTCGTCATATTGTTTGGTATTGAGGGGTTGTTGAACAAGATGTGGAGAAAGCGTCCCAGCCAAGCAAAAGGAATAAGTCTTGGGAAGAGCGCCGAATCGTCAACAATTGAGAATTTACCTACATCAGTCCTGGGTGACAAATAGAAGACATTAAGGGCTAATATTTGCCTGTGCCACCGATCTTGAATCCTGTGATCTTTAGTTGTTCACGCTTTTCAACGGGGATTTGATATAGATAACAGCGATTTTTGACTAAATTGTACGCGGTCACGTGAACACGTATATGAGAGCCTGCGTTGGTGGAGAAAGTTCCCCAAGACTTCATGAATGTGATCTCCGAAAGGAAAGATCTTATATCATTCAGCTAGAGTATTTTCAACAATCGAAGCTCTCTCTCTGTCCTTAATCAGAGCTTAGTTATCGTTCAGGGCCAATACTAGGAGTAGTTGCGCCTACCTAATCTGGTCTAGCTCAAGGGCCAGCGCTGATTATTTAGCCACTCTTCGGACAATTCTGTGTTCTTTAGACCTCAATAAAACCATCATTTTGGCGTTCTGCTCTATTTGAGGGCATTAGGTTTTACCACGGACAGAAAGACATCTATGACCATCTCTCAGTTCTTTGCTGGCTCCTTTGCGTCGCCTCATCTTACCAACATGAGTAATAAGTTTCCTTATCTTCAGTATTCGTCGGGAATAACCTAAATGCTTTTCAGAGAAATCTTGCTCTGCAAGAAGCGCGGCCTTACAGCCCCATGGGTGTAAGTTGACGGTTCAGTTTTGAGTTCGATTACAAGAAAATAGGAATGAGTAATGCGACCAACTAACATCAAGATGATGAAGATGCTGTTTTTTCATGCGGTAGACTGAACTCAACTCAACTCATTCTACATGCTGTTTTTGTTTTAAGCGAGGTAGGCGCGCCCCCTTTTTTGTTCTTGTTCATATACCTTTGTAAAAATAAACATAAAGTACCCTTTGTGTGGGGAATGGGCATGGAAGGTTTCACTCAAGGACACCCGATATTTCAAATTAGTTACGACATTATACATTTTCAAGTCCACCTTGCACGAGGAACAGATCACTTTATTATAAATTCCTGGTAAGTTGTAAAGTCGAAATTTTATAGCCTTCTCATTTATTGGTTAAAAGGACAAACGCCCAGAAGGAGTGGATGGCGGATTCTCAAATCATCCGCCCTCTACATCCCAGTACCCAAGTCCTGTTCTTTTTCGTCCAATCTCATGGCCAATCCCCATATTCATACTTGAGCCATTCTTCTCTGGCCCTCTCTGCGTTCTCTCTTTCTTGCTGAGCACGGAGGCTGGCTGCTTGTGCTTCATTCCTCAAGCCTTCCGAACGTCTTAGAAGTTCCTTCACCTCGCGCTTACGATTGTTCTCAATTTTCATTCGCTGGTACATGGCCTGATAGAGGTCCACAACAAAGTGTAATTGTCCTAGTGGATCTTGTCGCATGCTGGCTAAGATCAGATAGGCTGCCGCTCTAGTGGCACGCGGGGTCTCGCGGCCGTCAATAAGTTCGTTGCAGATACTTTCGCAGGCGTGGATGTCCTGAGCCTCGAGGTACTCTTTGGCGGTTTGCAGGGATAGTGTCTCTACGTCGTCATCTGCGGTTGTTCTGCAGGCGTAGGCTTGAGCCCGAAGAGCGAGTTCGGCGACTGTGCCTATGGGTTCAGGTTCCGGATCCATCATTTTGATGTTGTGGTGCGGTGTTGTGATGTTGTGATGTGATGAAGGTGTTGATACGAAATGGCACCATGCTTTATTTCGTGGGTAATATAGAGATTGGGTTGTATTTGTTTACAAGTTGTATTATTGAAAAGCTGTTGTTGTATGATTGTTGTGCTTTGTTCACATTGTTGAAAATGATAAAAATTCCTTTGAGTTATATGAAATATTATATGTCCTTAACATGAAATGTAATGAAAAGTATAGTGACCCTTTATAAGCTAATATGCGCTCGAAACCTTTTTAAGCAGATAAAACAACAGGTCTAAAGTCAAGGCTTCTTGATCAGACCACTGCAGAACTAGCCCAAGTGTTTAAAAGCGCCATCTTAACATGTAAATAGAATTACACCCCCTGAAATTGCTGTGAATTACCGGCAACTAAATTTCTATCTCAAGTGTTCGAGTGTACTTTGAGTGACAGATGCCTTTTCCTGCACTGCTAAGCGAGTTTTGGCGACACATCTTTAAGACTTTAGACGAGAGAGATGAGGCATGACAATGTTAAACGTCCTATGGTTATAAAGTCATGCTTAGAAGTTACTATAATTGGGCACATTTAAAGTGCTAAAATTAAAGGACTTGAAATATTCCAGGGCTGTCACAGGTTTCTCCAAGACGCTCTATATTTCCTCATTTCATGCAGCAAGATCAGATATATACACTTACTCGACCTCAGTCAAGATTGTGATGATTCAAATGAATTTCCCTTGGAAGTTTCAGCCGTCCGAGGGCGTTTGCTCATCGATCGTCCTTCACGCTCCAGCTGCATTTCCTACCATTCATGCCATGCTACCCCCTTCCTCCGCAAAATTGACCTTCCGTGCACCTTGATCGGCAGCACTAACTACTCTGAGGTTCCTCATCAGTATCCCAATTAACAACAGATAACAATGTACTCACCTTGTAATTCCCATATCCCATCCCCTCTGTCTTCATCGGTGCCATCTCTCTAAAAGCCTCAGCCAAGTCATGTCTTGCTTTCTCCAGACCATCCCGCGCGCGTCTGTCTTCGGGTTTCGCGGCAATAGCCTCTTCATAACTCTGCACGGCCTCATGTTTATGATGTGCGGCCTGGTACGCGTATAGAATTGCAATAATGCAATGCGCTCTAGCTTCAACGAGAGGGTTGACCCGCTTTGTGTTAGGATCGTCGATGAGTCTGAGCAGGATGGCGAAACATTGTTCGGTGTTGTTTGCTCGGAGGGCGTTTTGAGCCTCGGTCAGGCGCTGCTCGTAGAGCTCGGGTTGTTCGGTAGAGGGTTGCTTAGGTTGGGAAGACATTTGTGTGCTTGATTATCAGGGGTTGAGGCTTCTCTTGGAAGATTGAAAGAGGAGCCTGTGTGTAAAGCTGACCGGATTGGTGGTTTTATATCACGGGGGTGGTGAGCTAGAGTGCTTCTATAATTGCTTTAATAAAAATATTAACTCGTATAGATACTACCCAAGATATACATCATTAAAGTGGGTATAACTTCACGTGATAGCTATATGACGTACGCTTTTGACTCTTTGTGTATTTATTAAGAACCTTTTTCCACATTTTTGCTATTTCTCTAGCGTTTTCTTTATTGATATAAGGGTATCTACCTCAGCCCTTGACTAGGCTTTGAACTTAAATAGCCAAGTTTATGTCTTCGACTTATAGCCGAGTCAGAGTTTAAGTTTCTAAAAATAGCTTAAACTCGACTCGAACTCGGACTTAGCTAACCTTATATCTAGTCACAGAAGTTCATTCCTCGCTATTTGACTAGGAGGTTTGAAAACCTCATTTTACAGATTGGAATTCCCATTGCTGTGAACCTTGATTTTTAACTGCCACACAAGACCAAGTGGTAGTTTGCAAGGGTTGGGCTGGGACTAAGCACATATGGTATTAAAAACCTAATAACTTCACGAGACGTAGAAGATGAGGTTCGTTTATATTATCATAGTTTTTCTAAACGCTAAAGACAAGTGCTAAAAATAAAATATCAGCTCGAGACAATAATAGAATCCAGACGAGCTTGCGAATTGGTGAAGTGAAAGAGTTTAGAAAGTCACTGGTCAATGCAGTACCTATCACAACATTTAGGGTAGAACCATAATCTTTACACCAGCATTCAATTCAGGTCAGTTGATTGCAATGAACAGTATTTATCTTCCATCCTTTAATCAGTGAATATCCAGTAAGTGAATTTCACATGAAGCCGTTACGATATCTAGTTACTCCCATCTCCATCCTCATCCACGCCGCATTATTTAACAGCCCAAGAACAACCCCCACGAAACACCGCCCCCACAACATCAAGAACTACTTAAATATCTCACACCAAATGGCGAATCCACCAAAGCCCAGCGCACCCCCAACATCTCCAATGACACAACCAGCCATCGCGGACAAAATCGAAGATGCCATCAAAGCGCTAAAGGCCAAAGACTTCGCCCACTGCCAACACCTCTGCCGTTTTATCCTCGCACTTTCAAACCTGCATCTAGTGAATAGAACCAGAGTGCATCTTATTTTCGCTGCGTCAATGCCGGCGGAGAAGGCCGTAGAGCATGTTAAAGAAGCTCTGGCTGTTGCTGAGGTATGGAGTTGCATTACGTTGCGTTGAATAGCATTCATTTTCTTTTCAAGCATGTCTCGTAAATTGGGAAGAGGGAAGTTTAGTCTGTTAGAATGTCAGAGTACGAGTGCTGGGTTTATTGATGTTTTTGGCGAGGAAGGAAAACCGATTTACTGATTCTTTGTTTTTCTTCGCAGTCATATAAAGCCACTACAGGAAAGGTGGAATATGAGTCCATTCTGTCTGGCTTGAGAAATGCGCTGAGGCAGGCGGAGATGTTAGCGGAGAAGAAGCCGGAGAGGGTCTGGGGTGCTGGATGGGTTTACTTGGATGATGGTACTGATAGCGAGGATGAAGAGCTGGCTGGAGAGGATCCTACGACTCCGAGCACGGTGAACACTTCGAATGATGAGCTTGAGGATTGAGACTGATGGCCTACAGGATGGGAAGGCTGAGAAACATGTCAAATGGGCGGAGGATTTAGAGCTTTGAAGTGCTTGGAAGCTACGGTTGTTATGATATTGGATGGAAGATTGGAGTTATGGTCATTGAGATTTGTTAGCTTCAGGATGGAGATAATGCTGTTTGCCACTGGTGCCGGGCCAAGATATAATCATTGGACAAGCTTTCAAATTCACCGTTGATTTGTAATAAATATACTAATGAACAAGGCAAATGAACAACCAGCAGCACTCATAAGTGACACCTGACTTTTCCCCTCTCTATCCTCAGTGATCCACATCTAATCTCGAACCGCAATAACCTCAACTCCCACCCCCAACAACAAGCAACGATGAACCAACTATTGCAAGCATTTGTCTTACCCCACAATACTCCAGGTTTATTCCCCAGTCTTCCTCCCAAGCACAAACCACACTCTCACACCCACAAACTCTCCATCCTCCCGACAGCTAGCCAACACAAGAACCCCAAAAGCTACTATAACTATACATTCCATCAAAATGGCCCAACCACGCCTCCCACCTCACCCTCCTAACAATCGCCGTAACTTCCCTCACAACACACGCCTACGCGCTCACCCAATACATATGCCGCATGCTGCTCTCAGACGCAGAGCTGAGCCCCGCGCTACAGGCAAAATGCTATCTCGTGCTATGCGGGACACCAATGGAGGAGGCTGAGAAGATACGGTGTTTGGAGAAGGCGGTGGGGATGTTTGGACCGGAGGGAAGATTGAGGTTTGTGGGGAGGGATGTGGGGGAGTTTGAGGGGGTGTTGGGACTGTTGAAGGGGAGGCTGAAGGGGCTTGAAGCGAGGGGGGTTGAGGTGAGAGGAGAAGGAGATGAAGGGTTGGGGAGTAACGTGAGTTTCCGATTCTTGGTCCTGTAGGTTAGTATTGATTTGGATATAGGCTGGAGCACCGGGCAACGAAAGTTGCGATTTGTAGCAAGTGAGGTGGGAAACAAACGAATGGTGTCGCTATATGGAATGTATGAGGTCCGCTTGGCCGATCTTCCTGGAAAGTGAAGAGAGAGAATTGAAGGGTGCGATATATGAGTATATTCCATGTACATGCGGGAGTGATTGACTCACAGCTTCATATGAGCAACTTTGTACTGTAAAGGAGGCGCAGACAGGTTTGTGTGAAAGCTCGGAGATTATCAACCAAATATAGCTGTTTAAATTGTATATAAAGATACCTTGCAGCCATTCAGATTCTTAACCACCAACTTCACATCTTCCGTCCAAGCCCTATCATCCCGACTCTCTATCCTTGCAAACTTCCCAGCCATCCTTGCAATGATATATGAAGCTTCACCCAGTTAAACGCAGAAGCTAATTAAAGCAAACATAGGTATCCGCCCCTGCCTTATACCCCCAACATCTCTAGCTTCAGAAAGCATGCAAGCCTCGTGGTTACTAGTTAGGCAACGAACGTAGGCAGCATTGCTGACAAGGCATAGATACCCAACAGCCTTACCGGTCTCTACATCGGGGCAACCTACTGTGGCCAAATATATTAAAGTTCGATGCGTGGTCAAATCAGCATCTCGACCTGGAATGATGTTGGAGGAAGAGATGGTCTAGAATTTCAGATGAAGTGAAAGAAGCTATGGCCACTTTTTTTTTTTTTAGCTGATTTTCTCCACATTTCAGCCTTCTCATCCACCCTGTTGCCTTGCGGTGGATACAGAAAGCGGCACTCACAACCCCGGCTTTCAAAGTGCCACCGGTCCGGTGAATGCTAGTGCCGCTTTTATCGTCCACGGCGAGGCTGCTACTGCAAACCTCGGCATGACTCTCTCGATTGCTCCTCCCATGGCCAGCTGAGAAGGTGCAAAGTTACCTGATCTGATGGTGGATGCTATAAGTAGATAGGAGAGAATATATTGCCCCGTCCCAATATCTCTCATCGAGTAAACTTCACTCCCTCTAATGCATACATGCAGCTTTGATATTCTTCACCTTCACCTTCACCTTCACGCCATACGCCTCAGCCTTATTGAATGTACACACCACACCGCCTTCTGCCAATCGCGATAAGAGCTCCTGGTGCTCCCTGCCCTGCCTGATGTACAACACAGCTCTGCATTAGGATATGTAAACATCACACACCCACACATCCATCCAATTCTGTTTTTCTTTTCTCCGTGAAAATTTGCGAAATCATCGTCACACCCAGATCCTGCAGCTTTACTCTTCAAAATCGTCACTCGTACTCCCTAAACAACCTTTGAACTGAGCACCGTTTGCTCTCCCGTTCTGCAGTCAACACACAAGGTGAGTTGAGTGCCTGCTGACCGTCTCTTTCTCCTGTCACAATACAAGGCCGCGTCTTGTGATTCCGCTTTCTCAGAAACTCACACGGTCCCATCTGCATCTTTACATACCTTTCACCGCCCGCCTAGCATCCGCTCCCAGGTGCAGATCTTCCGGGTCTTACTTGTAGCTTCCTGCTGACGCGAATCTGCATGGTAGCCCCATCAACCTCATCCTTGGAACTACCAAATTCACACAAAACTACCTAACAGCCCCACTCTGAGCTGTTGTGAATGCACCCGATCCGATCTCCTATTTAATCATCGGTCCTTCGACCCCTTCGACCGTTGAAATCGTCTTCACCACACAAACCCTTCTCATCCGCAACCATGGATACCCCGAATACCCAGAGCGAACAGGTTACCGAGAGAGAGGGGGCTGTTTCTGCAAATGGAGAGAGTAACACAAGCGCACAGGTCGATAACAAGGCACGGCAGACATCCGATTCTCCCGTCCAGAAGACCAAATCGAAGAAGTCGAAGTCAAAATCGAAGAAGGCTGGCAAATCCAAGGCTAAGAAGGCCAAGGAGGTTGTGAGTAGTGACAGCGAGGACTCAGATACATCTAGCGATTCAGAATCGGATGATGATGAATCTTTGAGCGACTCCGACGAGGACTCAGAGACCGAGACTGAGAAGGAAAAGAAGAAGCGAAAGGCGAAGAAGAAGGCTAAGCAAAAGGCAAAAGCTAAGGGCAAAGCTAAGGGCAAGCGTAAGGCAAAGAAGGGGGTAAGTTTATTCATAGCAACTCGATTGTATATGCTAACAATCTTTTCAGGCATCATCAGACTCCGATTCATCTGATTCAGATGAAGACTCAGAGACAGAAGAAGAGGCCGAAATCGACGATGAAGTGTCTGATCCCAACGCCGAGCTTTCACAACAACTCTTGTTGCAACAGATGCAGCAGTTACAAGGCGGCTTGGGAGGCGCAGGTGGTCTAGGACGAGACTGGATGGGCGGTCTTGGCGGAGCAGGCAACGGTCGACAAATAGTTCCTGGCGGTGGACCCCGATCTGCTGCTCGTCTTCAAGCTGCGAGAAATGCCGCTATGTTGTCCCAACTTGACGGTTTAGGGAAGAAGTCGAAGAAGGATAAAAAGGAAAAGAAGGGTAAAAAGAAGCGTGCTAGCAAGCTAGAGTTCAAGAGAGTTGACCAGTTGTGGGATAGTACTATCCATAACTACAAGCTTACTGATACGGCTGAGGATGAGGAGAGCTCCGAATATGACCAATACCTGTTCAATGTTCGGAGAACTTTTGATTGGGAGGGCAAGTACAAGGTATGTGAAATTCTGCGCTGAGAACAGTTCATTACTTACATATTACTAGACAACCGTAGTTGACATCAAGAGCAAGCTCCTGAAAGAGGCCTTGAATGAGGTGATGGATGGTGTCAAGGGTGTAAGCCTCGTTGAAGAGACCCCAACTATCGACCCCAACTTGCTGTTCCTTTACCTTGAAGACCTCCGAGGAGTATTCAAGGAATTGAAGAATAAGAAGGTTACAGCCAAGAAGGGCAAGAAGAAGCAAAAGAAGCGCAACGAGACCAAGCGGAAGCATCTCAAGGTTTTCATCAAGTACCTCGACAAGGATTATGCATCTACCAAGAAGACTCTTTACCCTATGGTGGAGTCTGGCTTGATTACCTTTGATCTGCTCTGGGCCTTGTACAAGCCAAACACCCTTGCTTTTACTACTACCTATGGTTCTGCTGATGAGCCTCGCGCTTTCAAGATTGAGCTTGCTGAGAAGGAATATAGTTTCATGAAGGGCGAGTGGTACAACATTGAGGGTCGATACCTTGAGTATGACGGCAAAGCATGGGGCATGGGTAAGCTTCTCATTCATCTATTAAGATCAATGGCTATTAACACAATCAAGGTTCTATGGACGTCGATGTCGCCGCATTCAAGGGAGCACGGAAAATTACCAGTTTAGGGTGCTACCCCTTGAAGTATCACAAGAATGAGACTAAGCTCCGATCCGAGCTGATCGAGCGAGGCAAGAAATTCGTTAGTCTCCAGGGCGTCAACTACAGATCTCACGAGGGTCTCGCATACTACAAGAAGAAGCGACAAGTCATCAAAGTCAACATCAACGGCCGAATCATGGTCGACCCTGCGATCCACCGTCGTATCCTGCCAAATTACCAAGTCAGTACTGTCAAGCCAAAGGACCCCGATCTGCTGGAATCGGATGATGAGTCTGATTCTGACGGTTGTGGCTGTGAAGACTCTGATGATGAGCAAGGTGGTCATAACATGGAAAATTACGAGCACGACAAAGACGATGATAGGCCCAAGATGAAGCTGAAAGTTGTTCTTGATGACAAAGAGGAGCCTCACATCGTCGAAGTCCCTGTTGATGTTGATGGCCAAGAGATTTCCGTCGAGAAGCTTGAGGAGGTTCCTAGCAAGATGGTCAAGACCAAGGATGGCGAGGCTGTCACTTCTGAAGAGGACAAGAAGGCTCTTCCCACATTTACTGACGAGGAGTACTTAATTGCTTCCCCTGTTGTCCTTGGGTTTGCCTTCGCTGAGAAGCTGTGGCTTGAGTTCACTGTCTCCGGCGTCAAGGATATTGTGTGGAATGAGGGTGCTTATGATTCGCTGGTCTTGGAGGACAACACCAAAGCCATCGTTAAGGCATTGGTCGAGTCGCACAAGTACCACCCAGCTGAGAGCATCGACGATGTCATTCAAGGCAAAGGCAAAGGTCTCGTTGCAGTCCTGCACGGTCCACCAGGTACAGGAAAGACTCTCACGGCAGAGGGTATCTCCGAACTTCTGAAGTGCCCACTATACATGGTCTCCGCTGGTGAACTGGGCACGGATCCTCGAACTCTCGAGGCTGAGCTCCAGAAAGTAAGCTCTCTACCCATCTCATTCACATGCAGAAATGCTAATAACTCTAGATCCTCGATATAGCCCACGCCTGGGGCGCCGTGCTCCTCCTTGACGAAGCAGATGTATTCCTCGAAAAGCGCACAATCCAAGACATTCACCGCAACGCGCTCGTCTCCATCTTCCTACGCCTCCTCGAATACTTCCAAGGCATTCTCTTCCTCACCACCAACCGCGTCGAGACCTTCGACGACGCCTTCCAGTCACGTATCCATATCGCTTTGCGTTATGGAGAACTAAGCGCGAAGGCGAAGAAGAGTGTTTTCAAGATGTTTATTGAGAGGGTCAGAGTGCTGGAAGGCGTGGAGACAATGCCATTTACAGACGAAGACTTGAGTACGCTGAGTAGGAATAACTTGAATGGGCGACAGGTAAGACATCATTCTCCTATTGCTCTCTAGAAACTTTATTTGGACGATGCTGACAAAAAGCGACACAGATCAAGAACACAATCCGCACCGCCCAAGCCCTTGCCGTAAACAACAACGAACCCCTCAGCATGTCACACATCAAGCGTGTCCTGGACGTCTCGAACGCTTTCGATCGGGATCTGAAGGGTGGCCCGGGTTTCGAGGATGCTATGCGTGGATACTTCTGAGAAGCCTTTTCTTCTATCACATTAATGACATTCTTCCTCCTGCTCGCTCCTCAATTCATACATGTCTTTTGGATTTTGGGAGCGGGAGTGGAAATGGAAGTGGGAGCGTGCATGCATGCATAAGAGTGTATTTACGTGAGATATGATAATACGATGGATGGCATGACATAACATGGATGCATGTGGTACTTATGGGCATGGCGTTCTTACCTTTAGTTAACTAGTGGGCAGGGCACTAAGGTCGTAATAAAGAATACTCTCATGTCTAACTGCCCATTGTGAATGTGGCTCTTTGGCTTCTGATGATTTGGCTCTGCAGGAGCTTTAGTATTCTCCGAATCATCTCAACTCCTATCGTGTTACAGTCTTTTCTGCACAAAGACCATCCATCATTCAACCCTTACGCTCTACACTCTTTATTATGCTTCCCTACCTATGCTAGACATCAAAACCGACACTTGTCACATAGGTACTACTCGGCTTCACTCTTAATAAATGAATAATATCCCATGCTACCCAGCATATTATGAACCATACTATATTTCGTTTTTCTCTTTCTATAGAGTAGAGACGGCCGTAGAACAAACACTCCGTATAGAAATTAATAACCTTGCATATCTATCTATTTTACCTAAATGGTGAGTAATAGGTAGGTAAGGTAGATAGTGCTTAGATAGATTCCTTAGCGCTATGGAGTAATCCGCCCCCGTTTATGCATATCACATCACATCACGAAAAAATTCTAGGCCTCTAGCGTAGACTTTGGAGGCTTGGGGTCTGGAGAAGAGAGGGCGGTTCATTTTGTACTTCATGAATTGGCAACTATGAATACAAAAGTCGAAATCTAGGGTGTAGTAAGCAAGCAGCGCTATTTATGTGCTGTCCTGTCTATCCTTCACTCTAATGTGCTCCGTCCGGGCATTTATTTGCCAGGGTTCTCGGCAACGAAGGAAACGCCCTTGACGATGTTCTGTGAGGGGGAGATTATTAGTATGTAATGGTTAGATGAGGAGGCAATTTAGGATTAAGGTTAAGGGTATTTGTAAGGGTGAACATACCTTCTTCAAATCCCCCAAGGCAGCATCCAACAACTTCTGCTCAGTAGCATCGATCTTTCCAACATCGAGAATCTTCTCCACACCGTTGGGGCCCAGCTCAACCTTGCTGGCGAAGAACTCAACACCTTGGTCCTTGTACAACGGGCTGTCTACGAAAGTAGGCTCAACAACGCCCTTCACGCCCTGCGCAGCCTTCAACAGGCTCTCCGCGAACCGCGCACCGGCCATCGCCATCGACAGGGTAGCGGATCCGGCACCATCCTTTGCCTTGACAACCTCATCACCACCGAATTGCACGCGCTGGAGCAGTTCCGGGTTGCCGACTAGGTCGGGGTGGCTGGACTGGGAGAACAGTGGGACAATAGTAACACCCGAGTGGCCTCCCACAACGACGATTTTCTCGTCCACGGGATCCGTGCTCTTGATCTCGCTGACGAAGCGGCTTGCGCGCACAACATCCAGGGTCGTGACACCGAAGAGACGCTTTGGGTTGTAGACACCTGCCTTCTTGAAGATCTCGGCGACGATGGGCACGGTGCTATTGACTGGGTTCGAGATAACGAGGATGTTGGCGTCAGGGGCAGATTCGGCGGCTGCCTTTGCTAGGTCGCGCACGATGGATGCGTTGGTGTTGAAAAGGTCGTCGCGGGTCATGCCTGGTTTGCGGGGGACACCAGCGGGGATCAGCACGATTTCGGCGCCCTTGAGCGCGGATGCGAGGCCGCTGGGTGTGGGCTCGTAGCCGGTTACTTTGGATTTGGTGTTGATGTGGGAGATGTCTGCTGCGACACCTGGTTTATCAAGAATCAGTATGTAGCTACTAACCAGGGCTTGGAGAACGAACCTGGAGCTCCGCGGATATCATAGACTTGGGAATAAAGTTAGTATATTTGTATTCGAGGCATGGAAGGGTTTCCGCGTACGAGCAAGGTCAGAAACTCTGGGGTTGAGCTTGAGGAGAAGAGACAGTGGCTGTCCGATTCCACCGGCGGCGCCCAGAACAGTAACTTTCGATAACTAGAATAGACCATCATTAGCATTTTTTCTGCAAGGAACCCCCGTGGTGAAGAAAAGTATATCCCATCCCTGAACTTCCAATTGAAGCTCCATTCTCCCGTGACGGAATCATCAAGCTCTGTTCTGTTGGGAATTCTTACATCTCTCGCGCTGGCTGAGAACGCTCTCGCCTGAATGGCGCCCGACAATGCTCTTCGTGCAGCAAACATTATGGCTAGTTTTCAATTTCGTAGATGTTCAATTGAGGCGTAGAGGAGAGGAGAGAAGTAGACAGAATATGTGATATGTTATGCGGAAGAAAACGGACGGATGGGTGCTCTGAATTTGGAGGTGTTAGTAAATTTACCGGAGTGGAGCCGATCTCGCGCTAAGATGGATTTAGTCGGAGGTCAGGTGCTGGCAGGGGGTCTGGATATAACGGCCACTTGAGACGACATGTCTTCTTTTGCTGCTTATTATGCTTGGATTGCGTGCTTTGGACTATGTAGACGCTCAATGTATACATACAATGATTTGCTTTCCTCCCATTCTTCGTACTTTGTTTGTATCATTGTCTCTGCCCAAAAGCAAATCCCTCGGCACCGTCCATGTGTCACATATTACTCATGCCTTATCCTCGTTTTCGTTCTCCTTGTTTTCATCAGTCTATATATACGAAGTCAGTTTCTGTCTTTACTGGCACATTATCAAGTTTCTCACCTTGATTCCGACCACCTCTACATTGTCCTCGACCTCGTCATTCTTCCCTTCCTCCGCTTCTCTATTCATCTCGTTTTGAGCACCCTTGACCAACTCCGTGACTCTATCAGCAAAGCTTTGATAGTCTCCGTGGCCCAAATAGCTCGATGCTTTCTTCACAGCCTCATGTAAATGGACAATGCTTCTCTGGCCACGGGTGCTCGTACCCACGATGATATGCGCTGCGACTTGTAGTGCGATGGGTAGACTAAGCTGTTCGAGTAGAGTTGTGGCAATCTTGCATGAGTCGCTGAAGTCGCGCTTCGTCAAGGCATCTCTAGCAGCTTCGAGACGAGCACGGAAGTCTTCGGCCTCGCTGCGGGTAGCTACGGGGACAGCGGACCTGATGATACCAGTGGAGGGGTAATACGATGTGTCGTCGGGGATCGACATGGTTGCGAGAGGCGTTGTAGTGTTATGTGGGTGTTTGTATTGGGTAGGTGGTTCAGCTCTGGATGATGTGGATTGCGTGATGGAATGTTGTGCTTGTTGTGCTTGTTGGTGTTGAAGGCAATGTCTAGAAGGATTTGTTTTCTTCCGAGGCCTGCCTATGGCTCATTCACTTCTTGTACCATCATTGTCTGAAAGTCAGTGGGTCTTTTTGCCGCACAGTGGAGCAGTGTATTTTGGTTTATGTGAATTCCCAGAAATCTCAAGTTTGAAGACTTGGGATCTTCAAAGTATTGCTGCTTTGTTAACTCGTGTCATTCTGGTGCATTCCGCATTTTCTCTAATGTTGCTCAAATCCAAGCTTAATTATCCAGCGATTCTCCTATTTTTCTTCTCTTGCGTCATCTTCCATTGCCTTTTATTTCTCTTCCTCTTGCCACTGTTCTTCCGCAACAGCATGCTTAGAACCTTATCTAGCAGATCTACCACTCTAATCTGCGAAGTACCGATCCATATAACCCAGCGTCTCGAGTCATCTCCTTGGGACATCTTATGGGCATCGCTTTTCGACAAATGAAGACTCTCCTTGGAAATATTTATTGGTTCTCAACCTTTAATATCTTGTCTGATAGTTTGGGGTGCCGAAAGGGGCTTCTCTTCCATGAGCTATCATGACCGTCCAATAATCCACTAAATGCCCTTCTTTGTTTCATTCCTCGGTGTTTTCTATGATAGTATTAGTGTCGGCAAAAGAGACCTTGAAATTACGGGATGGGCCGCTCTTCATGGATGAAAAAACTATCGGAATAGACAATCGAGTTTTGGTACCTTAATTCCGACAGTTTCTTCATCCACGAAGAGGGGGTGTTAGCCCCTGAAGTTAGTCATGCTTAGCGATTATCCACTTATTATTGCGACGGGTGGGACATTATTTAAAGGGGCTCGTCTCGTACCTTCACAAATTTTGGAATCGAATGCGGTATTACCAGTAGGACGTGTCAACAAGAAGAGTCCGGCGTTGGCGAATTATGGGGCCGGATTACCCAAATGAGCAAAGAACATTTAACTTTTATGCAAGGCTCCGAAATTAATAACAAATCTGACTCGCCTCCAAGTTTAATTTACTGTGGAACAAGGGAAAGAACCATAAATTTGGAGTTAAACTTAGACTTTCCTACCCTTGCCAGCATGGTCTTGCATTGGAAATTACTTATAGTACTTTACAGCAGAAGCTCTTCACGTAGAACCACTGTTATAGAGATGACTAATGAATGTTGTTGGACTTATGTGTGTTGCAATGTGTCTGTCTGTATTGAAGAAGGTGAAGTGTCAAGTACGCTACGAAATCAGGTTTTGAGTGCCTGGTGACATATCAAATAATCCAACAAATTTGGTGTGATTTAGGTAGGAAGAGAAATCAGGGATCATCATGAGAATCTTCATTATCCATTCCTATCCATCGATGCGAAGAGCTGACTTTCTCCTAGACGCAACATAGATATTGTAATGAACGACTTAAAATCGAAAACTTAATTCACCCATTAATATCAAACGTGTGACATGTGCAGTCTTACTCCCCATACACATCCTGGTAACCCAAAAGACAATCCTTAGAGCTTGACAGCCTCAAAGACGACAGGAAAACAATCCTTCAATCGCACTCGGCACCATCAGGCAGTCAACTAGCACCTTCTTTTATAATGATAAATAATTTCGAACTCTTTGTTACATTCTGGATTGAGGAACTACAGGCTCGCTTTTGATTCGGTCCGTAACTTTGAGGTTATTCCTATCTTCCTTTTCTATACTTTGAGCTTTCCTATTTGTCGTTGTCTTAGGCAATGAACCCCTTATGTTGATGCTCTACCGACCATGACACTCTTGAGGTGATACAAAACACTGATAGGAGTCAGCTTGAACTGCTGCAACTGCACCCCTTCCGGTTTCGGAAACAGCGCAGCAGGAAAAGCCCAGACTGGGGTTGACCAAAACAGCAGAAACGCCACGACCCAAAAATAGCCAACGATTCGAATCCATAGAGGTGGTAACCTGTCACTGCGGACTTTGCCAGTAAGAGAGCGATACATGGCTTGCACTCCATCTTCCAGTAGTATACCAATCACCTGTGTACAAAAAAAGATCCAGGGTCCATATGGATGGACGGACACTGGGCCACCAAGTTCATAGATGGAGTGCATGGCGCCCGAGATGAAGAACACCAAAAATATCTTGCTATATCGAGAGATCAAGGATCCTTTCGGTAGATTCAAAAAATCATCAGCGATATAATTAGCGGGACCAGTATTCATCTTGCGAGTGAGCTGATGCCAAAACTTCCTAAATTCCCGTAAGCAATCACTTCTAACCAAGGTAAAAATGCTACTTACCCCCAAAAACCTCTGATGGTATACGCTTCTGATAGCGATCCCATAACAGGCCGCCATTCCGCCACCTCACTCAACCCGGATCCCACAGCAATAATCGCAACAGATGAATACAAACAACCCAGAATGGCGTAAACCATGACCCAGAATACAAACGACACAATGGTACGGATGAAGACCTCCTCAATCGATATCTCACCCAGCCGTCTGAAAACTGGTATTGAGCGCAGTGCAAATACCTCGTCCGCATTTGGAGAAGCAGGTTGGGATTCAATAAGATCAAGGACCAAATAGCAAGCCGCGAATCGTAAGACTGTCCAGACGAGGAATTTCGCCCGTGAAGGGACATAGTCATGATCATTTTCAGAAAAGTACGGACAATTTTTGACCTCGAAAGGCTTATTTAAATCTCGGTTCGATATCGTGCTGTTGAAGCCAAAGCAGAGCCGTTCCCAAGTCGTGCCCTCTTTCCCTACGCCGTTCGTCATTCTTTTTTCAAGCAGCGAATTCGGACCCCGTGCCTTAAAGTTCCATTGACTCAGAAGGCCTATTTCGATATAATTCAGCATAAGTGACATGCCTTGAGCAGATAAGATGGCTGCCCATGGTATCCGCATGTAGTTTTTTGCATTAGTGAGAATGCTGTATGCGCATCCTACTATGAATGGTAGGACCGCTAGACGGATGATGGAAGATGGTTTAACAAATCCCAGAATGAGAATAACGGCAACCATCTCTAGGATAAAAGCGACAAAGGGATTGGTGGTATTGAAAAGATCGAGGTAGTCGACCGCCATAATGTGAGTTGATCAAGTGATGTTGGAGGAACAAAAGTTGTTTAGGAAGCGGCGAGCTTTATCTTGCGGTTCGATGTCTTAAAACTCCTAGACCTGTGCGAAGTCTCCTCTTTTCAATGCAAGAGCTACCTCTAGCGCCGGCGCGCATTACTACGAGTAGGCACCAGGTGTCACCTAGTGATCCCCGGACCCATTCATCCAGGTGTGTCGACCGGACTTCCCAGCACTTAGCTTAACGCCAAGAATTATAGATATTCTCTTGCATACCCCTTCAGAACTTTAAGAAATACGTGTCGATTGAGCTTAGTATGGGTGTATTATAGTGCTATAGCAGGTTTTGGTGCAATATTATATGCACTATTATAAGAATAATATAAATATTGAGAAGTGTTTCTGCATACCTTTATAGTAGGCCGCCAGCTTTGTATCATAGGAATTATATGATTTTATGATGTATCATTAAGCTTCAAACCCCCTTGCTTCAAAACTCAAATATTTCTTGCGAGCAAGCTTCTCATGGCGGCAGTTCAGAATGTTAGCACTAAGTTTCGCATGTTGGCAGCCTACTGTATGCCAAGAAGCCTCGCTAAATACCGCCTCCCCCTTTTCCTAAACGATTACCCACATCTCAACACGAGTTCTTGAGTTGATATGTTCCGGTTTATTCGTGAATGTAGGAGATTCATGAATCTCCTAGTTCATTCATAAATATTAGCGCATTCACGAATAAACCAGTTCATTCATAAATATTAGTCTAGATTCACATATATCCTAGTTCACTCGTGAATCTTAGTCCTATTCACGAATAAACTAGTTTACTCATGAATCCAGTTTACTTATGAATCTACACTAAACCAAAGTAAGCAAGAGTTCACTTTATAGGCAATCCCACACAAAAAAACTCTTTTCTCTTCCTAATCATTCATAATACTACCACTAAACACGACTACCAAAATACCAAAATTTTACTACTTTACTACTTCATCTATTATATTAGATATTCCATCTATAGCTAGTCTATTGCAGCCTAGTAAATAGGGGTGGATTAAGTAAAACTAGTCTAGTTGAAGGGCAAAGAAAGAGTAAAAGAGCTATAGCTAATACTACTAGTAATAATATTAAGTAATAAAATATATTCTTATTCTAAGTGATTAAGATTCACGTATAAACTAGTTTATTCATGAATCATAGCGCATTCACGTATAAACTGGCCAGATTCATGAATGCATTCACGAATAACCTGGCCAGATACTAAAGAAAGTCTAAGATTATACGAAGAAAAATTAATTGTATATAGTAGGTATGATGCTCAAAAGATGGGAATGTGTTTCCCTCCAATTTTCCGAAAGGGCGTATAGAGTTTCGTCGATTATGCTTTACTGCGGAGCAGAAGCATCATTTTCGTCCCGCCCCTGCCTAATATCCTTCGGTATTCTCACAAAATACCAACGCAAGGACAGCCGCCAGTCCCACCATGCCAACACCCAAATACATCGCACTACGATATCCCTTCAAGACATCCTTTACCCTATCATTCGTATACGCTTCCGCCACACCCGCAAACCCAAGTCCGGTACTCAGAGCATAACTCGAGATAGTACCCATCAAAGAACTAGCAACTCCTTGTTGTCTACCCACTGCCATAATAGCGAGGAAAGATACGATTATCACCCAGGCGAGTGAGGGTGCTGTCCAAACGGTCAAGGGGAGGATTGGTTCTTTCGCCAGTTTCCGTTCCCAGAAGACGAAGGCGAGGAAGTGTAAAATCGACACAATGAGAAGAACGTATTCAATGGATAAGCTGTGCACCGGTAAACAGGAAGTGAGACTTTGTACTTGTAGAAAGCACGAAACCTCGTCAATAAGGGACATCTGCATTTTTGACAAAGCAGCAATTTACACAACCCACAAACCTGCCAAAATAACATCATCGTTGTGTTTTGCTCATTAATATTCGCTATTCATAAGCTCTGCGTATTTGTTGTGCCAGTGCAACACTGCAAGGAGTCAAGGACGATCAAGGGGCTCGGTGCGATTATATATCACATCCGCCCGTGCAAGCGAAGCTATGAATACTAATCATGGACCTCCAACACTCCCCACTTAGGCTGTGGCAATAAATGGATGATAACAGTAATTTTTGAATAGAGCTAAAGATCCAGATTCTCCTTACAAGTGGGGCGTATTCTTGAATTTCTCAAATTTTGCTCTATAAGCCCAGATTCTGTTCGAGTATCTCTCCGGAGTTGATTTGAACTATGGCAACAGGTTGGTCTCTGAGGTGCATATCTTCACACTGGTTAGCCAGGGCCTAAAAATGGATAAAAGACTCCACGGAACCTGTTGTGGGAGACTGTCAATGCAGGCAGGGGTCGCTTCATTTGAATAATGAGTAATCATTCTCGGAAATCTTGTCAAACCCTGGAACTTTAGCTTCTCTAAGGCAACGATCAAAGGGTTATTCTAGTCCTTCATATATAGATATCTTCTGGGCGTGGAACCCTCTTCCATGCTATTGTCGGGTTGGAATTGGAAGTCGTTAAAGTAGAATATATTCAAGCTCTATTTCTTCAATGGAGGAAGTATACTCATCAAAGACCATTTCGAACCCTTCAACCTCGGCTTCATCATGGGCAATGGACCTCTTTCCCAATCCGGTATTGATGTTGGGATGCGTGTATTGCTCAAGTGATACCAAGGACTCCTCGAGCGCCATTTCGATCGTTACCCCACAGTGATTTGAACTTCGACAGTCGCTATAGCAATCTCGCCTAGACGTATTCTTTTGAAGCTCCTCAATACTCCTTCTCCGCTTATAAGTCCTGGAAGTCGGACCCTTCTTCCACTTCACAGCTTGCGCACCTCTCTCTTCCTTTTTCGTAACATTTTTCATCGCACACTGCGACTCCAATCTACATCCCGTCAGCATAACCTCCCTCCCTACCATTCACACGCGAATCCAACATACTTATCAGGGTGCAGTATTTGCACTTCCATTGGCCGCGGACATGTTCGACGTATCCTAGCGGCCTCAAGGTTCTTGCGATACATGCCCGTCGGTATATTCTGATAGCAGCGTGAGATATCTTGCTCGTTCTGCGTAATCCCTATTTTCAACGCTCGGCGATAGCCCCATGCCTCGAGGTCCCAGCCTTCGTGACGGGGACCCGGAGCGGATCTATCTTCGTCTGATCCTCGCTTTTGCGATCTGGATTTTGGGAGTTTCTTGTTCAACCCACGCGGCTCCGGTTGTGTTAAATGGGAGTCTAACATTGCTCAACGGTGTAATTGAATTTTATGTTAGAATTGGTATGTTTTTGCAAATTGTTTTGGTCGGTGTTGTTTTCTGTTTTAAGTGCTGGCCGCCTCAACAGGATGACTCAGGGCTTGGAGTCAGGTCGGCGAGACAGAGTACTGTAGCGCGCCTGCGCCGCAGGTCGTCTGACTCAGCTCAGCCACATCTCTATCTATGTGAGACATGAAAATACATTTAGTCTAAGTTCTGGCCTTGTTGTCATTCGTAGGAAACATATTCTTGTTAATGAAGTAGAAGTCTCGAGCTTTCGAGGAAATGGGTCCTTAATCGAGTATTAGCGAAGCCCCTATTTTCTCGGAAACCAGATTGGTAGAAATCATGACTCATTAAATGACATTGAATGAAAGACGAGGTATTAGTGGCATACAGCATTGCTTATGAATAGTTCATCAGAGCGAGCCATACCTACTGACACTCTAAGCTTTTAATTTAAGATCATGTGTATCTCACGTGACTGCCTTACAGCTAGCCCAAACTTTTCACTTCACGACCTGAGAAGATGGGGAACTAAGGCAATGATTGAGCTCCGATCAATTCAAGAAATGGTACCCTTTTAATCCCTCTTTACCCCGATCTTACCCATGTGCCTCAACCCGAACCCCCCAATAAGGCACGCTGGTACACCCAAAGCAAACGCGGTCCAAAACCCCGCTCGGTACCCCACAAACAAGGCCTCCTCCTTCCCTTTCCCCTGATCTTCCGTTTGCTTCGTCACAACAGCAGAAACAACCGCCAACAGCGTCAGTCCAATACTTTGTCCAAACTGATTTACCGTGTTGAACACAGCACCCGCTAGCGCTTGCGTATCCGCTGGAAATCCCTCCGACACGGCCAGCAGACCGATCGTGAACATAATGTCGCATGCCATTGGCGAAAGCAGCTGCGCTGGGAAGGCCGCATACCAGTAAGGCCACCGCGGCGAAATGACAGCCATGAGGAGGGGAGCGCCGGCGCTGAGAGCGAGTGTGGTTAGGACGAGAATGAAGGGTGATGTGCGATGGATAACGAGGCCTGTGGTAAGTTGAATGCAAAACCCAATTATGAGAGAGGGTAGGATCCGGATGGCCGCCCCAAGGGCAGATATGTGTTGGACTTGTTGGAAACTGCACGGTATGTTAGCATGTGCAGGTTGGTGGGGGTTGGGACTGAAGATGAGAATATATCATACAAGAGAGAACAAAAGGTTTCCATTGCATTCGCAACAGCATTAGACAAGAGGACCGTGAGACAAACGCTCGTGAATACCGTATTTCTCCACAGCGAGTTTGGAATCAGGGCTGGGAGGTTCAAGCGTTCCCGGCGACCTTGCCACAGGATAAAGGCTAGTATTAGAGCAAAGCTACCTACTAGTAGCACGATATTTACGGGATGGCGAATGTTGTCGACGGAATCCGATAAAGTCCTATATGACGGTGAGCATAATTTGAAGAAAGAGTTGGTGAAAAGAGCTTACGCAAGGACATAAGAGAATACCGCCAGACACGTGGATATGATAAAAGCCCCCAACCAGTCTATCTCGTTCTTGAGCTTCCTGATGATAGAACCCTGGATCACAGGATCATGCGGCAATGCCCACAAACTGACTGCGAAGAGCGCCAAGCATAGGCTTCCAGAAAGGTAGTATAAGAAACGCCAGCCAATTGTGTCGAGTATGACACCTTCGAGTACCATACCGAGGGAAAACCCAATGGGTTGAACGAAGCCTAGGCATGAGAAAGCAATGTTGCGTGCCCGGCCTACAGGAACCGAGTGTGAAACGATCGCAACGGAAGTGGGCAGACAGAGCGCAACCGCCACTCCTTGCATGGCGCGGAACATGATAAACTCGATACCTGTACGCGCGAGACCGCAAGCAAGGATGAAGCCACCCGTAAGAGCGCAGCCTGTCAGATTGATGTTTCTGTGGCCAACTACATCTGCGATGGAGCCAGCGAGAATAAGACAGGTACTAATAGTCAAGCTGTATGGTTTTAGTATTGGAACAATTCATTGCGCGTTGCTTAAATAAACGGACTTACGGGTACACCGCGGACGGCCAAATTATTAGATGCGAAGGAAGAGAAAGATCAGATGCTATCCGTGGGAGACCAATGGCGATGAATCCATTGGTCAAACTGCTCAGGAAGCTGACGCCCGTGAGCACCGAAATAACGACAACGACGCGTGTTTTATTCAAACCACCATCTTCGAGTTCAAAAGCTTCTATAGAGCCGCTCGAGACATTTGCATCCACGGTCGGAATAAAATTTGTAGACCTGGAAGATACATGAGGTGAGTCAACGTTATGTGGGGTAACAGTTGAGGAGTTGTTGCTTTTGGCTGGTACAATATCGATGATCGACAACAGTTCTGACATTGTAACTTATGTGAGGATCGATAATCAAGACGGATATAAAATGGGAAAGAGAAGGTTTTCCCAAAAATGCATGTCGTAGAAAGTTATTACGGACGGAGTCAAGGTCAAGGTATGCGGCGCAGTGATGGCTGCCGAGGGATCGCCTTTAGCACAGACAAAAGCCCACAATAAGCCTAAATTGACCAATTGTGGTGGCGTCAGTTCACCGATGTAATTACTCCGTAAGCATGAAAACTTGTCAAGCCAAAGGCGTGAGACTCGTCTATTACTTCATATTCCAACGACATCAACTCAATAATTGGTAACAGTTGTACTTCTGGAATAAGAAAATCTAGTTTTCTGGTGAATATTCCTGAAGAGCCAACTTTCCCACATCAATAAGGTATTCAGATGTTCAAAGTGAGCTCAGACTGCCTGGAATAGCACGATGCCCTTCTGAATACTGGCAAGTAAAAGGTTACTCAAAAGGCAAGCGCGTTCCATGCTGACCTTCTCGGATGCCAGGAATTCCATAAAATGATGCATTTGAAAATATAACGACTACCAACCTCAGCGCCTCAGCCGAGTATAGCAGCCAGCATCATCCCACCGGCGAAAATCGAAGCAACAGTAATAAAGCTCGAGATGGAAAGAGTAGACATGCCACTGATTCCGTGACCCGACGTGCAACCACCAGCAAGCCTCGCGCCGAACACCATCAAAACACCGCCTAGAATTGCTCGCAACGCTGGGATCGAGATTTCGCCACCAGGTATCGCAGCTGGATATACTTGCTTTAATATCGCGGCTCCTGACATGATACCAATTGCAAATGCAATGGACGCTAGCTCTGGCATGGGTTCTTCAACTTCGTCTTGTATACCTGATCGCGAGCCCTTCAACATCCATTGGATCAATTGGATGAGTTGTCCGTATGCGGTTGACACACCAACAGCATTGCCCGTAAGAGCCAGCGATGTAGCTTGTCCGCAACCTATCAAGACGCCTCCCACGATGGGATTGACCATTATATTTTCCGCGCTTACTGTTGAAGCAGCAGCCAGGAGGACCATTCCCGCACAAAGACCTTCGTAGATGAGGAGCGCTTGGCTTTCTTTTATGTTGAAGTGCTGGAAGACTGTTAAACTCTGCTTTCTCTCCTCCGCTGGTACCGTGGGTATGCTCAAATATGGAGCCATTTGAGCATGTATTGCTCCTCCAAGTACACCTCCAACCATGGCGAAGTAGCCAGACCGAATTCCGGATGCTACTTGGACGAGTACAGTTCCGGGACATGCTCCGGTTAGCGTCATTCCGAGTCCGAGTAAAACGCCACCGAGAATATTACCATCTATGGACATGGCTGGTTAGTAATAGTTCGTTTTCGACTTCTGATGGAGGGTTTGAGTTTCCATCGCCAAAATGAGGGGCTGAAGACCGTACCATGCCCATGGAACCATCCAAGAGTAGAACGAGACGGAGGAGGACATTGAGAAACCCCTACCTTCCTAGCAGCAACCATCAATATCCTGTAAAGATCTCAGTCAATTCACTTTTCCAAAATTAGGGATAGATCGAAGCACTCACGCACTGATTGCGCTAGCCGTCAAGAATGCCTGGAGCATATGGAAATCCTCAAGTTTCATCTGCGAGATGATAATCCATGGCGAATAGACCCCAGATGCTGTAAGGGCCGCGCCGAAGACTGTCCCAGCGGCCAATTTTGCTATCAGATTTGACATTGTTGAGGAGTGTTCAAGTTGGTGGTTGGATTTGGGTAATAATCTCAGAATTCGTCGTATTGAAGATTTACTTGTATGAAGCACACCTGCATCAACTTAGGTAGCTTGAGTAACTTGGAGAAAAGCAACAACAAATCGCGGAACAACTAAGTTCGGCGACGGGATGGAGCGGAGGGATACCAGATCTTAACAACCGACCCGGCGACCTCGATTGAATCCCAGCTCTACTTGACTAACTTTTATGATGTGGAAATCTTTAGCTTGATATAATGTCCATTATTTTGATGATCTTTTCGGGAAGGACTCCACAATAGTATTTGTCCCGGAGGCGTTCTTTGTGGAGCAAGTACCGTGACCCGCTATTAGGCGTGCGGGATAGTTGATAGTCGGCGACGATGCCGCCAGGTCCCCTAGAAGACCCCGAAACCCCACGCAACACCCCGAACGCCACGCGATGTAGATTTAAAAACCCCCATACCGAGATTGCTGTAGGACGACTTATTCCAGCTTCATACAACAAAATACGCATACACAAATGAAACCAGCGCTTTGTAGTATGGTATGCAGGTGCAGCCCATTGACATCCTATATCGTGACTCGTGGGTATCATTCAAATTGAAGTGACAACGTGACGCGCTTATATGCACCTGACTAGGAAGTCATGATCCGGGGAGGGACAGCTCGATCATCAACCTTGGACAATCGCTCTCTCATCTGTTTCAAGAGATCGTGGACGAGAAAAGGCTTTGATATGACAGAGTCCTAGAATTTGTAAGCAATATAAAAGTAGACTGTGGGAATTCTAACATACAATGCCGCTCTCCAACGCCATCTGCAACTGCTCGTCTCGAGCATTGGCCGTCGTTGCAATAATCTCGACATGGCCAACAAGATGGCCGGTCGTTTCCAAAATCCTGATTTCTTTGGCACAGGTGAGACCATCCATGACCGGCATCTCCCAGTCCATAAGTATTATATCCATCTTTTTGCCATCTAAGTTCGTGTGCCACAAACGAGTTTCCCTCAGCTCTCAAGTGCTTCTAGGCCATGATTCGCTATTGTTACTGTGCAACCAGCCTTTTTCAATTGTTTCGCGAGAATCGTCTGGTTGACCACATTGTCTTCGACGAGAAGAACATGTATGTTGCTCAAATCAAGCTCCGTGGAAACCTTAGCTCCCACCGAACAGGACTTCGGGCGTGCTGGGAAGGGGAACTGTTGGCATTTAGCTTATATTTAGGCGGAAGTATACGACAATGTCTAAGATTGGAGATATTCTGGAAAATGGCTCCGCCTCAGGAAATGTAAACATGATTCGGGTTGACTTACCTCAATCACGGGAAAAGGCTTGTTTTCTGATAGGTCGGCGCGTTGTGCCTCAATGTAAAATACGAACGTGCTGCCGATTCCTTTTGTCGAGACAACGCCAATCTCGCCACCCATTTTCTCGGCGAGTCGTTTGCATATGAACAAACCAAGGCCAGAGCCACCATACTTAATAGAGGTCTTGATATTCGCCTGGGTAAAGCGACTGAACAGGTTCTGCATATCCACCGAGTCTATACGTCGAGATTTCGAAGTCAGTATTGCATGCTATGGAAGACTTAGGAGTTGAAACAATATTTTGAGGGCAATCGACTCTGCTCCTGAGAAGCCCGAAGAAGGGGATTTCCCGCGAAAGTGACTCACCCATGCCTACACCAGAGTCTTCAACTGAGAACGTCAAATATATGAGCTGACCTGGGTCCCGTTCGTGAGATGATCTAGGGGGAGACGTCGAATCAACTGGAGCCCATGTAATGTCACCTCGAAAGGCAGCTCGTGGTTCCGATGTTGTGATTCCGTACTTAATGTCAATATATCGTCTACTTTCGTCTTTGGTAAACTTGATCGCATTGGTGAGGAAGTTGACGATGATTTGTGTCAATCGGGAGGGATCGCAAGACACCCAGTCCGCATTGTTCTTCTCCTTTTCAGCAGAGGCTGTTGCTTTAATTTTCTTTTCTTGCAGGTCAGACTCGAACATCTTCAAAGTTGAGTCGATGAGCTCCTGGACTTGTGTGGGCTCAGGTGTTATAGCAAGCATCATGTATTGAAGCTTAGATAGCGTAAGAACATCGTCGACAATTCGCTTCTGGTGATTGGCGCACTTGACAATCGTATTTGCAGAATCGACGTTGCTATGCAGAGCAGAAAGAAGTCGAGCTTCGGTAATCTTCCGTTCGTTGACTTCCGCCATTGACTTTGTGATCGAGTCAGCGCTCATAAGAATGGCAGCGAGCGGGTTCCTCATCTCGTGCGAAACAATGTCTATAAACTCTTCTTGCTGCCTTTTTGCCTCGAAAGCGTCCTCAGCTTTACGAGCTTCTGATTTCTCAGCCCACTTCAACGCTGAAATGTCAGACATATACATCACTAGAATGAAGTTAGTAGCAAGACACAATAATGCTCGAGTATGGCAAGCAGTGCTTCAAAGACCTAGAGAGCACAACTGGATATCTGCAAAGGGAACACTATTGTCTAGGTATTGCTTACTAAATGACGTGGTTTTGCCATCTTCCTTATATGGGAAGGACGTGGACGTAATGCACCCTGGTTCAGGCTCACCCGTTGGAGGTATGAACATTCTTTTCAGGCGCAATTCGACAGAAACCTTTTCTTCTCCGCCAGAAAGTCTGTTCCATGCTGCAAATGCTTTCTCACGATCCTCAGCAAGAAAATTATCCAGGAATTGGAATCGCTCTTCTGCCTGATTAGATTTTCCTGTTACTACAAGATCTCGGAATTAGCAACCCATGACCAAGAGAACCGTGAACCCTGTGAAATCTAGGAGTAACTCCCAAAAATTGAGAGGAGATATGAAAGTGCGCAAATTTTTCCGAGTAAGGAAAATGTTTTAAGACGTACAGTCGTAGTATTGATCGTTTGCCCACAGTACCTTGCCATCAATTGATAAACGTAACATTCCAATTGTAGCGTTTTGCGCCATGTGTCGGATTTTCTTGTCGGAATCCTCCAACTTCTTCTCGAGTTTTTCAGCGCGCCTTTGCGCCTCCTCAGCATTGACGACTGTATTAGCAATCGATGAGACTTTTGAAGCCAAGTCCCGCATGAATTGGTGGTGGTCATCGTCAATAGGTCGCCGCGGGTTAGCTCCTACAACCAGGAAGCCGATCAGTCTTCCGCCCCCTGAAAATGGTAAGATACTGATGCATCTGCTGCCTTCACTAAACCCCCGCCACGGAATACCAGCAAACTTGTTGTCTACAGGTATGTTGATGATTTCGTCCTGGGCCTGGCGAAGACAGGGAACAATTCCCTCCTCACTACTATGGAGGTTGGCCTTATTCGGGGCGATCGGGTGACCTTGGGGAACAGCAATCTGGCCACGGAGATTGACTATTTGAGAGTTAGGAATACTTTCATCATCTATTTCGTATAATAGAGCCATGCTGATATCTCGTTCATATTCTGCAAGCAATGTCATGAGAAGAGCTGGATAATTCTCGCTATGTAACCTGGTCGAGCTCACTATACGATTGAGCAAAGTGGTTCTTCGGTGAGTAATTTTCTGCTTTGTAACTTCGTGGACTGCGTTGTGAAATCCTTCAATTTTGCCGGAAAAGCCTCGAATGGGGTTCTGCAATAAATTAGTACTTTCAGATTTGTAAATAGCAAGAGCAGTGAGGTTGAAACGCTCTTCGCGTGCCCCACTACAGCAAGATTCAGGAAACGAAACAAAGAAACGGGTTGGTTACGAAGTTACCAGTGAAGAACGCCTCTTCCAAGAAGTGGTTTCGCTCAACAAACAACTCTATCTCGTGGACGTCGCCTGCAAGCCCCGAAACTTCCGAAGCCTCGAACACGGCTTTGATCTGGGGCCAGATCTCTGGGAAGACATTTTCGAAAGCTAGTCCCATAAGCATTGGGTGGGCTTTGCCGGCGAGAGGTACGAACGCCTCATTATATATTGCGGTTTTTTGCGGGCCCCTATACTTTGGTTAGCAAGCGTGATATTGATGCTAAATGCGTATAGGCCTGTGTATGTAACCACATACCAATAGAGACAACCCGCTTGAGAGTCCGACATGACGGCAAGAGTTTGTAAACGAAGAGCTGCGCTCCATGTTGACAAAGGGCCCAAGGGCGACGCAGCCCAGTCAGCGCTGGCAAAGAAGCGTACATGGTCGGTACTGGGAAGGAGGATTTCCCATCCCGTGCGGAATAGGGGGGAGGTTGGAGAAGGGATGATGCACTGTTGCGGTTGGTTGGATTCGAGATCTGTATCTGTGTCTGTAAGGGTATTTGCATCTACATCTGCACCTGCACCTGCACCCGCCATTTCGGTTGCGCCTTGCCTGATGAAGCAAAGCGATATAACGATAACAATATACCAGGTAGTAGGTACTAAGTAGTACGGTATGGAACCCTGTTACCCGTGCAGGCAGACTTCCATTCCGGGTGCAAGAATTCTCAGATTACTGTAATAAATGCGCAGCGTCGCCACCAACAGTAAAATACATCGACATAGAAACGGAGACGGAGACGGGGACGGAAGAAGGTTTGGTTTCTGAAGGGTAGAGAGGGTGGGCAGGGGAACAGAGACAACTGACTGATCGCAGTTCAAAGCTTTGATCACCAAAGTTCAGTTTAGGTTTCAGTACGGCACGGCAACGTGTGTTCCGTCCGTTCAGTGCCGGTGGCCTTACCCTACCCTACCCACGAACGGTAGTACTTTAGACCTTTGTTATCTAGTGTATTACGTCAGATGGCCCGACTACGTTAGTGAACAAGTAAGCAAATTCAACTTGCATGAAAGAACACCTAAGTGGTTACCAAGTACGTATAAAATCAGCGGCTGAAGGTTCAATAGGATACAGAGTTGAGTTTCTCCATAATCCTACTTTGATCCCCCCTCTGTCATACCTATTCCTCAGTCTTCATTTGTATATATGAAATTAATAATTAAAAAGTAAATTATCTACATGATTGTCCAGTCTAGGTGCGTGGATACACGCGTCGACAACATATCTAGCTCCTGGCCATTGTGGTTTTCACTACAGTACTGTACACCCTTTTTTTTTTTTGAGATTCGTCCGAATTTTGTGTCCAGTTGCACATCGCAGTCCTACCTATCAGTACAACTTCCGGCCCCGCTTCTTCAAGCATAAAGGTGGAAGAGACACACGCTTACATATGAAGGCGCAGGCATGGTGACCAGAAAAAGTTCGAGGCACTGCTTCAAACGCTATCAATATCTTCGCCTTGTTAATTTTCGCCGAAGCTCCTCTGCTTCAGACGACACCACTTTCGTAACGTCGCACCAGTCCTCCAAATTCTCCTCAGACTCATGGACTTGCTGAGCAACGACATCAAAACGATGCCCGGCCCATACACCACGATGAATGTTTAAATTCCCACTCCCACCACTAGTCGGGTAATTCGTCCAACAGGTGCGCATCAGCAAAATAAGAGTGAAAGCTGCAATTCCTTGGAGGTAATAATGCTCCAGTTTCATCGTCACTACCACGCCAAGTTTTCCGGAAGAGACGCTCTCGCGCGTTGTGAGGTTGCGCAGAATCCACGGCTGATTTCGAGGGAAGAATTGGGAGCACTCCATATCCCTTTCCATCTCTTCCCACCGAGGACCAGGAATCAGGATTCTCCCCGCATGAGCAATAATTCCCCCCTTCCATTCAAGCAGCACACTCTCGCGAGTAGGCGGTGTTATAAACTTCCCGTCACCTCCCCAGAATAGTCTTTGAGCGTCACACATCGATCCATATCCATCGCTTCCTATAATTCTTTTCGCAAGACCATCGTCTAAAAATGATGCTGGAAGATCGGTTGAGTAAGACCCCTGAAAAGATATCTTCTTTCCAGCCCATGGCGCGGCGCATTCGAGAATCTGACGCTGGATGTGGAGGCGAACAAGAGGCCACAATCTTTCGGATGAGAGACCGAGCCCCATAGCGTCACTCTTCACTGGGAGTAGATATTGAATGACCATGTCGAGGATCTCGTTTGATAAGCTCTCGAGTTTCGATAGGTTTGGTACTGAGATCTGGGTATTGCGATAAGAATTCCCCGGCGCAGTTACTGGAAGATGAGATGGTTGTAGTGGCCTGGCAAGCATCAAACAAGCATCGAATTTTAACCTCCGACACCTTTTCAGACTTCCCTCTTCTTTAAAGTCGTACTCCAGAGCATTCTGCCAGGTGCTATTAACTACGTTCATCTGGCGATTCTCGGGACAAAGCATCCGCCATTCTTGCGGGCTCTCCATAGTTTTGTACCTATTCGATGAATTTGATGTTATGTGTGGTAAGATGACATAGGAAGTCACCTAGGGTTAAAGAGACATGTGTGTAGCAGCCTAGCCTAGACCGCCAATCACGTGTAGCTCACGTGAGTAGGGCTTTTCCGCAGATTATTTTTTTATTCTCTTGTTTATGTGCCCGACTGAATAATAGGAAGGAGATGTCTTTCTTACTCGTATCTTAGCCAATTCGACATCAGTCAACATAACTTGTTTTGCCCAAACCTAATTCTCAAATGAAGTCCTGCCTGTTTTCAGCAACCCACTCTTCGAATGTCGTTGCCTTCTGTCCTCCATACCCCAAAATGTTATCCTGGCCTTCCTTATGTGCAGGACCAATATAGATACAACTAGTAAATGTATCGCCCGGGGTTCTACCCTTCAAAACATTTATGAAGAAGGTAGCGGCATCATTGGTAGCAGATTCCGGCACACCTGCTGCAGCAAAATGGTTCGCTATCTTCTCGAAGGCAGCATCTTCATTAAGTCCAACGACTCGGAGATCTTTTCCCAACACCTTCCCAATAGCCGCTACAGCATCTCTCTGAGATCGAATTGCAGGCCCACACAGATATATAATATCCTTTCCCGCCGCCTTCCAACCTCCAACGGTAATCGCACCACAAACTCTCCCAATATCCTCAGGTGAGATCATGTCAAACGTGGCATCTGGATACAAAATCTTCACCTCACCATCAGCAATCATCGGCTTCCATTGCAGTGTATTGCTGGCAAACCACCCGGGTCTCACTGTGACCCATCTCTGCGGCCCAAATATATCCGCTATGTTCTTCTCAATCTGCCGATGCTTGTAAGCAATAGGATTACTTCGCTCTTCAGGCTCCTGGTCATGCTGGATACTGCTGCTGCTCAAGAAGACAACAAATTCAATGCCTGCGGATTTTAGCGCTTCGACGGTGGCTCGCATATAGTCGGTGCTTTGGAGAGCGGCGTAAATGAACGCGTGCTTTGCTCCGCTCTTCGTTACTGCCGCACGAACGCTGTCGGGGTTCAAGAGATCGGCTTGGACCCTTTTGAAGCCACCAGCTTGTTCTTGGGCGGAAGTGAGGCGTGGAATAGGCTTAGAAATGCCTCGGCTTGCAAGGATGACTTCGGCGCCATGGCCATGAGCTGTGCGGGCCGCAGCTGAGCCGACGGCGCCTGTTGCGCCGAATATCAAGGTTTTAGTGCTGGGCATTATGACTGATATGAATATAGTTTTGAGAAATTGGTTCGTGAGCTTGATAGTTGTGTTTTCTTCAGGTAACTGGGCCTCCTTTTGAAGACGAAGGGGTCTGCAGACCATTCGCTCATTCGCCCATTCGCTCACACTCGGACTTATGGACAGTCACCGCAGGCCGATTGGCTTCTTTCTATCCAAGGCTGGCATGGTTAAACTCCAAATCGATCCTTTAACACATTATTTAGCATGGATGCGCATAATCCCGTATACAGTATAACTAGCGTATCTGGGGTTCGCAATAGCCAACCCAGTTTCGAAAGTGATAATCCTTAATTGAAGATCATTCTAAACTCTATAATCACCTCTATTTTCTAGACTTATTAAGCAAAAATGGTAAATTGAGCAAATGAAACTCTCACTAGAACCTGTGTAAATACAACAAACCCGATCAGACTTCCGGGATTCGGCCATTCGGGTGACGAAAATCGACCGAATGTTCTGACACCGAGACAATATTTACTCCATACTTATATGCTCCTCACCACTTAAATAGCAAAGATTCGATGTAGTACAAGTAAGTATACTTCCTACAAAAGAATATTTTGAATTGCTACTAATTAATTCAGGTGATTGTCTTGCAGAGTGGATCTTATCACGGAACAAGGACCCTAATCTGTTTCGGGCGATACTCACGAAACATTATCCGCGGGGTATGCACTAAAAGAAATGCCAACACCACCTAATATACCTCACGAGCTTGTCACTTGTCAGTCAATGTTGAAAGGGACCAAATCTCTACACCGTAAATTCCGAATGCCGGTTTTAACTCCTAATCGTTGGCTTTATCGGCATTAGGCATTTATCTCCTCGTATATAGGTACCTAGGTAGTAGGTAGTCAATGGTCATGAGGTTTACAAGTAAGGCATCATGGGTTACGTAGTTACGCACCTTGTACATTTTCCACTGTAGAATCACAGACCTAGGGGACTTTTGTATGGCAGTGCTACTATTAAACTTTGTGTTTAGGATTATTTGGATAAACATATCTATAATTGGTCGCATGTACGATAAACGATGAACTAAGTTCTGAGCAGAGAAAAGACCCTGCACACGTTCTAGCTGACCAACTTTCAAGATATCACCACCTCCGCACTTGCGGGTTATATAAATAGGCCGCCTAGGTTGCGTATTGTGCTAGTATCCATGTAGGGAGACAAATGAGATGACAAGCTAGTCATGCAATTCATTTGCATGCAATTTGTCTAGGCCCTGTAGTCTCGAGTGTTATTTTATATGACGTTTATATATACATCTTGGCCTCGTCCTTGTGAACCTTCAACAACAATATCTCACTAACACTTGTGCTCCACATTACCACCGTATAGACCGCCGTCGCCAAAATGGGATTCATATACTCACAACTATTCGTGAAACCCACCTACCCAACAACTTCATGCGCAGGACAAACGATAATCGTGACGGGCTCCAACGTCGGTCTAGGAAAGGAAGCCGCTCGTCATCTTGCTCGACTCGGCGCCTCCAAACTCATCCTCGCCGTCCGGAATACCAAAGCTGGCGAGGCAGCTAAACACGACATTGAGAGCACCACAAGGTGCAGTCCTGAAGTCATAGAAGTCTGGCCTCTCGACCTCTCCTCATATGCATCCGTCAAGGCATTCGCTGATCGAGCGTCCAAACTGCCCCGTCTTGACGTCCTTCTCGAGAACGCTGGTATTGCGGCTGGCAAATGGCAGGTCTTCGAAGGCCACGAAAGCACACTTACAGTCAATGTCATCAGTACTTTCTACCTGGCCCTCCTTTTGCTACCAAAGCTCAAGTCCTCTGCCAAACAATTCGGTATCATGCCCCGCCTCACCATCGTGTCAAGCGAAGTTCACGGCCACGCGAAATTCGCCGAGTGGAAAGAACCAAAAATCTTTGACACTCTTGATGACGAGTCCAAGTTTGATGTCTGGGAACGCTACCCCTTAAGCAAACTCCTCGAAGTGCTTGTATTTCGTCAGATTGCACCAAGTCTGGAGGGATCCGGCATGACCCTTAATATACTCAACCCAGGACTGTGTCATTCAGAATTAGCACGCGACGCAGGTTGGACCTTAGCTATCATGAAATTCTTTCTTGCCAGAAATACAGAGGTGGGCAGTCGTACACTGGTCGCGGGTGCAGTGGCAGGACCAGAGGCACAGGGGAAATATATGCATGATGGGAAGGTGGACGAAAGTGAACTTTCCCCGTTCGTGAAAAGTGAGGATGGTAGGCTGGCGTCGGAGAAGGTCTGGAAGGAATTGAGTGTGATTCTGGAGTCCATTCAGCCGGGTATCACTGGTAATCTCTGAGTTGGTTTTGAATTAGAGTGAGCAAAGGAGATGTCAGGCTTTACTTTCTTATCTTATCTTAGACCTTCATCCAACCAGCAACTGGATGATTTGTCGTTGCGGTGTATAAATAGGGAGTGGTTAAAGCAACATTTGAACGGGAAGTATCATGAATTAAGGTCCAATGAAGAATGATTTATGAATGGCTTCCAAGAAAATATGCTTTGGTGTCAGAGCCAGGAAGGATATGAGGAATCAGTACTAACTCGTCCTCAAATCCGATCTTTTGATACAAGATGTCCCACCACTTCCCTTGTAAACTATAAGTAGCCGTAAGAGCTATGGAATTGAGATTTGGTAGATATTGCATCTCGTAGAGAGCCTGTGTAGTGTTGACACTGGTGGGGTGGTAGTTGGGAAAGCTGCTCATTGTTCTGTAAGACTGAAAGTGGTAACTACCTTAGCTAAAATGCGATCATAGTAAGATGGTTCAATTGCAATGTTGGTCGTATATTGTTCTAGATATAGGCACATATCCAGATCTGAACTGTCGAAATATCACTTTCTCGATGTTTTGCTTGACATCAATGCAAAGTGGGTGGTCGCTGCGGCTGGTGGAGCAAAAAGATCCTTGGCAGACGATTGACAGCCTCATTGCGCGAGGCTTGAAACCACCTATTCAAAAACAACAAAGCAGTCAAGAACCCTGTCTACAACCACCACCACCACCATCGATGATATCTTGTGCTGGGCAATTTATCAGTGGGGGAGAGTCACCGCGCAATTGATTGAAACTCTTAGGAGCAACCTTATCCCAAGGACAGCTATCTCCATGAAAGGCTTCGTCCACCACAATTGAGTTGGAGTGAGAAAGTCTCACTGCGCCTGAGCAATTCTCAATCATGCATCTTTCCGCATTTCGACCATGGATGCTCTTGGGAGTATTGACTGCTGCTACTGCAGATCAGGATGATTGGCAGTCTTTTCTTACGGAGGGGAAAGCTAAAGACTATGCGCGGGCATGTCCAGATTACAAGAAATACTCAACTTTCGTCCAGTATGTTCTAAACATACATACTGAAGACTTCTGCTAATGAGAACCAAGTCAACCGCTTTCAGATGGCCCAATGTCTCTGCCATTCCAGCGCCCTGCGATACTCTGCCGGACCTTCAACTCACCGCTCGTCGAGAAGGTAATCGAGGACATTACGGGCAAGATGGTGGATAAGGACCTAGCACGGCTCTTTGAAAATGCTTTCCCAAATACGCTGGATACGACCGTACGATGGCATGTTGATGGGACAAGCAAACATACAGAGCTAAAGGCGCGGGGTCCAAAGGACGAAGGGAAATGGGAGGGACCTCATTCATTTGTGGTCACAGGTGACATCAACGCAGAATGGCTGCGCGACTCGACGAACCAATTACTTCAATACCAGCCTCTAGCCAAGAAGGATCAACAGATTTTTAATCTGATATTGGGTGCTATAAACACTCAGTCCGAATACGTTATCGAGTCCCCATACTGCAATGCTTTCCAACCCCCACCAGGTTCAAAGCTCCCCCCTAGTCAAAATGGACAGGATGACAATGTTCACCCTGCATATGAGCCCTCCGTTGTCTTCGAATGCAAATATGAGCTGGACTCTTTGGCGCATTTCCTGGCTCTAGGGAACACGTTCTATAAGCATACAGGGTCTCTCGCCTTCCTGACTCCAAGGTGGTACAAAGCCCTCGATACCGTCCTAGCAGTCATTGACCAACAGTCGCAATCGACTTTTGATCCAAAGACCGGGAGATTTGAGAAAAACTCGTATACTTTCAACCGAAAAACAGATGCAGGCACGGAGACCCTGTCTCTCGGTGGAGTCGGAAACCCCCTAAATTACGGCACGGGCTTAGTTAGAAGCGCGTTTCGTCCTAGCGACGATGCCACCATATTGGGATTCTATATCCCAGCAAACGCTCAAATGGCAGTAGAGCTCAAACGCGCCTCCGAAGTTCTCAAGAAAGCAAACAAGCTAGCACTTTCCCAAACTCTGGAGAAGCGCGCTACAGCTATCACAGACGGGATTTGGGAGCATGGGGTTATACAGCATAAGAAATATGGCCGTGTCTTTGCCTATGAGGTAGATGGATATGGATCTCAGATCTTGATGGATGATGCAAATGTGCCATCGTTGCTCGCATTGCCGATTTTGGGGTTTGTGGATAAGGACCATCAGGTATATAAGAATACAAGAAAGATGTTATTGGAGAAATCGGGGAATCCGTACTATCTTCAGGGACATGCTTTTCATGGTATTGGAGGTAAGTTCTTATACTTCGTCTGTTTTATTATTTAGTATTGACAGGACATAGGTCCGCATATTGGGCTCGAATACGCTTGGCCCATGAGTTTGCTCCTCCAAGCCATGACCTCGGATGACGACAAAGAGATCAAGGAATGTATAGAGCTGGTGCTCCGTGCTAGTAAACTAGGTCTTGTACATGAATCCATAAACGTAAATAGGATTTTGGATTATACCCGTAAGTCTTCAAATTTCCCCCCTCTATGCAGGCATAACATCAGACTACTGACTGCATGATAGGAAGCTGGTTCGCATGGGCCAACAGCGTCTTCGCACAAACTATTCTGGATCTCGCAAAGCGCAAACCACATTTGCTTTTCGGAGAAGGTGCAGAACCGTATATAATTGAGTGAGGAGTGTTTTGAGATAAGAGAGGGTTTATGACATGGGAATTGGAGTTTGAGCGGCATAGTTTTATTCACATAGACGTACATAAGATTCATTTTGTATCGAAGCGAGCGCTTGAGCTACAGTATATGTATGGGTATGAGTTTTGGAATAGGTTGATTTGAAGAACCTTCAGACCGCATAATCATTTGCAACCCGTGAGATGGCTTCAGAACAAATCATGGACTGGAGATAGAGTAATCATCTATTGACAAGCGCTTACATTTGTCCTTTTCTCGTCCCTCGTGAATTACATTTCTCTAGCCCCTGAAAACATAAACAAGCCCGCTCGCTCAGCCGTAGAACACATTTTGCCTTAGCCCTTATTTCTTGCCAAAAAACGACATAATACTCCCCTGCCCCGTCTTAGCAGCCGGTTTCTTCGTCTTAGATGTCGTCGAAGAAGACTGTATTCTTGGCTTCGGTGCTGGAGCTGGCTCGTCTTCAGAGAAAGATTCCCAATCCATCTCCTCTTTCGTCACTGTCTTTCGTTAGCAAAGGACACGCTATAAGTAGTAGATGTAACATACCAAGATATCCCTCATCATCTTTCACGGTCTTCTTCTTCATAACCCTTCTACGTCCCCTCCTCCTCCCACCACTAACAATAGGTGGCTCTTCCTTTTCCTCAGACTCAGCCTTCGGTTTCGGCTCTTCAATAGGCTCCTCTTCTTCCACCACCTCAGGCGACGCTACAGCTGGTTCCTCATCGTCGTCATCTTCCTCCATCATTTTCTTTAGCACCGCTTCCCGTTCTTTCCTAGACTTACGATCGCTGTCTACAATTTCTTTCGATGGGGGAGGTGGAACATAAGTTTCTTCCTCGTCATCTGAGACATCCTTCATGGGCTCGTCTGCTACTTCCTCTGGTTTCGGCTTGGGCTTGGCTTTGGCGAAAGACTTGAAAATGCTGGATGATTCTTTCTTCAAGGTCGGCGGATTGGGAGTAGATTCTTTGCTAGGGGGGTTGCTTGTAGCTGCTGGTTTGGCCTTCACTTTTCCTTTTCCAAAGAAGTCGTTTGCGTTCGAGGGTTGGGACTTAGGCTCTTCTTTTACGGGTTTGGAGGACTTAGGGGTTTCTTTGGTCTCGGAGGGTTTGGATTTAAGTGCTGGGACCTTTGCTGGGACGGGAGCGGCTGCTGAAGGTGGTCTTCGGGCTGCTCGTCGTTTGACGTTCTTGCTTATTATTGAACCGTATTTGGAGGCAGATTCGAGAGGGTCTTCAGTGGCGCAGAGTTCTTGCATCTCTCGGGTTACATCTGAAAGTACCTGTAGATCCTAGGTTTATAAGCTATAGTTCTAGAATTGGGGGAAATACCGTACCTTCAATGGATGGGGTTCGAGACTGTAGATATGTATCGCACTGATCTTCTCGTATTGGGAGCGTAGATCTTAAGAACGTATTAGCATAACGACTATTCGTCTGCGGAAAGAAAGCATTACCGTCCAACTCCTCTTCGCGCACCAAGGATATAGTCAAGCCGGAGGTTTCGCCAGTATCTTCCTCCGATTGTGGCATTGAACTGCTCATAAATGGACTGCTCTGCATATAATCGTCCTCGCCATCCTTCTTTGCCCCTCCATTCGTTACAACGGGTGTTTCTTTTCGTTTTGTGCCGCTGACAAGATAGGTTGCGTGGACAGCTCCAGGTTTCTTCGCATTCTGCTGACTATGGAAGTCATAGAGCATTCTACTGTCTGTCAATATTTTGCCTAAGAAGTTGAGCGCAACACTCACTCCTTTGCTGCATTGACATGGACTTTCAGAGCCCGGCTAAGAAGGCGATAAGTGACCTGCAGGCATTTTCAGTTGCAGTGATGATATCTTTTGGAAGAATAGTCTTACCACTTTATCCTCAGTCAAGATACTCGCAGCCAAGTAGCTCTTGTAGTCCGCCATTGTGCTGTGGTTTTGATGTTGAAGACCCTGGGGTTTTCTTAAGAAGCTGGGTCGACGCGACGCGCTTCCAAATCCACTCTACGCGACTTTCTCCCAAAATCAATGATCCTGAGACTTCAAACCTTCGGCTTCCAGGAAACTTCTCGTCTTTTACAGCCCAGTCCAGTAGCGAATCGGCTTCCCTTCCATTTTCTAAAGAGTAAATCTTTTCGGCGGTCTATTATAAATTGTTCTTTCACAATAGTTATTATATTTGCGACGCCCTCAAACTTGTTGACTTCAAGGCGTGCGGCAACATCACATACCTACGATCCGCCCCGCCATTGTCCCAAATGCTAAGAGGACTTCTCCAAATACGAATGAAAGCTGCGATCCTGCCGACGAGATAGAGATCTTACCACGCAATATGAACGGCAAGGCGCTTAAAGATGATGGCTCCCAAGTCTTAGATTCCACCGACTGGCTTGCGACACCATTACCAAGACTCAGCGCCGTCGAGGCCGCACTACGATGTCAAGTCTGCAAGGACTTCTACGAAAACCCGATGATTACCTCATGTTCGCATACCTTCTGTTCACTGTGCATAAGGAGAGCTTTGGGCGGAAATGGACTATGTCCAGGTTGTCGGACGGCTGACCAAGAGGTCAAACTCAAGTTCAACAATACTGTATATGATATGGTGGAGGCTTTCAAGGCTGCGCGGCCCGAGATTGTAGAATACACCAGGGAGAGACCGACACCCACAGCAAGGAGTGCTTCGCCGAAACGGAGTAGGGAAGATTCGGAGCTAGGTAGTGTAGAGGACGGTCCATCCACGAAGAGAACGAGGTCCTCGAGGCGGCTGGTCCCTCAGCCTGCTACGCGAGTAATAGTGGTTGATTCAGATGTCGATGATGAGGACTTTATCCCTGGTTAGTCAAGTCTTACGCTATTCCGGAAGTGCTTTGTGTTAACATTACATTTATAGAAAAAGGAGTCGTCCAATGCCCCGTTTGTCAAAAGTTAGTGAAAGAGGTGATGATCAACTCACACCTGGATCGAGGATGCATGGATGAGCCGAATCGGCCAAGAAGTTCGAAAGGATCAATACAGAGCCCTGCAGAGCCGCCCTCTGTGGAAGTCAAGCGGCCTGAGCGACTGGCGCAATTAAATTATTCTATGGTCAAAGACGGCCCGCTCAAAAGGAAACTTGTGGATCAAGGAATTTCGGCGATGGGATCAAGGCAGATGATGGAACGGAGATTTACAGAATGGGTCACTCTATGGAACTCAAATTGTGACGCAAGGTTTCCCAAAGGGAAGAGTGACTTAAAAAGGGAACTTGAGGTCTGGGAGCGAACGCAGGGAGTGAGAGCACAGGCGTCTTATTCGATGGATCCTGGTTCTCAGATTAAGGACAAAAACTTCGATGGGAAAGCATGGGCAAATAAGCATGATGACTCGTTTCGAGATCTCATTGCTAATGCACGGCGGAAACTCCCTACTAAGCCTGCTGTTCCTCCTATCGAAGCAGAAGAGCCGAGTGCCACAGGACCTGTGGCATTTATTTCGCCATATGCTACCTCAGCTCCTGCGGACACTGAGAGGAAAGACAATGGAACTACAGCAAACAGTCAACCTCAAAGCTCGTTGCAAAACATCCCGAATGCTTCATATACTTCGGCGGACGGCCTAGATGGAGCACAACGAATGTTCTTTGACGAAGGAAGTGGCAATTCTAAGTTACCTCCTTCGTCACAATACTCGAACGGCATTCCAACACTTGAAAATGATACTGGTATTAGCTCGGATATCTCTACAATGAAAACTATACAACAATAGCCTGCTTCTAGCAGCGCTTCCCAGAAATATCTCCCAATGCACCAACGCCAACGTGACATGCATATGTGCTCACTACCTTAATTTGTTTCCGCAATTCGTCTCGGCTCTAGAGACATGCCCTGCATCTGCGTCACGGTATCCTCAACTGATTGCCCGGTAATCAACTCTTCTGACTTATTGCTTACCTCCTCTTTAGACTTCGCAGCTTCACGCTCTACCTCTTCCAGGGCTGCCAATCTTCGCCTTGTTTCTGCAGCCTCCAGCCTCTCCTTTTCTTCTCTCTCTGCTCGCTCCTTGGCTTCCCTCTTCTCTCTCTCTTCGCGCTCCATGGCCTCGAGCTCATCGTCGACCTCAGTCTCATCCACTGCACCAGCGCCTTGGCCGATTTCGGTAATAACACTACCAACTTCGTCGACTTGGCTCATTTGGTCTCGTAATTGGTCAACGACATCATCGACTCTCTCCACACCTCCAACCTCCTTGTTGAGACCGGAAAGAACGCGAGAGCTGGTTTCCATGACATTGACGAGCTCGACCTGGTCGGCGGCTTGTTCAATCTTCGAGAAAACTTCTTCCAGCTGTCCCAAAGTAGCATGTCGTTTCGTGAGTGTCGTCTCGGCCAGCTTCTTCGATCGAAGAGCCGCAAGTGCTGCTACCCGATTCTTTCGCGCAACAGCCTCCTTCGCCGTCATGCCCAACTCATCGACTCTTCTACTTAGAATCGTAGTCTGAAGCTCCAAATCCTTAATCAACGTCTTCAGAGACGCAATACTCGTATCCTCCGCTGTAATGCCACTCACAGTCTTGTCCCCACTCGCCTTCAACTTGACCGTCTTCCCATCCCAAGCCACCAGCCCTTTATCCCTCGCTAAAAACCTCAAAAAGACCTCAAAATCATTCTCCGAAAGGTCCTTCTCCTTCCCCAACACATCCCCAAACTCCTCACTAAAAGCAGCTTTCGAATATATCCTATCCGTTCTACTCCTCTTCCCCTCTATCCGCTTTACAAACTCCTTTGCGGCCGCCTCAACATTAGGAAGCACGACCACGCCCCCCAACATGCACTTTATCCTCCCCACTCGCTCCATCAGCAAGACCCAGCATCCGCGCCCCCCAACTCAACACCTCCCACGGGCTAAGCCCCCACCCCTTCCGCCTATTATAAATACTTCCTTCCAAACTCTCAAACTCCTTGACGCCCACCAAAACCCCCCTATTCACACCTTCCCTCACAACTGTCCCCAGCGCTAGGGGGCGACCCCATTCTTTGCTTTCGAGGGATTGCAGAAGGGACTCGTTGATATTTAAGGTGAGGAGGTTCGGCGAGGAGGGCACGGCGCCGGCGAGCAGAGCGGAGGAGAGGGCCGAGAGCCAGGCGCTGATGTTGGCGCTGTAGCCGTCGGGGTTGAGGGTTGCTTGGGGGCGAAAGTCCGAGTAGAGGGCGCCTAGGCGGGCTCTGGTTGTCTGTGTTAGTTGAACAAGTACTTCTCGGTGTGGAAGTATGATGCAGTGGAGTGGAGGTGAAGAACAAGGCAAGGCTGGAGGGGAAAAGGGAGTAGACGAACTTGCGAAATTGGGGTTCATTGTTTTGCAGGTATGTGAGGAGCTCACTCATGGTGAGGATGTGGCATTTCTTGTCGAGGGATTTGGAGAAGGGGAAGTTGGGTTGGAAGGCAAAGCAAGATTGTGTTGATGTTTTGCTCTTATCGCGAATCGCCAATCGGTGAGTGACGCGCTCGCGCGCTGAATAAATAAGGTACGAGTAGGGGCTGCATAAAGGTATGCATAAATCAAGGGGGTTTCAGGAGAGATCATTCAAATACTGTTTAACCAAAGATGAATTAAATGGATCTAGTATAAGTCTTGGTCCAGAGTCACGATATGTGGAAGTCTCGAATGAATGGGTGAGGTTTCGCAGAAGTGTCAGTTGCCGCTGAAAACAAAAAAAGTCCAATGTTCCAAAATATATGGTATTTCATCTCTCTTCAAAACTTCTCAATCTTTCGGCAACGAATAGTGCCTACTAAATCCAGCCCGTGTATGCAAAGCGCTGTCTAAACACCAAACGCCACCCCAATGCTCAAGACCTATAACGCTCAGAGATGGTACATGCAAGAACCCCTTTCAACCCTCCTTCACCCTTTCATTCGAATTGGATAGTAGGCGCTGTTTCCTCCTCACCTTCCATCAACGTCCCATGCAAAGGCGCTGACCCGAGGCTTGCAAGAGCTGGCGCAGTCGCACCCATTAAACTCCTTCGATGGGGGCGGCTATCAAAGGCTTCGCTTTCTTCCCCAATCGTAGTGTCAATTAAGTCCATGCCACCTGGTGTCTCAATCGCGGACGCGGGATAGAGAGCTAGCTGGACCTCCCTCTGTAGACCTTGCAAGAAGTCGTTCGCTAATAAAAATTTTGATATACTGTCAGGGTATGGCAACGAAGAGTATTTTTCGCTGACTTCCTCCAGACGCTGTTTCGATTGCTGAAGCTTTCCAAGTGTGAGCCATGAATCGGCTGCCTGCACGCTCCATAACGCAGATTTGCGAGTCCTAGCTCCCCATAACTCTGAACCCAGCCCTTTCTTCGAAGAATAGCATACAGAAACGCGTTCCTTAATGAGTACATCTCCAATGGCACCGACCAATTTATATTCTAGCAGCTTGGAACCCCATCGTGCCGCATCATCAGTCGCGGACCCGCCACGTAACCGTAGCAGCTCCATTCCTAACGCTAAGGATCGCAACGCACCGTAAGAGGCTCCACAACGTGTGATATAGGAGTAGGAAGCAGTTTCCAACATCCGGTCAACCGTCTCGGACCGTACTTTAGAGCTGATTGCTTGTGGAATTAATAAGGTGCTAATAGCAGCCATTTCATTGGCGGCAGCATGATATTTCCACGCCTTGTCGTTATTGAAATCGGAACGAAGTAGTTCATATGTTGACTGTGCTAGCCTCCAGTCCCGAAGCATGAAAGAGTAGTCTGCTAGCTTGCGCATCACAGCTTCCGGAGCATCTGGTCGGTAGAATCCCTGTGACATATCGTAGTTGCTCGATGATGACCCTGTCCCAACACCAGCTCCAGAAGAATTCCGTGAACTAACCCCAAAACCTGTCCATTTCTTAGACAAGCTAATGAATCGACCACTTATACCGCGCCGCCTCGATGCTACTTGGTCATTCCAAGTTGATACGCATCTTTCCATTGACGGGATGACTGACTGAGTGACCATTTCTCGAATAAACGTCTTTATTGCAGTCATGTCCGATTCGTAAATGCAAGGATGGGAATCTTCAACATCCTCTTGCATTTCTCGGGCTTGAATTTCGGCCAATTCTTCCGAAGCCGAAATCCATTGACACCGGGGAAGTTGAACACTATCATCGTCTGTTGCTACGCAATTACTGCTCCTGAGCCGGAGGAGATGGCAGTGGAGGCCAAAATGGCGCTTCATCTGGTCGAACAGGGTCATGGACTTCGTGATATCATCCCTTTCCTCGTCGTGAACCAGAACATAGTAACGGAGGTACTCGTTGTTGACCCAAACAGGTAGCTTTTTAGGTCCATTAGAGGACTCTGTGTAGAGATTCCGTAAAGCTTCAATGGGGTTGGCATTCCTGGAACTGATAGCAATTACACATGCAACAGGATGAGAAAATGTTTCATGGGGTGCTAGAGGGATGCCCGATAGTACCCTCCGTAGAAATAGTGTGTAAAAGGGAGAAGTGGATTCCAAGTTCCGAAGCTGCCCGTTCTTGAAGTTCAAATAATCTTCGGCATTTATGTTTGGGAATTCCTCTGTGTAGTTCAGGTGCCGGTCTACCAAGCTCTCAATCTGAGAGATATTTCCTCCAGTTCTCGAGCGTTTGCTGGCCAGATCACTTCCTCCCGGTGGGTTTCCGTTCAAGGCCGAACCTTTGCCATCCTGGCTCTTCCGTGCTTCTGGAGTCTCTAGACCATCACCTAGTTGAACAAATCGGACAGCATAATCTTCCCATGTCTTTCCAGATCCTATACTGTCCCTCACAGTCACTTTCCCATGAACTCGCTCTCCAAACGGCCTCAATAACTCCCAAAGACCTCCATTGAACCCTTTGTCTTTCACCAACTCTTCTGTATCGGCCGAGGAATGGACCGCGATATGGGGAACAAATGCTTGTAATATCAGATTTCTGGGATCATCTGAATACTCTGATGGTGGAAGTTGTTGCCCCTCCCCCGGCGTACCTCCAAATACAGAGCTCGAAGGCATACGCGATGGTGTGGGTCGTGCTCCGCTGGGAGAAGCCGACCTTGACCCAGTTGGAGTGGAGGTCGAGGCGAAAAGGGAAGATACGGAGGCATTCGAAGCTCGGTAAGGTAATGTAGATACTGAAGATGCTATTGACTGGGCATCTGGAGGTGCTCGCTGCTTTGGCATCCTCAGCGGCGAAGGCGCCGTTGGCTCGGGAGTCGTGGCATTATCGGGAGATGTCATGAAGAGCAGTAAATGCCCTTCCGCCGGAATAAAGCAAAGCTATCTGGTCGGTGTGCACCCCGGGATATGCAGGATAGCATGCGTGTAGATTGTTGAAGGTCAGCAAACGGCTGGCGAACGTGGCCTTGTAAGACTGATCAGAGGGATTATTCGGAGAGATTGTTGTAGTAGACATGTGCTTCACCCAAACGTGCATCTGGATATAACAGTCCTAGTAATCTGCTGTTTTCCGTTCATTGTCCAGTGAGTATGGCGCAAGAGCATCCGGTTCTACTGTAAACGGCGTATAATGTAATTATTTCCAACCACGTGATATATACACATTTTGACGGGAAATGGGGCCCTGCATTTTTTGGTTTGATATTGATATTTGGTATCCAACCATCTTCTAACAAATATTGAACCACCTTGGGACAGTCTGGGAAGCAGTGAATGGGGTTTTTACATTTCTACATAAGACCAGGTTGTATTTCGGCTCATGTTTTGCTTTTCAAAACGTGCCCTAGCCAACTCCTGCTGTTTTACAATTCGAGTCACCTCCATCGTTAGAGTCACGACCCTCGCCTCGCGATATAAATTCTCCACATGTCACCAAATGAAGCGAAAAGGTCTCGAAATTGAATTTACAGATCTCCCAAGAGCAAAGAAAATCAAAGCGCCAATGGCAACTCAGAAACTTCCACTCACGCCCCAAGAGCAAAGGCTCAGGAAACTCTTGCTGGATGTTGCAAGTTTCATTGATGAGGCCAAAAAGATTGAGGAGAAGATCGAGCTTCGGTTTGCTGGGGGCTGGGTGCGGGATAAGCTTCTGGGCATCCCCAGTCATGATATCGACACGGCTATCAATGTTATGACAGGGGAAGACTTCTGTCTCCAACTCCAAGAATATTGCACCGATCCCCAAAACCTCGAAAAGCACTCCCTTGGACCTGAAGATTTGGGAAGCATCCATATCATTGCCGCAAATCCAGAAAAGTCCAAGCATCTCGCAACTGCCACCAAAAGAATTTTGGGGTTTGACGTAGATTTTGTCAATCTACGGAAGGAGACATATTCGGTAGATAGTCGTCATCCTCAAGTGGAGTTTGGGACTGCAGAAGAAGATGCTCTACGCCGAGATGCCACAATTAATTCCCTCTTCTACAATCTTCTCACCGACCAAATAGAAGATTTCTGTGGTGGTTTAGAAGATATCCAGGCCAAACGCATCAGAACACCACTTGAACCTCTCACCACCTTCACCGATGATCCTCTACGAGTGCTGAGACTCATCAGATTCGCTAGTAGGCTGGGATTCAAGATTGATCCCGAGACAGAGGTTCCCATGACTGATCCTGCTGTTAGTGAAGCCCTCAAGGTCAAGATCAGCAGAGAGAGGGTTGGAGTTGAAGTCGAGAAGATGCTCAAAGGTTAGTGGATTTTCTCACAGACCTCAGAATCATGTTATTCTAATGTTATCATAGGTCAAAATCCTCTGAGTGCTCTCGAGCTCATTGATCGACTTGGCCTCTACCAGTTTGTCTTCACGGATCCCACTGTGCAAGATATTCCAATTCCCAGCACCACAAACTGGCATTTTGCCTACGATTGCTTGGAAGTGCTGAAGTCTAATGAAACTCCTGGATCTATCTACAACTCACTAGTCCGATCAGAAGATGCTAAGTTTCTTGCCTGGATCCTGGCTGCAGCTGCGCCCTGGACAAGCGTACCTCTACCACAATCTGCAAAACCGAAAACCAAACTTCCTCTACCTTTTGGAACTCTTGTTGTCAGAGAAGGAATCAAGGTGACCAGCAAAGTCTGCGATGTTGTCACGGGTGCCTTTAGAAACTTTTTAGATATCACCGAGCTTCGAGATGCGATCAAGCGGAAGGATGCTTATGTGCATGAGCGTGATACGATTGGAATGTCTATTCGAAGATGGGACTTCCAGGGGAAGAATTGGCGACTTCAAGTACTCTTGGCGATCCTGGTGGAGGCAATGAACAACGGTCAGAATGGTAAGTTCACCCCAGTGAAATGGAAATACTTTATTAATAATGGTATCAGCATTTGAAGGAATATTCAGCGAATGGCAGCTGTTCATCGATCATTTGACGGATCTGGATGTTATGGATGCACCTTCATTGAAGTTACTAGTCAATGGAGATGAGCTGAAAGCAGCACTCGGTGGGGTCAAACCGGGGATGTGGATGAAACCTGCGTTAGATGTGTGTGTAGAATGGCAATTGAGAAACCCGGGTAATGAGGATAAGGAAGGGGCGATCAATGAAGTGAGGATGAAGAGAAAGGAGCTGAAGATACCCGACGCAAAATAGGAGTCATGATACAAAAAGAGTGAAATGAAAGACATGAAAATTCAACTACAACGTCCTCCAATAAGTTTTGTCGATCCTGGTAGTGAAGGAAAGTCAAAGGCTTCATTGTTCTTTCTTTTTCGTAATCTATGAACCATTTATAAGCACTCTAAATATTCGAGATATTGAAAACAGTTGAAATCATACCTAGGTAGGGACATCGAAATGGTTCCTGCTCCGGCTCGCCTAATTTTGGCAACCCTCAAAAATCGCCTTTGGCAACGCAAATCATCTTCATCTACATCTACAACCCACGAAATGCGATCAAGATGTTTGCTTCAGCCCGTAAAGCTGCTAAATCAAAGGTCTCGAGTAAGGGCATTAGCTCCGACGAGGTGTTGATCCTCTCCCCCCAATGTAAGTCACCCCTTGCTCTTGTTTCCGTGATTCTAACGATTGTCACAGGTCTGCCTGAGCGCTACTCGCTCTCTCAGCTCTATGATGGCTTAGAGCTTAGCAATGAAAGTAAAAGCAAAGAAGTGAGTCTTTATAGCTTACTTGTAACAATTGGGTTTTGACTTTCTTGAAAATAGGATGACCTCCAAAGTCTTCTCATTCTCAATAGCTGCCTGAGCAACTTAGGTCGGCGCGAGAGAGAGAACGGCGATGATGAGAATATTAAGAGGCTATCTTTATGGATTTCAAAAGCTATCCTTCCCGATAAAACTCTCAATGGACAAGATGAAATTTCAGACGGTATGCCCTCATCCACGTCATTGGCTTCCCTCACTGACATATATATAGCCTCAATAGAAATGGCCCTCTCTCACACCCGCCACAAAGCAGCCCTAGGACTAGAGTCTCTCCAGATCCTGATTACCCAGCTTTCATCTCCACGCCCCTCCACCATAGACCCCAAGATTATCATCACACTTATCGCATTCTCTTCCACAATGGACCCCTGGACAACACCCGCAATCCTTTCCCGCTCCACTTCCCTTCTCTCCCTCTACACCCCCCAAACGCACACCCAAGACCTCATCATCACCCTTCTAAACACCTTTATCCGCCCCCTCTTCTCTCACTCAAAACCTAGCACCATCACCTCCTCAGGCCGGAAAGCAATGCCGTCCTCCGCGCCCCTACCAAAACACGACGTCGCAGCAGAACGCACCAGTAAACCGTGGAAATACGAAACTGTGTATGCTGTGCGGGTATTTTCGTGGGTTGTGCAAAATGCTCCGGTATGCGACATCTCTCTCTCTCTCTCTCTGAAACGTAACCTGCATTTACATACTAATTTAATTAATGCCCATGTAGGGAGAGATAATAGCCCAAAACTGGCACCTCTTTCTCCCACCCCTCCTGACCCTCCTCGACGACGCCTCCACCGGCTTCCGCGCAACAGGCTCTCATCTCCTCTCCACCTTCCTCCCGCACCTAACCTCCAAGCTGCTCAAGCAAAGCGGTATCGGCGAGGTCTTCGAAGACGCGCTGCTGCCCACGCTGCTGTACCTGCCGAACCTGACGCCCGTGGACGAGAGTATGCGCTTACTTTCCGGCGCGTATGCAGCCCTGGGCGTGCTGTGCGATGTGCGGTATGAAGTGGGAGAGAAGGCGAGGATTGAATTCTTGGATCGTGTGATGAGGGGGGGTGTTTTTATGGGCTATCATCATGCTTCTGAATACCCTGCTATCGTGCAGCTTCTTCTTGAGCAAACGAAAGTACTTGTGGAGAATATGGGGATACATGCTGTTAAGCATCTTAAGGTATGTCATATCATCCCATATCCTGTCGCCTTCCTTTTTTGTTCCTTAATATGATATACAGAAGAAAATATATTGATGTTGGATATCTAGGACCTAATCCCAATCCTCTCAACCACACTAACAGACCCCTTCGCCCCCACCAACCCACCGCTCCTCCTCTCCGCAATCCGAGCCTTGCAAACCGTACTCTTGAACTGTTGGCCACGGATCAGTGAGCCGAAGTATAAGATAGAGATTATTAAGGCGCTCTCAGTATCTTGGAAAGACGTCTCTGATTCCGAAGATATGGACAGGTTGGAAGAGGTACAGAAGGAGTTGAAGATGGCAGGACGGCTGTTTGTCAATGCTGTAGAGGGGGATGTGAATATTAGAGCCGAATTAAGGCCTTTAGTGGAGGTGAATAGGGGGGTGGGGATTATGTTTGGGGTTGGGGAGGGCTCGTAATAACTATCTGGCATGTATCGAAGATGTAAGGAAATACAAGATCGCTTTTTGATATTACTACAAGAATCAAGTCTAAAATATTGCTTGGTTTTGGCTGGGCGGCCTGTGAAGCAAAACTTCACTTCATGTGCGATTTAGTATGATATTCATCTCGTCGCACGCGGTCGTCCTATCTGCAAAATCGGATGCAATTCCTGGTATCCTGCGCATTGCTAAGCACCAATCCCACCGAACTCCAAGTCCATAGTAAAGTCTCAACCCCATATTCCCATAAACGCCAAAATAATCCCATCATGCCCTCCCAAACACCACCTTCAAGGGTCAATCAATAGGCTGTTGCTTAAATAAACTCTTCCCCATCAACCATTTCCTATACGCCTTATACCTCTTCTTCGGCAAATCTTCTTCTTTGACCGTAAGCGGATTCTCTGCCATCTTGAAAAAATTCCCATACAGATCCAAATCCTGCCTCTTAATCCCCGATACCTCCTCCGGCGCTTCCAATTCCACACCCACGATACCGATATCGTGCCAACTGCCGTTTACATAGTTTAGGTACTCGGTGTTGATCTGAGTAGGAATTTCGGTGGAGATGACGAGGGGCAAATTTTGAGGATGGGAGATATAGCGTGCATAGTCGCTGGCATCAGCATCGTTCACCGAGGGGTTGAGAGATTCGTGGACCACTTGCTCAAAGGTCCATTGTGCTTGCTTGCTCTTGTCTAAAGGGGTAAGCTTTTGCTTCGGTGGTTCGGGGATGTTGTGTGGTTCTTTCATGATGCCGTGGTGACTTTTTTCGTGGATGGGTTGCAGCCAGCGTTGGATTGAGATCCGTTTTGTAGGTGCAGTGGCGTTGGACATAATAGATGCGTTGTCGTCTACTACTTCTTCCTCGAATTCCTCGGAGGGATCTACGATTGTTACTTCCTTTCGGAGCTTCTTCTTCGCCGGAACGTCCTGGTCTAGTTCTGTGCGGACACGGAATGGGGAGAGATCGTAACGTCCTTCTTGTGTCGATCGGACTGGGATATATCGCAGCGTGGAGTTCATCTTGCCCAAGTAGGCGAATACTTTCTCTATCGACGAAAGTGCAAGAGGTTTGTAGTATTCAAGCCAATAATCATCGAAGAATCCTAAAGGTCTGCCGGCTGCTATTCCACACGGTCCAACGTACTTAGGCAGAGTTCGCTTCTCGAGAAACTTCGGTGTATACCAGTCTATATAGCTTCGGCGATTCTTGCTAGACCATGCTCGCGGGTTCGCGTGATGTAGGTAGTAGTCAGTAGCGAGGTCCCATAACATCGGCTGGCCTGTTGCGAAAATGTAATTGCCAAGAAAGAGGTTATATGCTTCTTGCCGTTGGCCATCGAGGAACGAGTTGTTGTAATAACGCTTGAAACTCTCAACCATATCTCTCGAATGACTTGTCCACTGGTTGATTTTGCGATACGTTTCCATGGTATTGACAAGCTGCGAGCCTCCGTATTGAACGGCAATAGTATCACCGTGGTCATGATACATGTGAGTAAAGAGATTAACAGCATCGGTGTCGTAGTCAATCAAAGTATCTCTGAGAATGCCAAGAGCATGCAGTTGGTGTCCAAGAGCTCTCTTCCCAACAACGAATTGAGCAGCGTTTGTACGGTCCAAACAGTCGATACAATTTGTCCTTGCAACTCCATTCTGAACTTTGGGCATACTTGTGATTCCATCCCCGTTGTGAAAGAACCCAGTAGTTGTCACCACATCTTCAGCAATACCTTCGAGAGTGCCGATCACGTCTTGGTCTCGACTCTTTGACGCTCGACTCATATCCCAGTGGTGATGAATGATCTTCTTGTCGGCCGGTAGAAATTGGTTGAGGTACTTGATAGCATTCGTGTACTCGTCAAGGAGCTTCTTCTCTCTAGGGGTACGCTCTCTTGACTTGACCAAATTGAGAACATAGATTGGGGCACCATATCTCTGGAACAAGTTGTCAAAATGCAACGCCGCTGCTACATAGAATGGATCGACTAGATTCAGCTCAATTGGTGGCTTTGGTGTTACTCCAGTGTTATCTTGAGTCCAGTATAGAGGGATACTTCCTCGATGTTGAACATAAGATGTAAAGCCTGGATTTGCGAACAATTTTGGGCCGGGAGCATGAAACGAAGTAGTCAAAGCTTCCGAGACAATCTGTTCCGTCTCTACATCATTGGCAACGTAGCCCAAATCGTTTGCTCCACGCTTCAAAAACCGCGCTCCAGCGAAATATCTGGACCGCCGGGCAATAAGGGTCACGTAGGCAGTCCGTCCGTAAACGGATAGCGCTGACTGGTCAATATAGCCATGTATTATGGGTAGACACCAGTCAAACGGGTTCTTCAGCGCATCGCAAGCTGGTTGTAGCAAGTGGCTGTTCCATACAAACATTGAGTTATAGTCTTGAACATGAGGGTATGGTAATCCTTTGGCCACAGCATCTCTTTCCCTTATGATGTTGTGCTGCAAGGTCTGTGTAATATTATAAGAGTAGCTGAAATAGAATGATCTAGTCAGATCAAGATTGTTGAGGATCCCCAGAAAGCGTGCCTCTTCAGTGTTCTTGGTATCTTGTTTGAAACGGGAGCCAGAGCTTGTTGTCAGCGGAAGCAGCTCGGTACCGTCAATTAAGTAGACGAAATGGCCCCCGATTATAGCCACTTGACTTCTCTTGGTTATTAGAAGCATGTAGTACGCCCCTGTGAAACTTATGAATCCAAGCAAGCCCCAAGTGCTGCATTTCAATCTCAATCCGCCGGTACTCTTGTTACCATCATCAACAGCATTGAGCAGCTGGCTCATTTCTTTCTTCGTATACACAATTTCGTCCTCGGTAACGCTCAAAGTTCCGGCGTCGACAGTCCTGTCGATCTTCAGTATCCGAAAACGTCGGTCCATCACATCTGCCCCAACGATATAGTATCGAGTCGCCGTTTCGTACAAAGAGAACTTGTGCATTTTGCAGACTCCTTGGTCGCCGACCTTCTCATACACAGCGCCCCTGTTCCTTTTCAAGTTGGAGCCCGGACTCGTAGTTCGTTGGAAAGGCCGTGCCGTCGACTCATCCTCGTCAGGTCCCCCAACTGGCATAGACGATTGCCTCTGCGAGTCTGTAGTAAGTGGTGTCTGGTGAAGAGGAGGAAACTTGGGAATTGCCTGGTCATCGGGTTCGGCACTTTTAAAGTCCATGCTCAAGGGAGAGGTCATGGCTGACGTTGATCGGGAGGCATTTTCGGTGGTCGATGCATTGCTTGGGGCATCCAAATTAGAAAACGGCGCTACATTGGTATTCGACGTGTCTGAGGGGGAGCGGCCACGTCGTAAGGATGCATCATCTTGTTCTGCCATGCTGGCGGCGTCTTAGAGGCTATCGCAGTTTCATAGTCGAGTCGCTCAGCTAGGGGGAAATTCACATGATAAGTAGGATTCGAGGGAGGACCGGTATTTCGTGGGATGTACAGTATTTTCAGCCTACAATACCGTATTTCGTAAATCGGTTGGAGTTGATGTTGATGTTGATGAGGGCTGTGATGACGGATGTCAAAACGCCGCCAAGACGTTGGTGGACGATGGATGGATGGATTTTCACATGATTGCCCAATCCACTCCTTCTCACAAGCCCCAAACATGTGAAATTCTACTTTCACTCTCACTCTCACTCTCAATTTCAACTTCCGTCGCCGAGCGACCCGTCTTTCTTCATTTTATACTCCATCTACATTATGTCTACCATTTATCTTCTTCTCTAATGTCTCTGTTGTGACGCCATGTCGGATGAGAGTCATCAGGCAAGCGCTATTCAAGAGAAGGATGCCATAATCCAGAGTGGGTGGTCGGTCCCCTGACATGTGATAGTCTCAACCTCTGACAATGCGCCCCAGGTATTCTACACGAAGAAGATGTATGTCGCGTATGAAGCGCTGGGAATACCATCATTTCACTAAACCGAATAGTTATATATAATTCTAGGAGCCCCGAGGTCTGCTACACCTGCGGAATTGAGAAGAGGTTACCTCGAACGATCGAGAATATGCCATCCCGATAAACCCCCCTTCCACCCCCTCTCTACCAGGTACGCCACCCATGCAGGCGCATACCGTGCACCCTTTTCCTAACAATCCCCAGCGCATTCCAGCGACTAGGTTTCGCATTCGATATCCTGAAATCGCCCAGTGCGCGAAGAACTTACGACCGAGCCTCCAAACCCACCCTCTCCCAACTACCAGACAAGACCTCCTTCCTAGGCGGGGAACATACCTTCCGCAGTGCCGTCGAAGCAATCTTGCAGGAGTTCATGACCGGCGACTTTGTTATCGTCCGAAGATGGCTCGAGTCCTTGCACGCGCAATATCCGCATCTAGTGAGCGAAGAAGTAATATTAAACGTCGAGCGGAGCTTTATACGTATACGAGAACTCGTTCTCACCACAAGAACATATGCGCTGCTGATATATATTGAGCTTGGGAGAATACATCGGGTTCAGAAGCGGCTTATGGGATTGGGGTATTTGGATGTTATAGGCAAGGCGAGACTTTCGATTCATCTTGTAAGGGTTACTCTGGCCGTGCCTATGCGTGTTGATCGCGCGCTGAAGCAGAGGGAAGAGAAGGCGTGGAGAGCGAAGGTTGCGGGCCTGCAGGCTAGGGGTATCACGCCTACGGAAACTAGGGGACAAGCGGGCATTTTAAATGAGCGAGTGAGCAAGGTGCTCGAGTTCATAGTAGGTGCGGCTGGTAAGGATGAAGGTGCCGATGAGGCATGGAGTACGAATATGGGGAAAGCATCTTGACACTCTTGTGGGCGTATTGGTTCACCTCTTAGCGGCATTGGGATAGGAGGAATGGTGTTTTGGCGCCACGGCTCGGACTGCGGAGGTCTGAAGGACAACGGAAGGGGGGCTGCTTGATCTAAAATACCCCGCCTTGTTTTAGTTGTTTTCCCGTCTTACAACTCGTCGTTCGCTTTTCAGCTAAGAGGATTCTTGATACGGTAGAGATCAAAACTATAAATAGACTTCTGATACTTCTCTCTCTCTCTCTGACAACAGCTGTGCTAACTCATACACTCTTTCACAGCCCTACTTTACGTCCCTTAAAAGTTCCCCTACATAAATACGGACCAAACTCCCAGATTCCTAGGAAGGAAACGCTACATACCTGAGGTAGTTATCAGCAAGTAGTCGATCAGCCTGGAAGCTATTTAGGTATTGGGTGATGCGGAATGAACGTGGACCTCGTGGCGGAGTAGGTTAGATGGATGCTTGAAGGGGTGTCAGGATATATTGGAAATTTTAATTCATAACAAGGGACATAGATAAAATTGTGGTATATAATGTAAACGATAGACTATCAAGAACGGTTTGAAATGAAAGTCGTCAAATGCTTCGCGTAAAAAAAGGAGGTGGATTGCATTGCTGCAACGTAACACTCTTGCCTCCATTCGCATGAGGATTCAACACCAACTCCTTTACCCAACTCCTTTTTACATCCTCCATCGTAAACCACGAGCCATCATTTCGATCCATCATTTCGACCCACTCCATAGGGCTGATAAGGTTGCGGGGGGGGAGTGTATCCCATGGCCCCATTCACATTATGCACCATAGGCTGCATCTCCTCCTCAGTCGGATGATAGGCAACATGAGCGCCTCCCAGATCATGCGCTGTGGTATTATGTGGCGTTGCGCTTCGAAAATTGTTCACGACCAACATCGAGAACAGCGCCAAAGCAATGGTGGGTAGAACCCACGGCGAGACGAGGTAATCCGTTGCACCATTGGTTCTTGCTATGCCTGCAACAGCGCAGAGAGCGACGCCGACGATGATATTGAAAGCGAGACGTAGCCAGGAACCGAGGGAGAGACGCGGGAAGGATTTGTGGGAAATGGAGAGGTAGTTTAGGAGGTTCATGAGGAGAATTGTGCCGCCAATAGTAACGAAAAAGTAAATAAACTAGGGAATTCATTAACGACGGCTGTGAGAGGGGGTAAAGGAAGACTTACTAGAACTCTGAATGCGTGCTCATACTTTTCATTCTGCTCCGCACTGGTCAGGTTCGCTGTGTCTTCCTCGCTAAGTTCAACCCCGTATGATTCATAGATGGAATTAATGACGGTTGAAAGGACATCGGTGACAGCATCTTCTAATGTTGAATTAGTCGTCGCATGACTCAGTTGTTCTAGCCCGTCCTGTACCTCGGTGATTGTGGATACGTATGTTGGTTGGTAAGTCACGAAAATACTTTGAATCGTTGTGTTGACAGTTGATACTAGGTCGTCCATCGAATATTCAACACTGTCATCGTTGAATTTGGCGAGTCCTGAAGTGAACTTGTCACTGAGTATTTGGACAGCCTCTGCCAATTTACGGATGATGATGACCTGTGAAGTTCCTTCCAAACTCAGAACAAGGAGCAGGTGGAAAGGAAAGTGTAGGAACGTCCAAATCTGTTGACGGATCGATCCAAAGTGGTCGTGAATGTTGAGCCAGTCGAAATACAACATGTATAAGAAATATATCATGACAACAGCCGCTATGATATTACCGACAGTGGCGCTGGTATACGCATTTTCCTGCTTTACGATCTTCCCGATGGATTTAAAAACGACAATGATACCCTCGCCGAGGATGATCAAGGTCAGGAGGGACATGCGTTGAACGAGATGCGTGCCTTTGAACGAAACAACTTTCCAAGACGAGGAAACGATGATGTTGATTCCGATTTCGACAACAGCAAGAATGTACCAAGCAGCATATACGTTAGAGGGATGGTCTTTCTTAAAGACACTGACTGGGGTTAGAACTGCGCTCTTCCGATCTGTAGGTGGCAGAAACTTACAATGAGATGCCTAGATAGATCAACCCAGCAATGAAACTGCTCAATACAAGAAGAGCTAATGGTATTTGCGATTTCTTGTATTTCTTGACGTGGAATAGGACAATCAAGTACTGGATCGACAGCACAAACCTAGACGCAGCTAGAAGCAAAGACAGCGCTTGAAATATAGTGGCTTTCTGCGCATAAGGATCTAACTTAGGGCCAACAACTGTCCAATATTAAGCATTTAGCGATCACAAATCGATCAACATGGTCGACGTTCTTACCTGCAAACCCAACCATAACACCAAATTGGAGTGCTTTGAGACATCGTTCCAGAACGCCATCGCTGACATATCTAACATCGAACAGACTGACTTGGCACCAAGTGAACCATAAAATGCAGAAGAACCCAGCGTATGAGGTTAGTGTATGGCCCCCATTGATTTCGTGAAGACTTGTAAACGTAGTGAGGTTGGCCACAAAAAATAAGTCGTAGAATAACTGCGCGTAGTCAGCAAAAATATAAAGCTCTTAATGACCATCAGTGCCTACCTCGATACTTGTTGCTTCTTCGTGCTAATTTCGTGTCGGTTATCATCTTTGATAAGACTCATATATAATGATCCAGTACATACCCGTTGGAACTCAGGAGTCTCGAACATATACATTTCATTTCTCCCATGCTCCGAATCGAAAGGCTGAGAATGTCCACCCGGCTTTTCATTAACGAGTGGACTTTTGAGGAGCGTTAATCTCCCTCTATGGCTCATTTTGAGTTTGTAAGCCTGTGGCACAGGAAATAAAGTTGATGAATGTCAAAATGTTTGCCAGTCCCAGTATAGGATCTCGTTGAGGTTATCTCTCCGTTGAGAATGTGGCACCCACGATACTTTTAACTTAGAAGAGATGCATGGCAAGGATTGTTTAATGGCATGGCAATCTAAAAATAATCTGCTCATATAGTATGGAGGTAGCGCAACTGCCAGCGTTATATAGAGTCATAGACTTGTCCTGGACCAAAAGCAGCGCTCATTATTGTCCACTTTCAATATTCCGCTTGGTTTGACATTGGAAAATCAGTGCCGCTTTTTCTAGGAGGACGTGCGTTGTACGATACAGCGTTTCTCATTTGCTGGCTTTGCAAAGCTCTTCTTGTCAGCGGGGGCTGAGTGAGCGGAGGCTCTTTTGTTTCGTGCGGGCGCCTAGGCCATGATAACCCCGCCGATGTACTTTCATCATTCAACCATCTAATTTTTAGCTCTAAACTTTAGATATCGTGGCGTGTCGATACACCGGTATGACTATACCAATACAGCCCTTAAAGAACACAAGTACTTCTGTACCAAGGTAGGTAATTGATATCCAGAAACATTAGGAATCAGGAACAGTCTTTAACAGTTGCTACTTCCAACTAGCTAATGACAACTGCCGCAGCCGCAAGGAGAACAAACAAAATAGCTTAAATCTTAGTGGGAGATCATGGAAATGAGGGCAGCTCCACCAAGATTGCCCAACGGCACAGTCAAGCAAATAGCAGCCCACAAGCCGTATCTTGGGGGCCAAGCGGCCGACCGTCACGCTAGGAAGTTCAAGCTCTGGAACTTGAGGAACACGATTCGGTCTGTACAGTACTGACTGCACCGCAAGCAACATAAAAATAAACACAAAGACGAGGCTAAATACAATACAAAATCCGTGAGCTAGAGAACACGTCTGACTTATTCCTCATAACCCACAGCTTGTGAACATGGAACAGACACCTCATCTTGTGCTATCATGACACGATCTGGCAACATATCAACGATTCAACTGTCCCAAGGCTTTCCTCCAGCGCGGACGGTGCACTTGGTGGAAATGGGGAAGGAATAAATATTTCGGCCGCCAGAAAGCCAAGCCCTGCAGGCTCGCGGTGGGGCCATGCTGCCAACGCTGCACTCGACCCTCTTTGTATGGTGGCAGGAATTCGGGAGCAGCCATCATCACACATTCAGACTGTCCTGTGTTGAAAAAGGGTTCTTTCAGCGCAGCAAAAGGAGAAAAGTTCCTTCTCAATGATGCTTGCCACAAGTTTCCAGATTAGAAGGCGATCCGGGTGAAGAAGGGAATTGTAGCTTCCCTTCGAGTGAAATCCGCTCTTTCCAAGTAAGGTTGAAGCTTGCTTGAGCAACTCCTACGATACTTCTTCCCTCAGTAGCAAAGTTGCCGTGTCTTGTACTGCTTCATGAGAACACCACGAGCGGTGGACTGAAGACATCCATTGCTGATGCCTGGGCAAGGGTTCGCCGTATAATTTGGGGAGAATGTGCCACATCAAATTGCTATCCTTCCTCTGATCATTTGTTGTTTGTCTTTCCAGATTCTGGCATTATTTCACCAGCCTTGACTTCAATAATGGTTGAATGACAATCCTCTCTCATAACCGCAATTGTTTCGACAAAAAACTCAAGGTTTGGAGCATGTCAGAACTCCGTGCATATAAATCTACTTTCCGGATCGGCATCTCTTATCAACGTTCGTGTCTTTCAACAACACAGATCGTCTCTTCACATGCGAAAAGCTGTTAAATGAGTGGAATGGTGGAGTTCATCTCACAACCTCTGCAGCCAGGATTTCATGCAAGGGAAGCCACTGGTTGTATAACGAAAGTAACAACTGTTTGGCATAAACCCACAGCATGGAAATGGCGACGTAACCGAAAGGTTCAAGAATAGGCTACAGGGGTAAACACTATGTGATTCCGTGGAATTTGGATAGGTGGATGTGTGCGCTTAGGAAGTTGAGCGCGCTAAGACGATATGGTGAAGAGGGCGAGGGGGTGGGAGGTCTTCGAAATGAAGACTGGATACGGAGGGATGAAGATTGGAAGGGAAAGTTGAATAAGAGTATGATAGTTGAGCAAGCGGATAGGAAAGGTCTAATCCGTCATGATGTGAGTTTTAGATGGCAGATCGTTGACTTCTTGGAACTGATGAATTTTTTAGCAATGGGAAGGGTTTCATTCAGCGTGTTGTCAGGTACGAGAACTCAGCTTGACGACATATTAAACATACTTCGTAAAAGAGCAATACTTTTTATCGTTTCTATTAGCAGCAAGATATGGTTTTAGGGACGAAACCAAAGGAATCTCAGAAACTTTAGCGCTCAGGTTTTCTTCTCGTTTATTGAGAACAGAAAGTCTTTCTGGTTCCGAAAATCGAAACACCCATGCCTAGATAATAATTAGTAAGTTATTCGCATATTATACAAGAAACATTACCTATATTTAAGTTCGTATCCGTCTTCAAATCCAGAAGCCGTTCTTCCCGTTACTCCGTATACCCGTTTATCAAACCCCAAAATCGAGCGACTTCCATCCCAAGACTCCAACCGCAACTCCGTACTGCGGATACATAACCGCGGAACGCCGAGAGATCTTTCCCAACTCATCCAAAACCTCACTTTTCGTTGCACGTCGTAAACACTACCGGAGCTCCTACGTTTACAGAACTCCGCCGTTCCGGTACCTCGGAGTTGAACTTTGCGTGCGTGCGTGCGTACGTGTTATCGTGACTCGTGAATCGCTGCAATTCCGCCTGTACTGTATTAATAAGCAAAGTAAAACGGTATGAAGTCAGAGTCAAAAGAGTCAAAGTCAGAGTCAAAGCAAAAGGCAAAAGCAAAAGGCAAAAGCAAAAGGCACAGCAAAAGCTTGTTATTACAGCCGTATTATGGACGCGGAAATGGCAATTCACCGTCGCTGTATTGCTTTCACGGCTCGACGCCGTTTCGGAGGGTACGTTGAGCGGTGGTACCGGCACGCTGTTTATGAATGGTCCATGGCATTTCAAATACCTTTGTTGCATGTCGAACTTTGGCCGATTTTCCGAGGCGGGACTGAGGTTGGAGGGAGACGTTGTGAGTTTGTGCATGGTGGGGCATTGTGTTGTGTAATGAGGGGTTATGGCGGGAGGGTTGTGGAACTGGTGAAGTTGTGGTAGGTAGGGCAGGTCGGCGACGTTGTGTTATGTTATAGGAAGGGAGACCGTGGCATGGTGCATATGAGGTCACCAAGTGAAACTGGAAGGATTTCTCTTCAAGGAAAGTACTTGGTGTAAGTCTACCGGTATGTTCAAATTCTTCTTCCACCACTATTCACCTTAGCACCCCGCCCCAGTCAACCCCTTCACCCCGCCCTCCTCAACATAACTACATGTCCCTTGTGCCCCTACCTCTGTGACATTCTCACTACTCGCAAGCTTCATCCCATCCAACTCAATACCATAACACGGATGAACAGTAGAACAACTCACAACCGCCGTCCGATTCCCCTTGGCCCCGGTCATATACCCCTCAAAATCCACAAACCTCACATCACTGACCAGCATCTTGCTCGTCCCCGAGAAGCTCCCATTGTTCCCCGAATCCTGATTGATATTCGGCCCAATACCAGCTCCCCTTATCTTGAAATTCTGGAACAAGATATTGCGCACAACGCCCCAGCCGCCACCTCTGGGCAACCCGGCACTTTCGTACCCGGATTGTGGAACCAAGGCGCCCACATATGTTTTTATATATGCAGAGTTGTGCATATCGTTGTTATAGCTAATAATATTCGCGTCTTTGACAGTCACGTTTTCGACGGAGGAGTCTTCGAGATACTGACCTAAGCTTCCGATAGCGATGCCGTTTCCGCCGTGGCAGGTGATGTTCTGCACGTATATGTTGTAGGAGCGCGGCTTGATGGCTATACAGTCGTCGCCGCCTTGGTACCACATGTTTGTGAGCGCGATGTTGTTGGCATCCATGGTGTCGAATCCGTCGGTGTTTTGTACCCAGTTTACGCCGTAGGGGGCGTTGAGCGCGGTGCTGTTGCAGGTTATGTGGTCGAACCACATGTTGGTGCCGTTCATTATGTTTAGGGCCCAGAGGGGTGAGTCTTTGACGAAGACTGAAGGGAGTTAGTAATTATAAAAAGTATGGGCGCGAGAGTGACGTGCAGTTTTGGACAAAAACGTCGCTGGTGTTCCAAAATACAAATGGCATTGGTCGCCCTGGTTGAGTGACGGCTTGCTCGGCGTTGTACCAGGCGTTTCCGTTTCCGTTAATGCCACCCCGGCCGTAGCCATTGATGTGGATGCGCTCTCCGCTGATGATGAAGCCTGCACGATGGTTTTGAAAAGCAATTGGGTACGAACTGTTTCGCCAGTAATCGAGATTGTCTGATAACTAGAAAGAAATTAGTAAGGACAACAACTGAATGTCTAGAAGTTCTGGGGTTCCTACAGTCCAGGTTCCCTTCCACTCAATGGTTACATCTTTAATTACTGGATTGAGCTTTGTCCCGATCCAGTAATTCTGATCTTCTGGGAAAACAATTATGCCACCATTGTTGCATTCTTCAAACGCCTTCAGGATCTGTGGTGTATCGTCCTTCTGATCACCAAGAGCTTGAACAATACACGTCTTTCCATGATTCGCTGGCCCTTTCGGAGCCGGATCCCACGGAGTTGATATGGTGGAGGTAATGAAAACAAAAAGAAGACTAATTCTAGTGAAAAACTTCATGGCCGTGAGTAGACAATTGATTGTAGAGACTTAACCAGAAATTTTGAGATCTGGACCAATGGCTTATCAAAATATTCAATTGACAGCTAGAAACCCCTAGGAATTAGTTTTGAGGCAATGTACGGATTATAGCTTTGTATAACGACAATGAAATAGAAAGGGCGAATGCAAACAGTTTTTTCTCGCTCCATCTTGAAGCTTGGGAGACAACGATGGAGACGAAGCTATGCAGGTAATACAACTGCAGCTTTGATTGGCTGCTATAGCTTAAAAACGAAGCTCAATATGTTTCCAAGGCTATCATTGGAGGCAAAATTCTCAGGAACGAAATATTTTCCCATTACCCCAGATTGTGGAGAAGGGGAGGGGGTTTAACGAGGGGTTGGCGATCAATTTTGTAGGAATCGTGTACCCCGAGGCTTTCGGCGGACATTTACCCGGCCACCGAATTGCGGGGACAAATGCTTTCTTGATAAGTATAGAAAGCCATAGGTCACTCACTACCTTTCTACATCAACCATCATGATGGTTGATAAGATTGATGAAAAGGGGGAGATCGTCACGTGAAACGCGGGGTCGTAGAAGACAAGTAGCGCCAAATTGCACTTGCACCAGCTTGTGTCTAATCGTCATCATGAACCTCAGAATAATATAAACAACAAACCTCTTACTCGTTCTAAACAAATCAATTGTCATCAGTATTCAAAATAGCTTCCACGGCCAGCACCCGTCTTTTGCGAATTGCTCGCACGATGTCTACAAACACCACAACCCCGGCCAGCGTTGGCGTCGCGCCATGGAGACCTCTCTTCCTCTCACACCTCTCTAAAATGGACTCACCTGAATTCGTCTTATCCTCACTTCATCCCGCCGAATCAAAAGAATCGCCTACACCATACGTCCCAAGAGCAAGATACTGTGTTTACCGGGGCATGTGGGCCGAGCTGCCAGAGAATAAACACAACAATGCGCCGCAGAATGACCGAGTTTACGAGAGCGATTTGCCGACTTTTACGACTGACGTGAGGATGGAGAAGGTTCCCGAGATATTTGCTAGCTCACATGGCCATGGAGAAGTTAGTCAGAGCCAAGGTAGTGGCGGAGGAGGACCTGTCGAGGCAGTCTTCTGGGTGAAAGACGTTATGACCCAGTGGAGAATTCGAGGGGAGGCTTATATTGTCGGTCCTGATATTGACGGCCCGGGAGCGGAATCAAGTGGTACAAGAACGGTGAAAAGCAACGTCGGAGAGAGGATGCGTGTAGTAAAAGAGGACGGAAAGGAAGGTTGGAGTTGGCCGAAAGAACTCACCGCCCACTTTGGGAACGTGAGTCCTGGCATGAGGGGCTCGTTCAAGAATCCAATGCCTGGCTCATCTGTTTCCATTCCGCCAAACGACAAATCTTTAGGGTTGGGACAGAAAGTCACAGATCTAAATGATAAGATTGCTAGGCAGAACTTCCGAGTGGTGATCATCAAGCCTGAGGAGGTCGAGCAGCTTGATCTGACTCAACCCGATAAAGCTCGGAGGTGGAAATTCACCTACGTTGGCCGCCAAGTAGATCAGCGAGGGGACGCTCTTGGCGAATGGAAAAAGGAAGAGTTGTGGCCTTGAAGGAAGAAAAGAGAAGAGAAGAGAAAGATTTGAGCGATTAAGATTAGATTCTATTCCTCGCCTAGATAATGCAGCAAGTTTCATCAGGATAGTAAATTGCTTGGGCGCTTAAACATACGGGAAGGTGACCTATCAATCTCTGGCTCTCAACCAATTCGATTTCGAGACAAAACGCTTACGGACGACATTCCACTTTACATCAATGCCCCGATGACTTTACGCCGCTTTTCTGCAGGTCAGCAACAAGCTTGATGAACTGCCACGTTTATGGCATGGGTCAGAGTTTCATTTGCGCAATCTCCCATGTCAATAATCTCCGTGCCACGAGGGATAGCAAGTCTTCCTGGCTTCCAGAAGTTCTATAGATGCGCAAACCAATTTACAAGTTGGGGGCTTGCAACCGGATCTGCTTGAGATACTTCCCCGTGGTGGAGCGGAATGGGTCTACTAGCACTCCGTACAGTAAGAAGTTTGTTTGCTTCGGCGACAGGTGACGACGATGAATGGATGAGCTTCAAAAGTTAAAATAAAAACACGCTGTCTAGAATGTCTCGTGCATAGGCTAGGCCTACTCGTGCATACTTGATCATATTGGTCGGCGAGGTCGCTACCCTTGGTCCAACGTCCAACCATCCAAGAACTACAAATAAATGCATGCCGAGAGATGTTGGTTTCGGGAGCATGTGAATGAAATGGTCCGGGGCTCTACGACTCCACGGACAACAGTAACATTGCAAGCCAATCTTCTTCCCGAATTGGGAGGCAGCCAAAGTCAGGAGGCCAATATTCTTATACCAGGGCGCGTAAGCTTCGTTTTAGCCAGGCCAGGAACCAAGTCAGATCATCAGATGGAACAGACGAGAAAACGGCGACCAACACATAGCTTGGCGTATATTCAGGTTTACTTTCCTCTACGGCTGATTATGGATCAATTGAAAATTAAATATCCTCCGCACGGAAGGGAACTGCGCAGAGTGTGTGTGGGGTGGCCCGACCCGCACCGGGCTGAAGACAGACAACCGTTGAGATAAGCCCATGCATGCTAGTTCAGAGATTTCCCTCGTGGCTTCTAGGTCAGGGGCTTTGTGGGGGTTGAGATATCTCAAAACTCTTCACGTAAATGCCCTGCAGCCAAGGCATTGAAGGGGATCTTCATAGAGTAATTGATCTTACGGCTTAATTGCAATACGGAATACTGTGCACCTTGATTGTGCCAATTTCATAGACACATGATATATTTCCCTTTGGCCGGCTAATAATACCATGATATGATATTGGGAACGGAAGGCAGGGCAGTCACACAGGTCGCCGAAAGTGTGTTACTTGTGACAAAGCAGACATTTATCCAGTTTGTCAGCGGCAGCAACATCGTTCAATTAGATCTCGTAAACAAACGAATAACTGTCCTGTAGATGGCTGCAACTGGCAGTCTGGGACGGAGCGACGGAGCAAGCGGAACATGTCAATTAATTCAACCCATCCATCCATCCATCCAACCAACCATGCAAAGCTCGATAAAAGCCGGCAATTGTTTTGTCCGTGTGTGTACTAGAAATACATACGCACGGCTGCGGCTACAGTGCATGTGCAGATACAGCAGTATTACCAACACGAACTACATACAATTGCAAGGGTCCTTCCTGCATCTAAAAATGTAACACGAAATGACCACATCCATAACCGCATCTCAGATCTTTTAGAGTAGTTCGTTAACACTATCCGCAATGGGCTTACTCTGGGTCTGGGGGAGGCATCCACGCACACCTCACTCTATTATTCATCAGGAGTGTAGAAGTTTCTGTGTGTATGGAGTATGGCGGTCTCATCCCATCCCATCCCGTCCACGACTACTACTTACTGTACTTGTAATGTACTTAGTCGTGGGGCATACGAGTATCCTTCAAGGTAGGGAGGGACCCATATCCTTGTTGGCTGTCATGCAGCCTACGAGTACTGTACTCCGTAAGATTTCTTCATTCCTTGTCCCTAGGCTACTTAACAGACCAGTGTACCACGGAAGTACCTCGAGGCATTGGATTGGCGATTAAACATGCTGACTCGTACAAATAATTCCTCGTCGGACCGGCATATAGACTGGCATACGAGTAAACCAGACAAGGCCAAGACAAGGCAGACGGAGGATTTGCATACAGTGCGGAGTACTGAGTACATTAGCTTTGCACTTTCTCCGCTAAGTCCAGTACAGTACCGTATAGTACCCGCAAGCTAGCTCACTCACCTCACTCACTCGTCACCTTCAACCTCCTCTCCAAAACCGAACATGTCGCAATAAACACCTATCCTTACCTTACTTGACGTCGTTTGGATGGGCAAAACTTCTTCTTCTTCTTCTTCATTCGCGTTTCAACGTCTATTTACTTTTGACTGCCTTCAACGTTCGGCATTGTATACTCGCATAGCACCGCCCTTTGTACGCCGGACCCTTGTGCCGCATTTAGCACAATGGCAGGCGCTGCTTTCTCAACTTTAGACGCATTAATCACCCTTTGCACATCCGTCCCCGAATGGAACGGCCGGCTCGACGAACTCAATGGCCAAATCGCCCTGCGCCAAATCGAACTCGCTCGATTGGAAGACCAAGAACGCCCGCCAACCCGACCGTCTCTCAAAAACAAAGGGTCTACCGAGTCACTACGACCCAAAGATGCGGACGAGAACCCCTTTTCCTCCCAGAACGATACGGAAGAGATCCAGATGAGCCCGTTCCAATCGCACTCACCAAAATCACCTCAGAATGGTGTTGTCCCAGCCCGCCGAACCAGCTCCTCGAGGGGCGGCGCGAGAGCACTTGTTACCCCACCACCTCCGAAAGCAAACTCGAATCCTCGGGTCTCGCCCACCGCCAAGTCCCGGCAATCATCCCAACCGGCGCCTCCTACACAGGCTCGAGTCGGGCCTACTGTCCTGCGGAAGCGGAAGACGGAGTCCATTGCCTCGGGAGAATCGAATACGCCAAAATACAGGACGCGGTCTATGATAATTGTATACTATGATAGCGCGGTACAGACGGCCTTTGAAGAGCTGGTCAAGTTTGTGAGTGCGAGTAGGAATGCTATGCGGAAGGGAAAGATGGCGGCGAAGATGGGGGAGATGAGGAGGAAGGCAGAATTGGAGCTCGAGGCCGAGGAAGAAGAGGACGATGACGAGGAGGGCGGGAAAGGATTGAATGATATGCTTAATGGTGGGAACTTGATGGCTGCTGGGAAAAATGTGAAGGCGGGTGAAGCCCCAATAACGAAACTGAACTATGTCTCTACGAGACAGATGGGACCGCCCAGATTTACCACACAACTGTCTGAAAACCTGGGGAGTACCTTGAGCGTGGGAATGATGCGAGGATATAGGCGAGGGTGTGGGGTGCTAGATATCTTCGACGAGCTGGACAAAGGGCTGGAATGGTGTCAAAGCCAGTGCGAGCATGCTGCACACCAATTCCTACGGGACGGCGAATGCGATGCCGAGATTACCAAAATCAAGAAGAAGTTAATCGAGGTTAAAACAGCTGCGGAGAAAGAGGTCGAACGGTTGAAGAAAGCCGAGGAGGCCGAGAAGCACTCGGTGAAAGCCCCGGTACCAAAAACGAAGAGCAGGGAATTCAGAACTCCACATATTAGGAAGGAGATGGGAAGCCTGAAAGATCTTGTAGTCGACGATATGGAGGTGGACGACGACGACGAAGGCGTGGACGATATGGAGCCCCCCCCTAAACTAAGCTTCAGAAGATCAGGACAGGTTTAAAGGACCAAAGAAAGCTCCCTGGATCTTCAAACAAGAGAATCTCACCGGTTTGAGTACTCAGTCTCTGATCCGAGCCTCAACAACTGGGGAGCAAAGCAATGAATGCAAGGGAGGTAAATTTGATTTGATTTATTTATGGGCGGATTTATGATCGAGTACAATTTAGGCTCCTTGTCCACCGAGACAAGAAGAGTCTGTTTTATATATACCCATTTCGAGCGGAAAATTCAACAAATCAATAAACAAGCAAGCAAGCGGATTTATTGGAGTACTGGGAGGCAAGCCAGCTAGCGGGCATTTGTCAGGCGTCATTCGGGTTGGTTTAAACCTTTGGTTACTTCATCCTACGCACATCTGCTGGAAGATTCCGGATGCATAGCGGAATGGAATGGAATGGATTGGATCATATATGATATTTAATAGGCCGTGACCTTATCGGCAGGCAGCATTCGTTTTAGATGGCAGGCAAGTAAAAGTATAGAATTTTTAATCGCAGATGAGAAACTCAAACGCATTCTGTCTTGATGATGATTTATAGAAGTTGTTTAGAGGCAATCATTGATACTTGCGAGATGTCTTTGTGTTTTGTGTCTTCGTTATGTAGTCATATCATAGATGCGTCGTGAATATCTATCTATCTATCTGACAATACCGCCTGTCAAGCTCTTGACCTTACAAGCTCCACCACTCTCGGTAACAAGCTTGCCAACTCCAGTCTTTGGAGCCTCGCCCTCCTTGCTCAGCTCCTTTACAACACTAGCATCGAAACCAACTTCCAAATCACTGGTAGTAGTGAAGCCCGGTTGGATTGTCTCCCAAACTTTCTTCTTAGGATTCAGCACACCTTCCGGCTCTCCCTTCCATCCCTCAAAGAACACCCTCTCGCCAGCCTTTGCATCAGCAGGCGGAGTGACCAACTCAACTGGCCCTGCGTGATGGTCTTCCTCTCCCTCCTTGAGTCTAGGCGACGCCGCCAAAACCATAGCAGAAGATTTGATCCCACGCATCTTGACCGGCTTCAGATTACACACTACGATGACCTTCCGGCCCTGCATCTCCTCCAGCGGAACAAGCCCGTTCAGGCCCGAGCAAACAGTCCGGCACACCTGGCCCTCGAACTCAGTCGTGTCATCCGTCCCCGGCTTATCACCCATGGCAATGGTAGAAACGAACAGAGAATCCGCCTCAGGGTGCTTGATAGCCTTCAAGATGTGCCCGACGCGCAAGTCAATAAGAGTGGGGGATAGCGGTGCGGCCACAGCAGGGGCTTTTTGCGGCTTGGGTGCCTTTTCTTTCTTCTCCTTCTTGGGTTGTTGCCCGGTCACAGCACCAACAACTGCATTCTTCGCCCCCTCGACCTTCTCCGCTACCTTCTCGCCTACGCCTTTCCCCTTTGTGCGATCTGCCACTGCAGCTGGGTCGCCCCCAGCAGCGGCAGCGGCAGCTTTCTCCTTCTTCAAGCGCTCCTTCTCGGCCTTGGCATCAACAGGCGGCTTCACATAGAGGATCTCCTCGGGATCAACCTTCACTTTCTCCGCCTCCGGGACAGATAGCCCGAAGAGCGGGGAGTTCTGCACAAAGTCCAGATGGCGCACGATGTTGGGGTGGCCCTGCTGGCCAGTGCGTTGCTCGGGCGTCCAGGCCGCGACGTGGGGAGCGAGGGATTGATAGAGGGCTACGTCTGCTTTGGAGGGCTTTGCGCCGAGGAGCGTGGTGCGGGATGCGAGGTGCGTGTTGAGAGTGTCGAGGAGGGTTTTCTGGTCAGAGCTGGCTTTTAGGCGGTCCGAGGTCGTGAGCCATTGGTTGATTTCGGCTAGTTCGCTGTCGCTGTAGGTCAGGTTGGTGAAGGACGCCATTGTTCTGGTGAAGGGAGTGGTGAGCCGGATGGCGCGCGGGAGGATGCGTGTGGGAAACAGCTTGACGGTGGGTGGGGTTGGAGGGGTGAGTGTGAGTTGAGTGGAAGAGCGACTCAAAAAAAAGTTGTCGTGCAGCGAGTTGTCACATGACCGGATCTTCAAACTGAAAGAAGCTGTGGAAATCCGTCCTGTATCTCAACTGGTTTTCTAATTTCAGGAAAGTCACGAAATCGCCTTGCTTTCAATGACTGGCTGTAGTAGATGTTTGGAATATTCAGAAGGAGTGGCCAAGGATCTGTTTCGATTGTTTGTTAACCATCAATTGAGTTTTCTAGAGAAGTTGTGGCCAGATAGAAGTATTAGTCTTCGAGGATGTTTCTATACTTCCTTCTTTTTAAACACCCGCCCATTCTACTATTCAAATTTTAATCCTCCGGCGGGTGCATTGTTTAGAAGACCTCTTCCATCTCAGAAGTGCATAAATGTAAAGACATGTTGATCAAGTACAAAGTTATGATGCAGCAACTCTTTGTACACGTTCGTCAAACTTGACTGGCTACAATGTCATATTGAGTCAAGGTTTCCAGATGAGGATTGCTTATCTGATTAACACCGGGGAGGGGACTAAAGTGCGGGGTGAAGTTACATCCGGTGGCTACGCTACCTACTTAAGTCCTTTCTATTCCTAGATGTCTGAATAGTATATATAGTACCTCACACTAATTGGACGAAAGCTTTTGAAGGCAAGTGAACCATTTGATAGGCTTAATTCAACCTTGAGTATAATCTAGCCAATCAGCATAAGCTTATTCATCAGCGCTCTTGAACACTTGAACATTATGTCTAGAACAGGAAGAATATATAACCGTCCGGAGGTTCTCCATATGCAAGTAAAGAAGATCATTTGCCTAATAAGTACTTAGCTCGATGCTTATTCCAAAGCTTGTTCTCCGTATACCACGCCAGGCCAGGGTCCAGGACTGATCTAAAGCGACCACACTATCACATATGCCGACCGACACGCGCGTACTCCAACACAACGACCTCTTCTGAAGCATTCTTCAGTTCTAAGAGACTAAGTCTTGCCCACCTGGCCCTTGCTTGCGAGTCAAATTCCAGATCAAAATGTCAACGGGTTCGGTAAGTCAAGACCTTTTCCATACGAAAGGATTCTCTCTCCATTCTTCAAAGCACTGCCAAGAACCTTGGCATTTCATCATCTTGCCCCTCCACACCTCTCTAACTGACACCGATGAAGGAGAAAGCCAATCTCGCGCGCATCCGTGACAACCAAAGGCGAAGTCGAGCCCGGCGAAAAGAATATCTACAAGAGCTGGAAGCCAAATTGCGCCAATGCGAACTCCAAGGGATCGAAGCCTCCGCGGAGATCCAAGTTGCAGCTCGTCGAGTAGCCGATGAGAACAAGAAGCTGCGAGGGCTTCTATTCCAGAATGGCGTCGCAGAGGATAGCATCGAATCGTATCTGAACTCCTCTCCTGCGACGGAGACGGCAATGGGTAGCCAGTATGGTGGGAACACAGGACCTGCTGTACAGCTCCTAGAACAACTACTATTGAACCGAAAAGTCTGCTGTACAAACTCGAATATAGCACAATGTGATGGAGTGACTGGAACCGGAAGTCGAGATAGTTCCACAAGCGTCAGCACCATGCAGACTACGCCTTGGGACATCCATCAAAACCCATCCACACACCAATTCATGACCCCTACCAGCAGCGCCGCGAGCAAAGCAAACAGTGTTAGCCGGGGCAATGATTCGAATCGAGGGGTACCACATCATCAAAGATTGGTTTCCATGCCTCGGAACCTCAGTCCAGCCTCAAACCCAAATCAATCTGGACACGACTCCCAAATTTTCGACTTCAATCCTCTATTGCAGCCACAAAACCCCGTGTCCTACAGCACGTCACACCAAAACAGTGCTCAACAGCATTTACAGCCTTATTCCGCGCCCCATCATCAATCTTCAATATATACACCTAATACGGATGCGAGTACAAATGTCAATAGTTGTGGTTTAGCGACTGATATGATTGCTTCTATGGCTGGCGGCGATCCTGCTTCTGTTAGGGCAGATTTGGGATGCCTACCGGATATGGAATGTGAGGTAGACAGCCATTTGGTTTTCAATGTTATGGATAGATATATGGGAGATAATGGGTAATAACATTTATGGGTTTGCAAACTTCTTGGCACGTATAGTATGTGAGGCATTTTGAAAGGTTGTCTTACAGCAAGGCTGTTGGCAGGCATGCCCCAATAATTATTGTAGGGCGTATTCCAGCGTTTCGGAGAGCGGCGTTCAAGTGCTCAATACAATCCGAATGTCTCTTATTACTTGGGACATAGGTACAATGTACACATCACTGCAGTCGTCGTTTTCGAGTTGTATCAGCTTGAGTTGGGCAAATATATACTAATTCAAAGAGCCAAAGTACAAACTGAAAGTTCGTTTGTATTGCCTTTTTGTTCCTGGTTGGAACACATTAGTCTGACAGCTTTTTCAATATACGTTGGCAAAACATGGCACGTGGTGCAAGACAATGTTCTAGACTTTGTGTACGCAAGGCCAGATTTGACATTCTTGCCGTTGCTCTCATTCATTATGAGCCGAGCTCCCCTTTCGGATGCCTACATTCCTGATTGACTCAAGCCTGTACCATCCCTCCTTCGGGGACCGCTTTCCCAATTCCATTAGACTTTCAGTCTGGAATTACACTTTTTCTCTCAGACCAGTCACACACATCTTTTCGTCTTTGCTTTTCTAACCTCGGCCATGTCGAACAGCGATACCCGCTCAATCTACAACTTCTCACCCTTCCTAAGCGCCCCCGCCGTCCGCTCTTTAGCCCGCGCCTCCGGTCGCATAACACCCATCAGCATCCCCGCAACGCCTTACCCGTCTCCCTTCGCACGCAACATCACCCCGGACCAACTCACAAACCTAAAATCGCACCTCGTAGGCCCCCAGACCGGTGACCGTGGCCGCGAGATCTGGGAGAGTTGGAAGAGGGCGTGGGATCTATGGAATAATCATTATATTGATGGACGTGTGAATGCGCAGTGGGTGAAGAAGGAATGGGATCGCAGAGCGAAGGAGAAGGAGGAGAGGCCGAGGAGGAGGAGGTTTGGTGCTCCGAGATCGGGACGGCTCGGACTGCTTAGTCCTAAACAGGAGCCGAAGTTGTATACTGAGTACGAGGGTGTTGATCCGCCCGAACCGGAGTGGGGGAGGAAGTGGATCAAGAAGGAGAATAGGAAATTTACGTTTGAGACTGGGGAGTCTATTTCTAGGTGGAAGACAAAGAAAGTGCCCAAGGCGGCATGGGACGGTAAGGGGAGGAGGAAGAGGGGGGATGGGGGCCAGATTCCAAGGAGAGTTGCGGTTATGAAGTTAGCTGATGGTGGCAAGTGGGAAGAGTCAGATGAATACAAGCTGGTTGAAGGTTCATTCAGCGATTCTGAAAAGGACCAAGAAATGACAGATGGGGAAGGCGAGGAAATTGAAATTGAAGTAGAGTACTTCGAACCTGAGATTGCCGCAGGAATCATGCCAGTCTGGCAATTGGTCGATGACTTCCATGACACACGGCCGAAACCGAAGAAAAAGAAAATGCCCGTGAAGAAGGAAGTCAGACCTCCATCGCCTCCATCAGAGGGCTTCAGTGAACTAGAATCGGCATCTCCGATCGCGATGCAGGAGGCTGATGACGAGGACATCATGATCATTGATGCTGATACGGACTCTGAGGACGAGGATGAATGGATCCCTCATACCGAAGAAGTCGATGGCTCCAGTGGGGGATTTTACGCGATGAAAGATTTAAAGGAGTACCAGCAACATCTCGGCGAAGAGTGGAATGATATCCTGACCAACACTGTCTGGCGACCACGGCGTGTTGGAGAAAAAAAGTTGAAAATCGAGATGGACGAAGACTTTCACGAGAACTTGGACGATAATGAATTGATGGTTGATGGCGGTATTGATTGTGGGAAAATTCCTTACCCTGTAAGCAATCAATCAATCAATCAGCTATTCTAACGTGCAACACTAACCCATTATTCAGGTGCTTCGGTGGGTTGATAACTATGTTCGTGTGCTATCTACGGACAATGTTTATGACCGAGCCTTCCAGAAAAAGAGACAATGGGATGGAGTTACTGGAACTGTTTTCAACATACCAACCAAGCCACTCGAACTGGATAGCGATTCAGAGGACGAAAGACACGTTCTTGTCAGAGCCATGTTCAGAGAGTATGTGATTGAGGACCCTCTGGCTCACAAGACTGATGTTTTCCCACTCGACATTCGCCGTGTCAATCTCGTCAATAACCACTCTGTCTGCGCGATCGAAGACAAGAGCGGAAACGAAGACCTGCTGCGATACTCTTGGGACAATCCCATAAAAGACTACAGGCCGATGGAGGCGTGGGATCCATGGTATGTTACCGAGGAGCAAGAAGCGAAGCGTGATGTGCCGCCTCGTCGGTATCCCCCACGCGAGCCCAAGTACGGGGCCAACAGCTTGATACCACTAAATGATGTCAACTGGGTACAGAATCGTGTGATGGACGAGTTGGGGGATTCGCTTTATTTTGTTACCAACCTGCATGGTGGGACTTTGATCATCAACGGCCAAGAGATTAAAAAGGGCCAAGTCGCCGGCCCACTACCATCATTTGCGGTGATTGAATCTCCTGGTGGTCAAGTATCTTTCTGGTGGGGTGTCGGAGGCAGGAATTGGAATCAATCATCCCAAGCGCCTCGTGCGCGGGACTGGGAGATATTAAGACAAATTCCCGAGTGGAAAGATGTGGGGTTAAAAGCTGGTGTTGTTTGGGATTCCAAGATTCAAGACAGGATCAAGAGGGAAGAGGAAGGTGACGAAGAAGAAGATGATGAGCTGTGGAAAGGCTGGAAGAATCCTAAGAGTAATGAACCCGATTTAGACGCAATGACCGATGCCGAATACGGTATGTTTGGTTTATTTTTTACAAAGTATAATGCTAACGAACTTGGTAGGGGCGCACTTTGGAACCCAGTATATCACTGACGACTACCTGGTCGCTGCTGATCAGGCAATCGACGAACCCGGGCCTCAGAAAGAGATCCCACCAGCAAGCACTTTTGAAACGGAAGAGGAAGAGCTGAAATGGGTAGCGGTGAAGTCGAAAGTGCTCAACGAGAAAGCAAATCAAGTCGTTCGTAGCAGTCTCATTGAACCAAGGGGTAAAGATTTTTGGCCTGGAACCATATCTCAAGAGGACGTTTTACCTTTAGGACAAATCACCGAGTCCTCGATGGAGGATGTTTGGAGGAGGGATAAGCGTCAAGTCATTGCAATCCAGCAAGCTGCAATAGGGACCATTGCGTCTAAAAAGGAAGCCGACAAAGCGAGAATACTCAACTGCAGGAAGCGAAGACGCCGCGACGATGTCACATTTCAAGAGAAGGTAAAGAGGCGCAAAGCAGATCTCACACTTGAAATCGAGCGTCTGAAGGCCCAAGAACAAGCGAGTGAGAATGCGGCGAAAGCTGCAGCGCTCAACGCGGAAATGACTCGATTGGCAGCCAGAAGGGAACGTGAGAGAGAGACGAGCATCGCAGCTCTTGTGAAGCGGGAAGGTCTGTCTGAGCTAGAGGCTACACAAAGCATTGATGATGCTCAGAATGAGATTGTGAAAAGATGGCATGCGCTAAACCTGCAGAGACTCGCTGAGGGCAAAGAGGAACTCCCAGGTCGAGCGCCTTTGACGCCAGTACAGATCGCGGAAGTTGAAGTTGAAGAGGAAAGGGGAAGAATGGCGAGAGTTAGTGCTGATGAGAAGGAGAGACAGAGCAAGGAAGATGAAAACAGGCGCGAGAAGTCTTGGAAGGCTGCTGCTGAAAGAGCGAAGAAGAGTCCTGTTCTGAGAAGCCCGAGGAAGAAGAGTATGGTCAAAAACGAATTCCAGAACACCACAAAATTGGTTAAGAAGGAAGTACAGCAGAAGGTGAAAAAGGAGACGATTGTGAAACATGTAAAGATAAACGCGGGAAAAGTCTCTGGACGGGCACTCGAACCAGTAAACGCTGGAAAGACAGAAAAGAAACATGAATGGACCGCCATCGAAGACAAGGGAGGCAAAATCAACACAAATACCCTCATCACCCCCGAGCGCCAATGGTTCCTAGAGCACCTCCACGAAACCGGCGAAGGCAAACTAATGCCTCCCCCCTCAAGCCCCCACGAACTGCACTCGAGCATTGAAGCCAACCTCCGCGCCCGCGCCTTCACCGCCACCGTCTCGCCCGCCAACTGGGTCCGCGCCAACACCAGCTTCTCCAGCGTCGAAGAATACATCTCGCAAACCGCAAAGGACATGTACGAAGACGATTCCAAGAAATGGGAAGACGTAGCTAAGGAGCAGTTTATGAAAGGCCTCGAGGCCCGCTGCCGTCTCACGGGCAAGTCACCCAACGATATTGCCGCCGAGAAGGGGTTCGGGAGTATCGAGGCCTGGTTCCACGCCATGACGCGCCGCTTCAAGTCCTGGGCAAGACCGCGCAAGCCGCTTCCTGAGGTGCAGGTGGGGGAGACGGGGTATGAGGATTATGTGAAGAGGAAGCGCGTTTGGGAGAGAAGGGAGGCGCAGAGCTTGCTGGATTGGAGGGAGAATAATCAGATATTGTTAAGGGAGATTGGGGATTATGAGGCGGAGGTCTTGCTTGCTGATAAGGAGAGGAAGAGGCATAGTTTTGATGCTAATGTGGTGTCGGCTGAGATTTAGAGGAGGTGAGTTGCTGAGTTGCTGAGTTGGGGATGGTTGAAAGGAAGGAAGGAAGGGTGGATGGAGTTTGAGTTGGGTTGATTTCAAATGCGATGGTGTTTGAGGGTTAAAATTGGCGAGATGGTAAAGGGGGGAAGGAAGGGCGTGGCTTTAAAGGCGGTGGATTCGATTCGACGGATCTGTCTTAATTTTTCATTTTTAATTAATGAGAATGTCGGTTGTTGATTTGGTTTCCTAAAGGCCTGAAGGGCTTTCAAACAAGTAAAGTAGTCATGCCGATGTAAGGTTAGTCAAGAGTCACTGAGTTCAAGTCTGAATTGAGCTGAGCCGGCTTGTGAACTAGATCAGGAGAAGCTATTCCATGTTTCCGTGTTAGAATTATGTCTTCTCGGCCAAGGAACACAGCCAACATCATAGATACTTCCTCCAGTCATGCACATCCTTGTAACCCAAGACCTCCCTAATCTTTCTATTACTCAACGGTGCCTCATTTGCTCCCATTTCTCGCGTGAACTTCGTCCCGGGGCATTCCTTCTCCAAGAACTCTTTTGTCGTCAAGTTATCTTTGATCGTAATTGTATCATTAGTAGCATTGAAAACTTGGAACCCAAGACCTAATTATGAGATTCTCATTAGTTGTTGCTCCAAATTTCGGATATATTTCTCCTCCACTTATCAAGAAAGAAGAACAAAACTTCCCGAAAGCACGAGGGAAAAGGAAAACAAAGGATCATACCACTCTTCCCAATCGCCAAATCACATATTTGCCCCAAATCCCTCGCATCGATATAACTCCACGCATTCCTCTTCCTCGATGCCGGATCTTCAATGAACGCCGGGAAATCCCTCGCATACTCATGCGGCTCTATCACATTACCGATCCTCAGCGCATAGATATCACTCTTGAAGCGTCTCGCAAAAGTGCGTGCGGTTTTCTCGCCACATATTTTAGAAAGCGCATACCTATATACAGTAAATCCCAACGATCAACATTGCGCTCTCTCTTCGCTTCACTTCCTTCCGAGAAGGAAATGAAAGAGGAAAGGGGGAAGGAGGAAGGGAGATGTGCTTACGAATCTTCCGGATCAACATCATACTCCTCATCAAGCGGGAAAGAATGATACTGCGCATCGCCCTGCGCAAAACAAACTCCGTAGACCGTCTCCGAGCTCGCGATAATGATCTTCTTCACCCCAAGCTTGGACGCAGCTTCCACTACATTATACGTACTCCTCACATTTGCCTGGAAGAGTTCCGAGTCCGGGACGAGCATATTCCTCGCATACGCTTCTCTCAGTCAACATCAACACCAAACTCTCACTCCCCCTTTCACTCCCGACTCGAGAATAACGAGTGTAAATTGTTATAACATACCAGCAAAATGAATCACTACATCGGGCGGCCCAGGCACCGGACCCGCCTCATACCCGCGCATATCGAAATGGCTAGTCAGCGCATTAAACACCTGTCCGGAATCCGTGAGGTCGGTCTTCAGTGTGTAGACGGCGGCCGCGGGGTCTGGGAAGGGGAGCAGGTCTAGATTGAGGACTTTGTGGCCTTTGGCGAGCAGGTACGGGATTACGTGGCGGCCTGCTTTGCCTGAGCCGCCTGTGAAGACCTGTGGGTGGTTAGTAGACGGTGCGGGGGATGAAAGGGACAGTGGGGGATTCAACGAACAATTCGTTTGCCGCTTTGGGTAGTGGAGGACATCTTGCGCTTGAGTTGAGTATAATGTTTGCTGGTGGAAGGATGCTTGTTGGATGGAAAGGAAACAGAAGGCAACGAGGTAATAACAGGTATATTTGTCGAGAAGATCATTAGATATAGGTCTTACGTCACTAGAGGATAGATAGTTCACGGGTGTGGACAAGCTGACCCGCCACTTGTAGAAGCGTGATCTTGAAGAGGCTCTCGATTTTATTGAATAAATTGTTATTAATCTTACAATTTCAAGGCGTTGCGTGTGCTAGTAATGAGTTTGGCCTCATGTTTTTCAAGCAATCCGAGAGATCAGTTAAATAGCCTCACTTCGGTCCAACAAAGCTTGAAAAAGGAGTAAAGATATGCTATGCTTCCAAACCAATGTACAAGATACAAAGCATTGCTCAGAGAACAACGCACGCTCAATGCTATTATCATCTCAATGCAGAACCGCTGTGCCGTACAACTAAGTCAGCTTATGCTAAACGACGCCAGGGCGTCTAATTGTACATTTGTGATACATTCCAGTCCTCTATTTCTTTCCCTTTTTCTTGGTAGGAACGACTTTGAAAGCCTGAGAAGCAGTCTCTTCTTTGGGTGGCCCTTTCTTGGCAACCTCGCTCCACCCACCACCGGATTTCTCCCCAGCGCCAGACGCAGGTTCAACAACACCCTTATCCGCTAGCTTCTTACGTCGGAGGTATTCTTCAGCGAAGTGGCGACCATCCATCAGTTGTGAGTTACTATAAATGCTGTCTGTGATGATGCTAGCTTCAGGAGGAAAGTCCGAGAGCATGCGTACAAAGTCGTCCACTATAGAAAAAATCAGTCAAGGTTATGTCAAAGTCGATGTTGGCATACATACCATTTATGCCAGAATTGAGGCCCTTTGCCAACGTAGCTTTCGCCCATTTGTTAAACTCTTCGTGGGCGGAAGTCGTGCTGGCTGATCCACTTGCGGTAACACTGCGAATTACTGGTACAGGTTTGGTAGTACGAACACTAGATGGCGTAGCAATGCTTGCACTGGTCACTGGACGAACAGCTTGTGGGGCAGCGGCTGCTGGGCCGGTGGGGATCTTCACTTTGCCGCCAGCGCCCACGGTAGACCAAGCAGATCCTACTGTTGGCACACTTGCAGTTGACTTGCTGGCAAGATCAGCATATCGCTTTCCACCGGACACAGAAGCAGGTTGTGAAGCGGCAGCAGCTGCTGCAAGCTTTTGCTTTCGCAGCTCCTCTTCCCTTTGAATGTCTGCAAGAGTTTTCTTGGAATTAGCAGACTTGCTAGGAGCTGTAATGGTGGAGATCGCTGCTGGCTTTGCCCATACTGATGAAGCATTCGTAGGCGTAGCTGGAGAGGCGGTGTTGCCCCATGTGGCTGTAGTTGGCAATCCGGGAGCAGGTGCTAGCGGCTGACTGGTGAGCAACCGCATCTCTTGCTCATGGGCAATACGACGTCCAGCAGCAGCGATCTCTTCATCCTTCGCAGCTTTCTTTGCTTCGGCTTCCTGGATTTCCTTCAAAGAGGGACCTCTGGGTGCGTCTGCCTGCTCCTTTGCCCACGGGGCAAGAGACGGAGTAGAGCTTGCCATGTCGGGAGTCTCGGAGCGCGAACGCGTCTCCACATTGAGCGCCTCTGGTAAGTTGGATCGCCCCCTTTGAGCAGTGGGTGCTGGCAATGGAGTGCTAGACTGAGGTGGAGGGAATGGCATAGGAAGGCTAGGGTTTACCTTGGCCCATGGTGACTCGGGTTGGATTGCCGATACCGGTGACTGCTTTGAAGAAGCTGCTTTCTGAACCTGCTGGGTCAAGGAGAGGACCTCTGGCTGTAGCATCTCAGGCTCCTCGTCATACTCGTGACGTGAAACTTGTCGAGGCGGGCCAATGGGTTCATTCAAGACGTGGACAGAAGATTCAGTAGCTGCTGCAGCTTCCTCTTGATCATGTTGCTCTCTCAATTGCTCGAATTGGAGTAGTCGAGCCTTGAACCCCAATGGGTCGCTAGTATTGGTTTCCTCCATCCCGGAATTTTCACGCTGCGCTTGGGGTTGACCAAATATTGCAGCGATTTGTTGTGCGTGAGAGGATTGCTGCGACCCTGGGGCGCCAAAAAGCTGCTGGCGTTCTTGGATATTCAGATTGGCCAATTCTTCTTCGCGAAAAAAATCCTGTTGTAAACCAGATGGGCCAGGAGCCTGAGCCTGCCTTGCCCCATCATAAAATCCCGATGACCCGGTGATGGTGGGTTGCTGAGGTATTCCGATGGGAGATGTGATGCTTCCGAAACTTGGCTGACTTTGGAGACTGTGAGCACTTGAATGATGATGCAAAGCAGATGGAAGTCCACCCATTTGCAACTGTTTCATAGTGACCTGTTGCTGAGCGAGAAATTCCCGTTGACGGGCCATGAGGTACTGTTCTTCCTGCTTCCTTCTTTCAAGATTGTTCTGCTGCTCTGCAGTCAAAGTAGTTCCAAAGCTTGGGAAAGCTCCGGCGAAAGGGGGTTGAACAGAGCCGGGCTGTGGCGCGGCTCCAGGTGCGACCGCGGCTGGCGTGAAAGGACCTCCAGCTTGAGTTGATGCTGGGCCATGTGGGATGCCAATTTGTGGAACAAGGAAGGGTTCACGTGAGTTTCCAATTCGGCGAATCAATTGGCCAAGAGGCTCAAATTCTGTCTCCTCAAGCTTCTTCACGGAAAGGTCCGGTGTAAAGAAATTAGCCTTATACCAGTCATGCATCTCAAGACCAGAAAATGGTCCTTGAACATGGCCCTGAGGATCAAGATACACCCATCTCATTCTATCTGGCATAACCATCATCTTTTGCTGGGCTGTGGGCAACTGGTTCGATGCTGAATCCGATGAAGCCTGCGACTGCTGATAGTTCGACTGGGCAGAGACACCTTGCCCTAACGAAGTTACTGTTTGACCCTGGGCGATGTCAGACGAAGACCATGGGCCTTGCAATCGTGAAGTATCCGATGGTTGGAACATATCCTCAAAAGCGCGGCCAGTACGAATGGGGCTATCAGTCTCGCGAGAAGTTAAGGTATTTCTACCAATCGCGCCAAACCCGCTGCTCTGCCTTCCATCACTACCTTCGGCAGGAATTTCACTATCGTTTGCTTGCATCTGAGCTTGCATGGCAGCAGGAAACAATGATCCTAGCTTGCTGCCTCTGCCAATAGTGTTCGTACCTGAAGAAATCCCACTTGGACCAGAGCCAAACACGCCTCCTAGGCCATTCAGACTGGGTGATTGTAACTCTCCCATTGGTCCGAAGAGAGAGTTTCCAAACGGGCCCGGAAATACGGGCCTATTCTCACGGTCTGGGGTTCCAATGGGATTAGCACTCGTGGGCCAACCTCCCATCCCTCCCAGGCCACTAAGAGAAGAGAGTCCACCTATAGCAGGAAATGCTTTGGTTGCGCCGACACTGGATGTTTGACTTCGATCGCTTCCCTCGAAAGGTGCGCTAGAGAAGCCTCTTGGCATATTACCGAAAAGGTTTGCCCCGTGTTCAGGGATGCCACCAAGCCCCTGCAATCGACTTGGCAGACCGGCATCGCCCTCGTAATTCCCATCGTCATGTCTCTCTTCCGGTGGGCTTCGATATGGGTTTGTCTCCGGGCTAAGGGTCTCATTTTCGTCCTGGTGATGGGGAGTCTGATGGCTTAATCCTCGGTGACTATCGCGGATGCTTGCCAAGTCTGACATGCCAAATTCGCCAGATGCTCCTCGGACTGGCGTATCAAGACCCGGGGCTCTGCGCTGGGATATAGGAGGGCTAGTATCCTGACCACCCCCAAGAGCAGCACTTCCTGCGGGAGGTTCATCACCAAATGGATCGGTGTCAGTACGCTGCCGGGGTCTCCATGCCCTATCCGCGGCCTTTGATGAAATGTCTTCAATACTTTCTTTCGGCATGAGGTGGGTAAGGCGACTTTCTCCTCTCATGCTACCGAATCCCGACCTCTTCTCGATGGGAGTCGGAGGATTGGGGGAGGAGCCTCCCATCGCGAAACTTCCAAAATTTCCCATTGGCGACATTGCAGCACTAGTTGAGGCCGGACCCCAAGGAGATGCCGGCCCATTACTGAGGATGCTTCCAGCAGTGTTGGCACGCATTAACCCCCCGAACGGCAGGTTGCTCTTCCTATCTTCCGCGGGGTCGTCAGGGGCATCTTTGTTTTCATTGAACTTGCGATTGAAAAAGGAGGTCTCCTCCCGAGAGAAGCGACCAGTTCCGGCTGGTGAACTCAAACCGGCGATCGAATCGCTTGTCATCTGGCGCCTTGTAGTAGGCCGGCTCGATACAGGTGATGTGAGTCCGAACGAATTTGTACCCTGTCCGTGGGAGACAGAGGCTTTGCGACCATTGGTTCCACCTTGCGCATTGGAGTCCTTGTTCGCATTCTGCGGTGGAGGCTTTAGAGGAGAGTTGACATCGGTAGAGAAGAGCTTCAAACGATCAGTAGGCACCCAAAAGTCGCCAGTATTATAGCATACCTTTCGCTCAGTGTCATCCATCTCTTCGAGAGCAATTGGCTGAATGTTTCCGCCTGCCTCCCAGCAGACTTCAGGTCCATAAGTTTCTCTCGACTCACTGCTCCTACCCCAAGCAGTCCGGCCATTTGCACCATTCGAATGACCGGGATTCCAATCATTGGCGTATAGGTGTGAAACGTCCCTATTTGCAGTTCCAGACTCCTGTTGCGCTTTGAAGACGTCTAGCAGCTGTGACCTCGAGTACCGGCTTTCCGTAAGCTGATCGTACATCGAATTCGACATTGACTGTGATGCTGATATCTCGGAATCGGTGGGCGGATGGGACGCGTCTTGGGCTGATGAAAACGGGGTAGATGAGGTGCGACGGGAGTTAAGAGGCACGAAACCGTTAGTTGCTCTGCTTTCTCTTCGAGGCCTAAATAAGATTGTCAGAAATCGTGGCCTTCTTAGTTCAATTCTCCAGGCTGAACTGTGAGAATCGCAGAAAGAGGGAAAGGAGGGGTTTCTTGGTTGTGAACATCTCAAAAGTAGCGTAGCTTCTAAGCTCTGGGGTTGTTTGCAAAGCAAGGAGGGTGGTCATGTATGCTAGCTTTAAGACCTTTGAGCCGCGCAAGTCAAAAGAAATAGCGGGTAGATATTGATGATTGAATTTGAAAGGTTGGAAAACTGTAGAAAAATCTAGTAGGCAACATACCAGTCCCCGCTTCCTCGTCCATCGCCCCTCGCAGTTCGAGAGTCGCGACCCGAAGCTTGACCTGCGGCGGCAGAGGCAAAGCTTGAAGGCACGTGTGAAGGCATGATTGATCGAGGGCTTGCTGAAGATTGGAAGACAGAAAAGTCGGTGATCCAGTCGAGAGGATGTTGTCGCGCTGAAGCACAAGACGCGAGATGGAGATGGGATTCGCTTCGAGGAAATTTCAGTTCAACGATGCGGTTTGGGGAACACAATCGAGGGGTGAGATTGCGCGAAGGGTCTATGGAGACTCTGGAAGAGATATTGATGGATCTGTAAGTGGTGTTGAAGATGTAGATGTAGATGATGCAGGTGCGAGTCGCTCGTGTGTGTCGTTCGAGATTTTGTTAAGAAATCTGGTGCATCAACGAGAGTACCGTACGCTCACTAACTTTTGCAGTGAGAAAGGAAAGCTTGCATCTTGTTTCGGCTTAGCGCACGATTTATATACGCGACTTCTGCAGGCACCATCTTGATTTTGCGTCAAGATGCGGGACATTACTCGATCTTGGATCGTTTTAATGCTGAATACCAGGAAATTACGGGTATATAATGCTATATTATCTGGTAAAGGTACCTACTCTACCCAAGGCAGATATTGAGGGTGTTCAGGGGAAGACGAGCTCCAGCAACTTGGCGTCACGGATTTCTCTCCATTCTCGAAGGCCTGGCTGGCCTGGCCTGACCTGACCTGATGTGGCCCCCTAGATCAACAGATTCTCCGAGTTTTAGACGCGTCTTGATCCAGTCCAAGCACCACCTCATGGCGTCGCTATTTCTGTCCTCGGGCCCTCGAATTGTTCTACAGTCTTATAGCATCCAACCTGATACGCATCTACAAGACTTCCGAGTCGCCCCGGAAATGGTGGGGACGGATGCTGGAATTTCTGCACTCTGCAGTATCACCGATTGATCTGCTGCGGAATCGAGACACCGTCACCGTTCACCGTTCTGCGGCTCTCTCCAAGTGGGGGATCTTGAATTGTTTGCTCTTACAATACTATGTGGCAAACCCTAGGTTGCAGGACGTGGACTTGAGGCAATCACTTGCTGCTGGTGATGGGCCTCTTGGTTGGCTTCCAACATGACTCACTTGTGTATCTGCTTACACAGCTTGCCTAGCAGCTGGTCGCACAGGTCGTTTTTGACATACCGGTAGTGAATAAATGTCATAGCTGGTGGAGTGTAAGTCTCCGGCAGCAAACAATGCCTCCTCCCTCCAACCATAAGTCGTTTTTATATCAGCCGATATGTTTCTTCTACAGCTTGCACCAATCTCATTGCTGGCACGTTGTTGTTTGCGTTTGCATTTGCCCGAAGAGCTCGTGGCTTGCATACTCAGTGGTCTTTTGTCTCCTATAGTTATTGGTATGGTCTGATTTCGAAATGGTTTGCTGTCATTTGTTGTTCTACATGTGTGCGTTGCGTTTTGCGCAACCCCCCGCTGCCCCATATTGTAAATCCATTCCCCTTATTTGCTGGATACTTCATCCTCTCTATTTTTGAATTATGTTTTCAGACAGATCAGGACGTGAAAATCAATGCCGTGATCGGAGATGCAGCTCACGATGCGACTCTAACGATAGCCTTACTACCAATAGTCTAGGTCGTCGAGACAGGACAGGATATGGACGGGAAGGGCGGGGCCGACTGGCTGACCAGCCAATGCTTTATCGGCGACGGGGATTCATGGGAAACAACCTTCTGGATAGCTCAGGATCAGGGCTTGCAGGTCTTGCAGGGGATCTTGGGGGTGGTTTGGGACGAGGCGGTCTAGGAGGAGGACTTGGAGGAGGACTCCCAAGAGACCCTATGATTGGTCGCGGCGCTTATGGAGCTAGAGGCTCTCCATCACTTGATCCAAGAATGCCCTACATGGATGATGACATGGCTGGTCGCCGTAGAGGGTCGCTTCTACGCGATGGGCTATCAGTACGAGGTATGGGCTCTCAAGACCGTCTTCTGGGAGCAAGAGCGGCAATGATGGGAGGATTAGGAGACGGATTGGGTGGCGGCATGGCCGACGGGATGTCTCCTGATATGGGTCTTGGACAAAGGTCACCATACAATTCTCCAGCTGCCAGCAGCATCTTTGATCCTCAATGCATGGATCGCCCTCGAATGCCGTATGGACCTTATGCTCGCGCCGCCATGGGCAACTACAGATCACCATATGTTGAGGATCATGAGAGCGAGATGGAAGCCGAGATGATGGATCGAGCCATGATGGAGCGTGAATTTATTGGACCCGGAGACGAAGGTGGATACTATGGGTATGGAGACGGTAATCAGATGGGAGGGCAGTACAATAGGTACTAGCTTGGGGATCATGAATGAACACTTTGCTTGCGAGACCGCATTTTTCAAGCTGTCAGTGCATGTTTAAGAGAAGTTCTCTTGTTGCCCTGTAAAACGATTAACACGTTTCCACTGATGACTTTATTGCTATTCAGATCATACAAATCTTTCCTCTTCTTGAAACATATTGAAACTTATTGAGTGAATGGAGTCAGTTGGGTAGCAGTAGTATGTAATCAAGGCATAAGCTAGCTCGAACTCGTCGATCTAGTCAGCAAAACTACAGTACTTTTCGAATAGAACACACATAGACCGCGAGCCTAGCAGCTCGGCCTACCTGTTGACAAACGACTTGGGATATTGGATTGACGTATGCGGCGAAGGGTGGAGTTGTACATCCCAAAGAATTCCTCAATCTACCAAAATGGTGAGACTACGTCGTGGGTAAGCTATTCTCAATGAACTTACAGATTTCACAAGACAACTCACAATGCTTCCCGAATGTCGACCGAACCGCATTCTATGCAGCCGCTGGTAATACTTTCGTGTCTGAATCAGAGCCCCAAGGCATCTAAAAAAAAGGCTATCGCGACATGCTTCTGCCTCCACAGAAAAAATATAGTTGCAAAGAGATATGCATCGAGAGGCCTTCCACTAGTCGAGCATCAATGATAGAGTGTACTTCGCGATCTAACGAACAGCTTTTCCTGAGGCCCCATACAGAGGGACAGAAGTCCGGGGTTAACCTAGCCAGCGACAGCACTGCTTTCGCTAGATCTACTTTTCCAATACTAAGGTCGAGCGGGTCGCGTTGTGAGTTTGCATCGGTTTGCGAGAATAAATGGGATGGAGGTGTAGGAAAGAGAAAGGAAGAGGGGGGAGAAAGCGAGGTGGGAGAAATAGATGGGGCGAGCAGCGGGACTGAAAGGGAGGAAGGCGCGTTGGGGTTGGGAATTGAGCGGGTCGTGGAGATCCGGAGGGCGAACTGTCGAAGAGCGGTAGGTGAGGAAGTCGCGTTGATAGAATTGAGGTATTCGCGAACGAATTGATATCTCAGGCAGTTGCATGCAATGGGCGGAATTGGCGCATGAGACAGACGCACTTGCAGAACGACGTCTCAATGACTCTGGCTCTCCCGGTTTGCCGGTATGGGTGTGTAAAATGTAGCGGTATCTGAAGCAACGATGTATCGAGCGCTGCAAGCTTCTGAAAGCCGACCTATTGGTGATTTGATGGCATGGTTATAATCAGTCCGTCTTGAAATACATGAATGCCTACCTGGGTAGCTATGGCAAAACGTTCGCTCGTCTGACAAGACTGAATCCTTCAGCTATAGAGTCACAGCCTCGGGGCTGATCTACTTATAGGATTCGACAATCAAAAAAGAAACCTAGAACAAGCGCGACCAGGTCAACCGAAGCCTTCATCAAAGGACTACGATATATATTTTCAGGAAATTCTATCATCAAAGTGCAACTTCCCAGTCGCGCCTTCTCCCTGAAGCTGTAATCTTACAAAAGTTAACAATATCCAGAACACGGCTACGAGTATAGGAAAGAATGAGCCTCTTTACTCTTTACTAACGCGGAAAAGGATCCAGAACTGTACATTGATCCCATAATGATCATCGCAAGGCTGAGTGACTTCCTTGAAGTTCCTTCTGCGAAATATGTATTATTCTAGAGGTTCCCATGTACAGTACCCCGCATCAGGATTCCTGGAGTCTCTCTTCTCATCCTTCGGACCCCTCGCACTTATTCGGCGCCGAGGAATTGGTCAAAAGACGGTCTGGTCAGTCACCAGGAAGGAAAAAAGCTCTTTTCCAACAGATGCCAAGACAAACGAGAATAAATAAGACGGGCACTCTGGAAAGTCCGGACGAAAACCCACTCCACTCTACTCTTATACCTTAAACAAGAAGAAAATCTTCTAGATCTACACCCAACTCCGACTCTTCCACTCGACTCGACTCATATGCTAAACATATGTAATCATTTCTCCTCCTCTTCTTCCTCTCACCGCCAAAGGAAAAACTAGGCATACGGCCGAAGTCAAAAGAAAAAGAAGAAGGGGAAAAAACTAGAAAGGAAAGCGCGGCCACGGCCCACAGTCGCGACCGACGGACACGGATCAAAGCTTACGCCGCCCCCACGACAAAGAGTCGGCGAGAATAGGCAACCTGTGCGCTCCGCTTCCTCGAAACAAAACAAGACAAAGAAAATCCCTAGCTACTTAAAACCATTCTTAATTAAACATCTACCTTCCTCATTCATCCTCCTCCTCCTAAAATCCAAAGACAATTTCTACATCCACTCACTGTCTTTGTTATTCATCATTTGAGATACAATCAATAAGTGTCAAAGTCCCTCAACTACAACTACAACTACAACTACACTTCAAGACAAACCCACCCCCCCAAAAATGGGCGCCTCACACTCCTCGCATTCCACCTCCTCCACATCATCATTCTCAAAACCATCTCCAAAACCGTCTTCAAAACCATGCTGTTCAAGATTAAACCCGAAGAAAGACCAACGACAACTTCCTCTTCCAAACGACAACCAGCCGATCCGTGTGGGATACCCGTACTACGAGGAGGTCATCAAGGGCGCGGAGAAGCAAAAGAGGAGTAAGAGGCATTCCATGAAGAGGGCGGGGTCGGGATTTTCGTAAAGGGAGCAGGGGGGAGGAAGGAGGCGTAAGCCGGGGCCGGTTGTGGCGGGGAGGGAGAAAGGAAGGAAGGGCGGTGAAATGAAGGAACCAGCGGAATTTGAAGTGGCGCTGGTGTGTTGGGAGTAGCAGACAAGGTCAGGACCTTTCAAATGCGCAGAGGAAGATACCAGGCAGGACAGGACATAGGATAGCGAAGATACCCAATTTGTGAATGCAATTTTCTTGTTGCATTCTGATAGTATTACACATCTATTTCATCCATCGGCGAACACTGCCATATTCATCCGTCCATCCATCCATATATTTTCCATATATTTTTCAGGATACCAAATAGACACCGACCCAACCACCTTGTTCTGTCTTTTCTATAAATAAGAGTTGAGATTTGTCTTCCGAAGGCATCCATCCAGCCAACGCCCGCTTAAAGTAGCTCTCCTCTCCCGCCCCGAAACGCCTCGGCTCAATGTTGGTACACGCAACAGAGCAATACTTTTACCGCCCAAAGCAGAACAAACAAGCAAAAGTACAAAAGAAAAGGCTCGATGAGACGATACCCAAGCCAGATTCTTCTCGAAATGTGCAATGGCACGGGTATCAATGACAAAGGAAAAGTGGACGGTTCCACGCAAAAATCAAGTTCGACTATATGCAATGACCCGATGAGGGTTGAAATATAGACGAGAAGGACCAAAGGGGTATTGCGAGAAGCTTCGAGGAAATCGACAGGAGCCAATTACATCGCGCTCTCAGCATGACCACCACCGAGCAATTCAAGAATCTTGTTTGAGACGGCACCAGGGTATCCTCTGCTGAGCATCTCCTTCACAATGCCATTCGCGCTTACTCTATCTTCGACGGCAAGATAAGCTCGGGTCATGGCCTCGTATGTGCTTGGCTCTCTCTTTTCGCGACTGACGGAATCAAAGATAGACTTGCTCTTGTTGATGTTCAATTCATTGGCCCAGCCGTGGACGAGGGTGTTGGCGATGTAGGGAGTCATCTCTACACCACGGCGATACATATCATTGAGGATAGACTCCGTCTCCGCAACACGGTGGTTGGCGACCATCGATTCGAAGAGAGATTGGTAAAGGCATGCTTGAGGACGGATTGATGAATCGGCCATGACAGAGTCAAAGACTGCTCGGGCGCCCTCCATATCGTGCAAGACACAACCCTTGGCATGAATTAAGGAAGAGTAATGAACTGCCTCCGGCTTCCCACCAGTGCTTCGGATGCTGTCTAGGATAGCTTCAGCGGCATTCATGTCAATGGGCTCAAGAGTGGCATGAGTATCAACGAGAAGCTTGTATGTATGGTTGGTTGGCTCAATTCCCTTGCTCTTCATGCGCTCGTAGTACGCCAAAACCTTACCCTTGTCACGCTTGGTGGTGAGATAAAATTGCATCAAGCTGTTGTAGGGTGCAGGTCTAGCCTTGTAGTTTGGCATCGACTCCATCTCCTCGAAGAGCTCTTCAGCGAATTTCTCATCGCTGACACGGCAAAGAGCGTTAACAATGGTACCGTAGGTAACGCTGGTTGGTCGAATACCAAGTCCGCGCATCTCGGCGAAGTAGTAAAGGCAGTCATCAATGCGACGAGCCTTTCCAAGCTTGCCAATCAGAGCGTTATAGAGAAATGACGATGGCTCAACACCCTCGGACTTGGCACGGTGGAAGATCTTGACAGCCTCGGTGGCCTCATCAAATGTCTTTGTTGAGTCTTTCAACGTGGTGATATACAGACCAAAGGTATTCGCAGTTGGTGAGGCGCCCATGTCAAGAAGCTCTTCGTGATAACGTGCGGCAAGGGTACGGTTGCCGAGGTTGAGGCAAGCTCCAACCATAGCATCGAGTATCGAAACCCAGCCATATCGAACGATCGCATATTCAGGAAGTAATGGGATATCAGTTCGTGCCATACCGAGAATGTCGTGAACCAAATTCATTCGCTCCTCTCGTGCAGCTGCCGTGATGAGCTTGGCGTAGGTGATGTAACGGACGTGGCGACCAGCGCGGCGAATGTTTCTGAATCTACCCAGAGCCTCGTTCAACCGGGATACCTTATGATGACCATTGTTGCCTCGCTCAAGCTCATCTGCAATCATAGCAGAGCCTTTGAAGTCTGTCGTCGAGGCATATGGGTCGTAAGTGTCTTCATAAGCTGGCGTAGCTGGGTATTGCACAGGCGTCGGTGCGAAGCTGGGTGTGAAGGATTGCTGGTAAACTGGGACTGGTGTTTCTGGGGCCTGAACTTCTCGTACACCATGGGCGTTCATGAAGTGGTTAACAAACTCCATACCTTCCTCGACCTCGTCAACGATATGGGAATTTGAACCGACAGCTGACTGACGAACACGAGCAAACATATCCCTGGACTGAGAAAGGCCCTCTGCAACGCGTCCAGAACCAATCATGGCCACAGCGTACATTGCAATAGGCTCAATCAAAGATGACGACAGCTGCATCTCGGAAGTAGACAGAATGTGCCAGTATTTTTGCGCTGAAACAACATCACCATACCGAATACTAAGAGCAAGCATTGCAGTGGCAGGTGTTGCAATACCCTCAAAGGTTAAAGGCACCTGAGTAAATGCTGCTACAGCAGTTAACTTGTCTCCCTTATCAGCAGCGATGGTCGCAATCTTGCTCATGGCAGCCGCTTTAGAAGAAGACTCTAGACTTCCTGCCCATCTAAGCGCATCCGGAAGCATACCGCGGTCTAACAGTCCTTGAACAAATCCTCCGTCGACGATAGAGTCCTTGATTGTGACATCGGAATCGCAAGATTGCATGATTTTGTTGTAGAACTTGATGGCTCCCTCGAGGCGATCAGATGTAATGTAAGCCTTGACAACAGATGCATAGACTTGTCCATCATGTCTATCGCTCAACTCGACCATACCATTGTCATGTGCGATAGCTAATTCCTTGTATTCGTTGTAGCACTCCACAGCACTGCTCAAATCACCAGTTTGTGCATATCCCTTAATCATTGGCGGGAAGGAAGCTGCCAATGGTACAATCTTGCTTGATTCCATGTGTTCATACAAGCGGAGCATGTCTGGGATGTTACCTGCTGCAGAACAGGCCTGGATCAACTTGTGATAAGTCTCGGGAGGGTATGAACGATTCTTGAAATACGATATCGATGCATTGAACAGTCTAATTGCCAAGTCGAGTCTGTCGTCCTCCGCAAGGATAGCAAATTCAACTTCACTTGATGCGAGCATGAACTTTCCTGCTTCTTCCATACCACCAAAGCGAACACGTTTCTCCTCCAATGACTGTTTCAGCGAAGAAACCTCAATGGATCGGGAAGAGAGCAGTCCGATCAGAGTATTATAGGTGAGGGTATTTGGAGAAACTTTGCGTCGAAGCATATCCTGGTAAACATCGAGAGCTTTAGGAACAACCTGGATCTTCTCTGCAGGAAGGTGTATGGCAGCATCCAGCAAAGCATTGTAAGCAGTTGCGTTAGGCTGGATATCAGCCACAAGCATGGCCTCAAAGACAGCTGGAATCTCAACATATTTTCCATTCTCGGACAACTTCGCAAGATGATCTGCATAGCTTCGAGACTGAAGCTCGGAAGCTGTACTGATCGTTGTATATGAACTAGTTGGTGTCCGATCGGAGCCAGATTCGACGGTTGAAAGAGCGGGAGACTGGGTTGGGGCTATAGGGGGTGTTGGTACACGTGCAGCAACGGCGCTTAACTCAGCCTCGAAAATTGCTTGATCGGTCCTCAGATTGATCTCCTTCACAAGGGCGGCATCAATTGTTGCAAGAGCGGCCTTGTCTTCTTCATGCAGTCCCACCTTCTTGAAGTCATCCAGCGCGCTAGTGCTGTACGCCCTATCAACTCCTGGCCTGGATGACTCGGCATGGCCAGTCGTTTCTGCTTCAAGCGGCTTATATTCGATGCGCTTTTGGAATTGGAATTGCGTCCATTCCGGCTCTTCTTCACCTGAAACCTTTTGCTTCCTTAAATTTTCGAAGTATGCTGCTAGACCTAAGTCGCTCTTCTCTGATCGACTCTCCTGCGCAAAAGCGCTACTCGACTGCGTAGTGCTGTAAAAAGCATTTTGTAATTGGTACGACGGGCGCTTTCCTGCCTGGCTAGCACGACGATTTAGACCGAGGCGTTGCCGATGGTTATTTGCGTAGGTTTGAGCGTGTGTGGCGGCGACAACAGATTGAACATAACCGTGGGTCACAAGTCTGGGACCTTGACGTACGAAGCTAGAGGTGAAATGAGGAATTGGCATTTAGTTATTGGTGGGCCTCTCGGAAAAGGGAGAGAGGGGACTGTAAGGCACTTGTCAGCATTTTGATATCGACATGGTGTTTTCGGGCTCTGGGGAATTGGATGTTCGGCGCATCAAGCAGGACAGGAGGCACGTACGGGGAATCTCAATGTAGTGATAATTGCAGGTTCATTTGACAGCTGGGCCGTCAAACAAACGCGCTGTCTATATAGAGAAGAAGCGATTAGGGCTTGAAGAACCAAGAGTCAACTGTGGTCCAGCTTCTTGGTTGCAAATAATGGACTTCGCGGTGGCGTTGATTTCGAACAGGCAGAGCCTAAAGTTTTGAAAGAATGAAGGCCTCAGTCGCTGGGAAGCTTCCTGAGATATTACTCTCGTGGCCTTAAAGCTAGGTAGGATCTGATGACGAGTAGAGTTGACGCGGGATTGGTGATTATGCACATAAGCTGGGGCGGTACCTCGACAAGGGGGAAAAGTTGAAGGTAAACTGAATTAGGACAACTGAAGATCAGCTGCCAGGTGCGCGCGAATAAAAGACGGACAAAAGAAGGAGGAGGACGTAGGGTGAAGGGGAATACGGAGTATAGGAGTTGTCGTGTGCGTACGGAGGGAGGTGAAGTGTAAGTCAAGCGCAGCGCCTTCGTACTCGACGTTGTGCCTGGAAGGTTAGAGAAGTTCACGGTACGGTTACTCATACACTAGAGAATCCGCCGGATACTTAGTGCATAATATTCTCCACAAATTTATGCAATTGGCCAATTAGTGCCGGGTATATAGCTTAAATCCCTAAACCTGGTATTGCCATGCAAAATCTAGCAAAAACATTTGGCCAATCGGAATCCGACCTTGACCCCGACGGCCGAGAGGATTTATCAGATCTTTCCGAGACTCTTCTCGCGGGGTTTAATTTGACGAGACAAGACCTTTGCCTGCTGAAAAACAGCGGCCCAAATATCAACCGTCTTATGCTATATCCGTATTATCCTACTATCCTACTAAGCTATTTGTATGCATTGACGTGCGTACATTGGACCCGTAGTGAGAACAAGGAACCACAGTTCTAGTTCGGAATATCGAGGAATCGGCAGCTCACAAGACTTGCTGGTTCAACCGTCAGCACTACCTTATCTTCCAAGATGGTGTCTACAGCCGTCTCAGCCCCAGGAAAGGTGCTCTTGGCAGGAGGATATCTGGTTCTTGATCGCGCATATACAGGTTTGGTGTTTGGGCTCAGTGCTAGGATTCATGTTTTGGTTCATGATATCGATGCCAGCTCGGGCGTGGAACTGTCGGAGATAGTCGTCCAAAGTCCGCAATTTCTAGAGGCAACTTGGAACTATGGGTACCATCTGAATGGAGACGACGGGGGTGTCAATGTCACCCAGTTGCAAGGGTATGAAAGATCCTCCTTTACACCCGAGGCTCCGGAGCCTTTTCACCCCTTTTCACCCCCTTTATTCACAGTCACGTGATATGTATATTTTGTTCTCAGAAATCAGTATGGGGAGTGGAAACGCTCGATCTGACAAAATATCTTCTTCCGTCTGTCAAATTACTATTCTTTGCTCACACTTCATAGCAATCACGAAACACCATCATCTCGCAACCCGTTTGTAGAAACCGCCCTCCTCTACACCTTAACCTACATCTCCACCATCCTCCCCAAATCTCACACCATCAGACCAGCCAAAATCACTATCCTCGCCGATAACGACTACTACTCCCACTCATCCTCATCCGCTCCTCCACCCACCCCAAAAGATGGCTCCCACCACCACTTCACATCCTTCAACGTCCGCCTCCAAGACGCCCACAAAACCGGTCTCGGCTCCTCAGCCGCCCTAGTAACAGCCTTCACCGGCGCCCTCCTCTCCCACTACCTCCCCCCCACCTCCTTCTCCCTATCCAGCGCTTCCGGGCGCGCAAAACTCCACAACCTAGCCCAAGCCGCGCACTGCGCCGCGCAGGGGAAAGTAGGCTCTGGTTTCGACGTCGCAGCCGCTGTGTTCGGGACTTGTGTATACCGCCGCTTCTCGCCCTCTATCCTGTCCAGGATTGGTGAGGCTGAGACTCCTGGCTTTGCGACGCGGGTCAAGAGCGTGGTTGAGGATTCTGGGGCTGAGAAATGGGACACGGAAGTTTCGAAGGGAGGGGTCACTATTCCGAGCGGTATGGCGCTTGTTATGTGCGATGTGGATTGTGGGTCTCAGACTGTGGGGATGGTGAAGAAGGTGCTGGAGTGGAGGAAGAGTGATGGGGTTGGGTCGAAGGTGCTTTGGGATGAGTTGCAGGAGAGGAATGTGGCGCTTGGGAGGACGTTGGATGTTGGGGATGTGGGGAAATTGGAGGATGCTTTTGGGGGGATTCGAGAGAAGATTAGGGAGATGGGGGAGAAGTCTGGGGTGCCAATTGAGCCGGTGGAGCAGACCGAATTGCTTGATGCTGTGACCAAGGGGGTCGAAGGTGTGAAAGGAGGTGTAGTTCCGGGAGCGGGTGGGTACGACGCCATTGTGCTTCTTGTCAAGGATGATGAGGATACACTTGAGGCCATAAAAACTTTTCTCGTAAAATGGAGCGAGGAGAAAAAGAGCAACGTCAAGTTGTTAGGTGCCAAGGGAGAGTTAGAAGGAGCGAAGAAGGAGGATATTGCGGCATATGGAATTTTTGCATAGCTGGGTGAGGAATAAATTTTGGACTATAAGCTGATTAGTCTTCGAGCAATTGTGAAATTCAGGCACCAGAATTCTGCCAATTATCAATTGAAGACCTGATGTTCCGGGGACGGGTCCATACCAAAGAGTCGGGCCTTCGCCTGACAATCGGCAAATGCCTTTGCTCAAAGGTCTATGAATGATATATAACATTTCCCTTACCAGCACTTCAATGCTGTCAAAACCGAACCCAACCAGCCTTTTCTAGACTTAAGATGGTATGTCCTCTTCCCCTCATATATATGGACGAGTCCTTGCGATCATGGGTGGACGAACCAGAGGTGCGTCAAGAAGATTCATGGAAGAAAGACCAACCGTGGTAAAGTTGTTTTCACTAGCTATGAAGGGTGTCACGTCAAACGTCGGTTTCAGATAGATACCTTCTATAGCTCAAGCCATACTGCTTCTCTCGCTGCCATATGAATCCTCGTCAAAAACTTCCGACGACGCCTCGCAGCCCTTTACTGTCCAGTTCAGAGTTGCTGTCATTATCATGCCCCATCCCGTTCACGGTTCGCAAATGGTTTATTGTATCCCTTGTGCCAATGACCCAGATCAGAGATCAAGTGTTCTCTTAGCTAAGCCGCCTTCTTTCTGTCCTGCCTATGTATTTTTTTTCGGCCCCGTTCTTCCTCGTTCTTTGTCTTGGTGATTCAGGATTGAGTGAGTGACCCTTTTATACCTATCATTTGAAAAGAAATTCACTTACTATAAAGGATGACTCATTTGCTAGGAAACTCCTACAGTGTAACGAGAACAGCAATTGTCCCTTAGCCTTAGAGCAGAGCATCTATAGTAGCACAGAAATATCTATATAAATACAAGTTCCCATATGTCTTTTCTTTTTTCGCCGGCATATCTTCAACTACTCTACAGGTAGGTAGGTATCTTTCACTTTGGCTTTCAGTTGTCTCAACAACCGCCAGGGAAGGGAATATTCCAGACAGGATAGAATAGATTTGCACTGTCTTGCCTGAAGCAAGGTTCGGAGTTCAAGTTATATGTATGCTCTACATTCAGGTTCCAAACCTGCTGCTGTCAAGTATTTCCATGCTGTCATCCACATTCTCATTCTCGTTCAAAGCTCAACTCAGTAACCGTTTATTCATTCACTATCTCTCTCAACTACGAAATAGACCGGGCACTGAATGGTATATTTCTTCATGTCTAACAGTATATGTACACACATGGAGGCGCAAGACAAGGCCCTCCTTGCTTCTTTAAAGTCATGTTTTTTATTCCCAGCAACCCGAAAAGGAACAGAGATCTCTTTCTCATTTACATAGTTTTCTTAATTTACACGACAAGTAAATCCAAGCTCGTGCTTACATTATAGTATGCACCTCAGCAGCTATAATGGCTTATTTATAATCCAGGGAAGGCTACTTTAAGAGCGCCTCGTTGAGGCACCAAGGCAACTGTTCTAGCTTTGTTGATTGGTGAGGCTTTCTCCTATCGCTATAGTTACAACGCAGAGGTACATTTGGGCTTGGTGGAGGTTGGAAAGAGAAATGTGAAAATGTACGAAAAACGTAACCAAAGAAGTTGTGAGCGACGCTGTGGCACAACAACTTAGGAAGGAGTAACCTGTGCTTGCACGTGCTGTTCATGCCACTTATTCAAGATGTAGTACGGAGTACCGAAAGTGGCATTGTTCGGCCCGGAGAAGAAAGAGCTATAAGGTAGACAGTGCTTTCAGATCACCATTTCTCTCCAGCCTTCTAATGTGTCTTCAGCGCGTACGCGGGAGCTTCAGCATCTTCGCCGCATGGCACTAGTGACGAGAGCGTTGGTGTTGTAAAGGCATCTCGGCATTCCCTTAGGGAATGCTGAGGCGCGCCCTCCATTTGATAGTTGTGATTCTCCATTTGCCAGATGTTCAAATATCCATCCTCAGTAAATATCCCACAAACTAACCTTCCCATCCTTACTCCCCACCGCAACCCAATGTCCCGTCTTCGCCTTCCAAAGCCTCTCCTCCTTAACACTCATCGTCCCAATCTTCTTCGCTAACTCCGACCCCTTGCCCACTTCCTCAACAGTCTCATGAACATCCGCGAAAGTAATAGCATAGCACCCTTCCTTATGCCACTTCAAAACAGCCAACTCTTTCATGCTCTTGGTTGCATACACCCTAACTTTAGCATCCCAGCCCGCTGTCGCAAATATCTTACCATCGTTGCGTATTTGTAGGCCTTGTTGCCCGGAATGCTTCGTTTGGATCGTTTTCAGAGGCTTGTTCTCGGTGGCTTGAATTACGTTTTGTGAGGAGAAGGGAATGGGGTGTTTGGCGATGATGGCGTCGGCTGAGGAGGTGAGATAGAAGTCTTTCGAAGGGGACGAATCGAGGGAGAGAACGGGTTGCGTGTGGGGTTGGGAGGTGTAGAGTGTTTGCCAGATTGAGGTGGAGGAGGATGGGAGTTGCGAGACAGTGGTGTGGCCGCTCTCGTAGCCGGCGATGATGGTTAGAAGGGTGGTTTGAGGGTGGTGGAAGATGGAAACGGCCATTATCATGCCGCCTTTGAAGGATGAATCTTGTGGGATGCGGTGGATTCGTTTCGATGATGGGAGGTGGAAGATGTCGACCTGATAATTGGTTAGGGGGACTAAATGAATGACGGGGGTTTGAAACTTACGGTCTCTGAAGTCATTATGTTCGGTACTGCGACCAAAATCTCTTCGGACGAATCATGTTCAGACGAGAGACTTGGTGATGCTGGTGTCCAAGCAAACGAACAGAAGTTCATAGTGTTGACATCTACAATGTGCAAAATCCATGGCTGTTTCCTTGGCTCTGGGGCAGTATCAACTGGCAACACAGAACTCATCGATTCCTCGTCTACCTCCGATAGCTTCCATACCACCAACTTGTTATCTTTGCCATGCCTGCATGGATAAGTCAGAAATTGCGGATAACAATAGCCGTTGGAAACCTCTTGGTCTCTTCATGGAACACTTGCTTGGAAGGGAAACCGCCGAGAGAACTTTCTCGCCTCGATACATCATCACAAGACCAAACATGCAATCCCAACCACCCCAACCAATCGCAAATGAAGAAACATCACTTCATGACTTAAATATAGATGATGAGAAGACGTAGGTATCGTATATAGAAACACTCACGTGATGAGTTTGTCGATCCCCCAAGCCTTGGCTCCAAGAATAGACCCTTCATGAGCTTTCCATACAGCTACAGGCCTCTTGATGGCAAGACTCCAGACAACTATCCAACCTTCCGTATCGCCAGTTACAAGCCGACTGTTAGATCGTATGAATGAAGTTGAATGGATTTGGGATGAATGCCCCCGGAGGATGTATGCAGGCTGGGGCTGGCCTTGCGCCGACGCCATATTCGGCAGGCAGGGCAAGTATTGTCGACGGCGATCCTAATAAAGCCTCGGAGAATTTCTGGAAGCTTGGAATCGTTCCTAAACGTCTAAATGCAGCACGATGACACTGATGGCACTGTTGATAGCCGCTTAGATGTTAGATTATCTGCCACCAACCGCTAGGAAGGCAGCGCAGTCGAGAGTTAAATCCGGGGTTCCACACTCAGAAGCATGGCTGCGTTGAATCCTCCAGCTTGCAGATACAAATATAGATATAAATACAAATATATAATTGAAAGGTTGGTCTTATGGCCTTTTTCTCGAAGCTTTGATAGCTAAAGAAAGAAACAAGAAACTCCAATGTCAACTGCTGCTAGTCGGACATCACGTGTTACGATATTCAATGCAACCTTGACACGGAGATTTTCCACTTAGCTAGGAGACCCGACCCCTTGTAACAGTTGCATCTACTGGGCGCATTGCCGGCTTTGACGCAGGGTAGGTATGTAACTTACGTACTGTAAGCTGCAGGACCCCTTCACTTTTCAAAAACCTTACTGCGCAGTACTGTACCGTATGACACTTCTAATGCCTTGAAGAAAAGCATACATACGCTTCTTAAGCTCTGTCACCACATTCGACTTGACTCCAGCAATCACGGGAATCGCGGGTTTCACCTCACCTCACACAACTACTAACTTCCAAGGTTTTAGTAAAAGCTGTGCTCTGCGGGTGGCAGCATCTAGAATAGATTGATGAGCCCTGCTATATTAATTCTGCACCTGGCTGCACGTCTCTGACATGTGGGTGGGGGTGTGTGGCAAGGACTGACTGTGTTCTAAGTAATGCATCATGGATTCCACCGTCGGAACTTAATATGTAATCAGTAACATATATTGAAAACTTATTGGGTAAGATATTCATCTACGTATTGTACTGCCGGGCCGGGCTGCAAGAGGCACTGCAATGGCTTTATATAGTGAGCGCCTCTGACGAACTGGCAAGGATAATAGCCAGGAAAAGAAATGATCGTGAAGTAGTTTATCAGCGAAACTTTAGAAGACTAAAATAACGCCAGCAAGGTAGAATACGTGGTGAGACTAATGTAGGTACAATACAGCGACAGTTCTCTATTTGCTGGCAACACCAGATGAAAGTGAAAGTCACTTGTACTAGTACAGTAGAGTACAGTACCATCAACATCTCAGACTACGCTATTGCACTTGTGCAAGCTGTGCTCTCGTTCCTGCCGCCATCTGCTTTAGTTCTCTTCTTACCAGTCTAGAAAGGCATTGTTGTATCTCTATGTATTGTTGTACCTTGTTACACCACTGTAGCTCTACCTCTCTGTTCTAAGGTATCCGGTATCCCAGCCCATTCCTCTTCCTCCCCTCCCTCCCCTCCACATTCGATATACGCTAAAGGCCGCTAAACCCGCCCCTCCCCCTGTTGCACGGCCTATACCCTGGCGAGCCTGGCCACAGGGCAATCGAAGCCGAAAAGACCCTCTACGTACCTACCTACATACAGTATCGTCATGCTCATCATTCACTACCTACCTAGGTACCTTACTGATGAGAAAAGTGTGAATATCTTCTTTACTCCCACCCACTGCGGAGGCAGCATCGCAGCCTTACATACAGACTTTACGCAAACGCTCAACCCACCTCTCGACTTTTCCAAACCATAAAGTTCTTCCGCTTCGTCCTTCCTCCCTTCCCTCTGTCCCTCACTTGGACCTTATAATAAGAAGTCCTCGAGTTTCATGGTCTCGCCCGAGAGCTAGCACGGATCGTCAACATCCGGATACCTTCCCCTTCCTTCCCCCAGCGAGCGTGCCTTTATAGAATTGTACTCGTAATATTGGGCAAAGCCTTGGTTTTCTGCTAGATAACACTTTCTTTACCTCCTCCTCCTCCGCCTCCAAACGCCAATGCCTGTCGCCCTTCTTTCACGAATATAGCGCATCCACTGCGAGAAATCGCAGAACCTTCATTGTGGCGGCATACGATAGCCAAGGTTATCTTGCGCCCGAATTTGACCTCGATTACCAGTCGTCGCCACTTTATTCGTACTCAGCGTCGACTGTATCTGAGCAGACACTCCTTGGTGATCAGCAATTCACCCCGCCCAACTACCACGCCAGTGAATACAGCCCTCGACCTCCCAATCGGCCCAGGACCGGCGGGCAGAACAAACCACTGGAAGTCAAGGGAGGGGCAAGAAACACTATTCAAATGCCGACGCCTGAACCTGCGGCGGATGCTGCAGATGGCATTGCAGCAACAGCTGCTGCCAACAAGCCGAAGCGGGTACGGACCGGGTGCTTGACCTGCAGAGAGCGTCACTTGAAGTGTGATGAAGGTCTGCCGAATTGTCAAAATTGTCGAAAGTCCAGCCGCATCTGCAAGAGGGGGGTGCGTCTGAACTTTATCGATACGACAGTAAAATCCCCACCTATGATTCCACCAACGGCCGATTGGAAAGGTAGTACACTCTACAATCAAGTTTTCAAATGCTAATTGTTAAAAAGTACATTTTCAAGACGACTCTCGAGAAATTGCTTCCGAATACAGAGGTGGTCGAAGTCGCTATGCTAAGTTCGACCAACAAAGCATAACTCCTCCACAAGAACATCCAGTTGAATACCCTGCCCGACCTATAATTCGAGATCCTTTTGGGGGAGAAGGCAACAACGCACTGCCTCCAATACAACAACACAATGTGTTTCATACGCATAATAGACTCGCTGTCAACCAAGACACTGTTCATTCAAGACAGAACAACCGCCATCATTCCCACACAGGCAGTGATGAATCTTATTTAGCTGCACCTTCTTCAGCGACATTTAATAACCCCGAACAGCAGACGCCGACCCCACCAAATGAACCCGGTCGCTGTCTGAATACACAGGATGAGGTTCTATACATGCAGGTGTTTGTGGAAGAAGTCGGCCTATGGATGGACAGTATGGATTCCAATAAGCATTTTTCCAGGCTTCTACCCTTCCACGCATTGCGCGAGCCAATGTTGCTTAACGCTTTCCTTGCATGTGGTGCTCGACATCTGACTCTAGTCAATCCTGTGTATCAAGAAGACAAGGCCCTTTTCTACTATGATACAGCAACCACCCAATTACTACGGGCTTTACAAAATCCGGATAGAGATACGGACGTTTGTGCGACAACGGCGGTCATATTGAATGTGTATGAAATCATGTCAGAGCGTGCAATGCAACGTATGAATCACATCGCAGGAGCACGAGCTCTGATTAAGGAGTGTGGTTGGAATGCGAGAAGCACAGGAATTGGAGCAGCATGCTTTTGGTTGAACGTTGGCATGGAATTGTTGAGTTGCCTTCATTTTAATTGGAAATTGGCATGGGAACCAGACCAGTGGGGCGTGGATATGGACTTCCACCAGGAGACGGAGTTTGGAAAAGAAGAGGTGTGGGTTCATCGGATGCTCTACCTCGTGGGGAAGATCGCCAACTTTCGGGCTTCGATACCACGTTTCCGGGAAGCCTTGCCACATGACGAAAACATCCGACTTCAAGCCAGAGCATCGGAATGGGAGAGACTTAAGGATCTATGTGACAGTTGGAACGAGAAGATACCTCGCACGATGCAACCAATGGCTTACTTGTCCCCCACGCAAAATGCCTCGAAATCCGCTTTCCCGGAAGTCTGGTGAGCAAAATGCTCTGAAGAATATTCAATACGATGCTAATCATTTGTAGGTTGATTAAACGTGCCACAATCGTTGGACGGTTGTTCTACCATACCGCAATGTGTCTCCTTCCACAAATCCATCCTTTGATGCCTAAGGAGGTCGATGAATTGCGTAAAATGCAGTTGCATCACGCCCATCAAATTTGCGGTATCGTTGCACATGTCAAAGACAGAGGTGTTGCTAGCGTTGCACTACGTTCCCTCGCCATTGCGGCAGAATGCCTTGTAATTCGTCGAGAACAAGAAGAGGTCCTTGATATTTTCGAGAAGATCCGCGCAGAAACAGGCTGGAAGGTTGGCTTTCTCCACAATGAGCTGAAGACGAAGTGGGGTTGGCAGCAAGAGGATCAGATGCAGCAGCAAATGGCGGCGCAGCAGAACTCGTTGGCTCAATTTTTCTCAAATTCATCACAAGTTCCTCCTGTAAGCCTGCCACCGGCTCCACCTCCATCTATGCCTATGCCAAGTCGGATACAAAATCCGTTGGAGAGGGCAGATTTTTCGCTGCCGAATCACCCTTACCAACACGACTATCGACCTCCAAATTCACACAACCACTTTGCTCACAACTATGTATGATATGTACCGAGATAATTTTGTGTTCGGAAGTTTTAGTATTCACAGATATGCATCACGACGTTCGCAGTTTACACGGTCACCTATGAAAGGATACAGCTTGCATGAAGAAAGATCACTGGGCAACTAGTAGAAAAAATGGCGGGAATTGAAACGGGCTGTTTTTGCGGAGTTGGGCGCAACCTATGATGGCACTGATGAATAAATATGGGATCTGAATTTGTTTTCAAGGCTTGGCCAATGTTGGCAAGCAGGCGTTTTGGCGGACACACATTTGCACAGCATGGAGTTCCGGATATGGCTTTGCGAAGCCTGTATTTTAGTCTAGTTTCTCTCATGCTTGAGGCTGCTATTTACGATTGGTAATGTCTGATGTATATATGTAATTCTTTGGCATGACTGGTTTGTTGCTATGCAGGTAGACCTAACCGAATTAGAGTGCAAGTCGACGAAAACAGCTTTGCCGTCCTGCTGTGTGAGGCATTACAGGAGGACGTCACGTTTCCCTGCAATAGATGTGCATCTACTACGTCCTAAGTATTGGCTGCCATCGAAGTGCCGTCTCGGAGATTTTTCGATGGCGATTGTCTCGGCCTCTTCCAACAACCCGATTTCATGCAGCTTGCCGGCTTGTGCGATGTGAGGTGTGTTTGTGTCTTGGACCGCATTTCCTTTCATCTCAAAGATCAGGAAGGTAGTGCGACTTGAACTTCCTGTTCGCGCGGTCCGCTGCCCGGTACATGAATTGGTTGCCGTGCAGCTCAAACACTAGTTCCTTCTTTGCGTCTTCCACTGTCCCCCCTTTTCCCACTTTCTCTGCCGGCCCGTCTACTTCTTCAGCCATAGATATCGGTATCGGCATCGGTATCGGCACAGTAAATCTAAAAACCGTCCCCTCCTTCGGCACAACCTTAACCCTATCACCCTTCGTAACAACCTCAAAAACCCCCCTCAAATCCCTCACCACTATCCCCCTCACCCCAACCCGCGATACACATCTACTCCGCACAACCTCCAGCTCGGCACCGTGATAATCGGCACTACACAGCTTCGCGGCCGCCGGTCCCGTAACGGGCAAGTTCTTCCCCCCTCCCTCTTCCAGTCCAAGAATCTCCTGTATATACCCTACCCACATCCCATGCAACGGCTCATAAACCGCATATTTCTGCGATGCCTTGGGGATTTCATAGATACACAACGCGCGTTTTTGGCGTGCTGATAGAGGAGGTGGTTTTATTTTCTTTTTCCGTGAGCTGAGGAGCTTGCGCGCTCGTTGTGAACGCCGGGTTTGTTGCGCGTTGGTGCTGGGTTCGCTGGGCTTGAGGTAGACGGGTCGCGAGTTTACCTTTTCCGTGAGTATGGTGTTTGCTGTTGTGGGGGAATGGGCGCGGGAGAGGAGGGAGAGCGCGATGTTGTCTGTGTTCTTTGGTGTGGGTGTTTTGGGCGTCATGGTGCGGATTTATATTCTTGGTGGTGGTGGGGGAAGATACCAGTAGGTGGGTGGATAAAGTGAAGCTTTCACATGCGCTAGATTTAAGGTTTTAGGCCGGTTAACCCTGCCCATCCCCGGATCACCCCAGATTTGATTTCCGGGCGGGTCAACTATCATCTGATGGCACCTCCAAGCTTTCTTTCCTGCAACATCAACAACACGATATGACTTTGGGATAAATTCCTTCTGTTGTGAGGTTATTTACTTAATTACAGCTTGTAAATATCTAGCACAATGGCAGACTCAAGAGGTTCGTCCGCCCCGGACCTCGACATTCTAGGTGATCAAGTTACGCTTCACCCCAGCGGATATGTCGAACCCCCGCAACGGCCTCAAGACCGAGACAAGGAGCAGAATCTCGTAGAACACATGGCGAGATTTAGAACAAGTCCCCTAGAGTACATCCCTCTACCAGCCAAAGCTATGTTCCTCTTTTCAGTGGGCTAAAAGCTAACCTCGGTCCAGGTTCCTGCGCGAAGTCTCTCTCCATGTCTCAGGCACAGGCTGGCGCGCCTACGACCACTTCATCGGCCAGCCCATCTTTTATAACGGTTTCTCGGACAACATGACAGCAGCCGTCCTCTCCACACCTATCCTGCAGAAAAAGATTACGGAATTGGCGGAAAAGCGCATAGCGTTTGAAGAAAAAGAAGGGCTTCTCAGACTCGACGACCCATCATATGCGGCGAAGAAGACGCAGAGGAAGAATGTGATTGAGCATAGTCTGCAAGAACTGTGCGAGAAGATGACGGGGGATATGATATGCAAGATGGAGAGTCGGCCGTTTATAAGGGGGGCGTATTATTTGTGTACGCAGCTGTTGACCAGGGCTTATCATCAGGGCATTCATGTCTCGAGTGAGGAGGTACTGAGATTAAGAGCTGTCGCTGAGGAGGCAGAGAAGAACAAGCAGAGTATTATTTTCTTGCCTTGTCATCGGTCGCATGTGGACTATGTTTCTCTACAGCTTATTTGCTATCGTTTGGGCCTGGCGCTTCCTACTGTGGTTGCGGGAGATAATTTGAATTTCCCTGTTGTGGGAAGCTTTTTGCAACATGCCGGTATGTGTATTTGAATCTTACCGACTTGTTATGGTACTTACTGTGAGAAGGAGCCATGTGGATTCGACGAAGTTTCGGTGACGATGTTTTATACACGACTCTGGTTCAGTCTTATATAGATACACTGCTGCAAGGCGGTTTCAATTTCGAATGTTTCGTCGAGGGAGGGCGTTCAAGAACCGGAAAGCTTTTACCGCCCAAGTTTGGCATTCTGGGTTTTATCTTGGACAGTATCCTATCGGGGCGGGTAGAGGACGCCATCATCTGTCCTGTAAGCACACAGTACGACAAAGTTATAGAGACGGAAGGATACGTTACAGAATTACTTGGAGTGCCCAAGAAGAAGGAGAATTTGGCAGATTTTCTCTCGGCATCGTCGATTTTGTCATTGAAGCTTGGCCGCGTGGACGTGAGATTTCATAAACCGTGGAGTCTGCGTGATTTCATACGAGAACAGCAAGCTCGGACAATTGGCATTCCTCCCGTTATCGATGATCACGCCACAAGACAGAAGCTCTTACGTACGATGGGCTACAAGATTCTTTCCGATATCAATGCAGTTTCAGTTGTGATGCCGACAGCTTTGATTGGGACGGTGCTTCTAACCCTGAGGGGGCGTGGTGTCGGTATGGCCGAGTTAATACGCCGAGTTGAATGGTTGAGCGAACGTGTCAGGGCAAAGGGAGGTCGAGTTGCCCATTTTGGAAATGCTCCAACCGTAGTCGTGATCGAGCGTGGTCTTGAGGTCTTGGGCAAGGACCTTGTTGGACTGGTAGAAGGTCTCCCAGAACCGACGTATTATGCGGTGGATAGATTCCAGTTGTCCTTCTACCGGAATATGACTATTCATTTGTTCATTGCAGAAGCTTTGGTCTGCGCGAGCATGTATACTCGCGTCAAGCGGGGTGGTGGACCCGCAAATCAGAGGATATCCTACGATGAACTCCGCAGTCAGGTATTATTCTTGTCGCAGTTGTTTCGAGGGGAATTCATTTATCCAACAGAAGGGCTAGCTGCGAATCTAGACAATACTCTTCGAGCTTTTGAAGCAGACAAGATTGTTGATCTGGTCCGAGACAGCGAGGGCAAGATCACAGCGGTTGACTTGTCGGATGTTGAGCGAGCTGCGGGTCGTGAGAACTTTGACTTCTACTGTTTTTTGATCTGGCCTTTCGTTGAAGCTTTTTGGTTGGGTGCTGTGGCCCTTATGGGCTTCGCGCCTCCTAAGACATATCAAGGTGACGGGTGGTTACCTGTCAAGAAGTGTCAAGACAGTGCACAATTGGTATGTTCCCTTCTTCTTTCCCGAAATACTACTGACCAAGTCCTAGCTTGGCAAATCTCTATACCACCAAGGCGACCTCTCATATTTCGAGGCTGTCAATAAAGAGACCCTGAAGAATGCATGGACACGATTTGAAGAAGAGGGTATAATCCTTGTAGCCAAAAGCAGAAACTCAAAAGTTCAGCCAAAGGCCAAGCTAGCCCCTGAGTGGGAATCAACTAGAAACCCAGAAAATGACCTCCTTGTCCCGGAAGGCAGATTATGGGATTTCGCAGAGAAGATAGCTCAATCTAGACGGGAGGGCAAAAATAGGAGGGATGGCGCTACGGTATCAACTAGAGTTCTTAGGTTGACGGATACGATTGGGCAGGCATTATACTCTGAGTCTATGGCAGATGCGAGGATGACAGAAGAGGATAAAGCGTTGTTGAAGAAGCAGCAAAAGAGGCGACAAGCAATGAAAGCGAGAGCGCATTTATGATATGTTATATATTGATACCACAGCACGTTATATAGAATACGAGATATGTGTTGACAATGTAAATTATCCCTAAATACCAGCGCTCTTCCTGTTCTACTGATATTTACAGTCTAAAAGGCAATATGGTGCTTTTATAGACAACCGTCAAACTTTTCAAATCATACAACGATCCCATACTTCTCATACGGGAAATCCTCTAGCGTCTCTAAATGCTCTGACCACCCATCATCAATCTCCCCAACCTGGTGTAGATCACCCTCGCCTTCTCCCGTCCTCCCCGCCAGAACATCCTTCTCCTTCCCCCTATATTCCTCCCTAAGCCCCGCATGCGGCACCCACACAACCCTCATCCCCGCCCTCCGCCCCGACTCAACCCCCGGCACACTATCCTCAAACACCAGACACTCTTCTGGCACAATCTTCTTTTCCCCCGGCGCCAAACTATCGTTCACAGTCTTCAGTGCCAACAAATAGATATCCGGCGCTGGTTTTCCTCGCCCGGTAGCTATCCGCACATCGTCTCCAAGCACCCTTCTATGGGCAGGGAAAACACTCATGAATTCTTCCAAATGCTCCGTCTTCAGCTCAAACGTCTGCAGATGACTACTCGTCGCCAGCGCCACGCATACCTTCTCGCCCTCCTTTTCCCCATCCCCACTCCTACTCCTAGCCCCCGCTAAATCCCCTAGCAATTTCCGCGTCCCCGGCAACGGTTTCACGGTGGGGAAATGCACCTTCTGCAACTCAACTAGTTCTTTTAAATATTCTTCGCGTGTCAGGGGCAGTTGGGCCCACGCTTCGAAGATGGCGCCGGCGGCTGGGCCGGGCCGGCCTTGCATCTTCGCCTTGATGGACCAGGGGAGACGCGGTTTGCCGTAGCGGGCCAGCACGGCTTCGGTGCAGATGGTGTATTTGTCTTCAGAGTCGATGAGCAGGCCGTCGAGGTCGAAGAGGCAGGCGCGGATGGGTGGGAAGCTTTTGAGGGGGGGGTGTATTAGCTTTAGCTTTAGAAGATGTAGATAGAGAGGGAGGAAAGTGGAAGGACTGGGAGATAAATGGTTGATTGAGATCTTACTCTGTTTTTGGAGGCATTGTGTGTAGGGTACAGGGATTGATATGATTAGAGAGATTTACTTGTTGGTGTTGGTATTTGTTTCCTAGGGAAGTGAGAGCGAAGTGGGATGAATAGAGGGGTCGTTTTGGAGGGGCCAGGGCCAGGGCGAGAAGCGGATTGATTTCCGCACCGAGGCTGGACTTCTGGACGAGACATCTCGAACTTCACAACACCATGGCATCTCGCAGTGAGAAATTCGCGCGCAAGCCAGCTGCGAAGAAAGATGAAGCGCCGAAAGACCCGGAGGTGGACGAGGTAGTTAAGTTTTCTCCCGAAGAAGAAGCTGTAAGCCCTGCCTCCCTCATAGCCCTCTAGGACTGATATCCTCACTGACCATCAACAGAACCTGCTCAACGAATCCAATGAAAAGAAAGCCTCGGCAAACGAGCTATTTGGCCAAGCTTCCTTCCAAGATGCGCTAGATACCTATGATGCCGCCGTAGCGGCCTGTCCGAACTATCTGGACTACGAAATCGCGGTGCTGAAGAGTAATATCTCGGCGTGTCATTTGAAGCTTGAGGATTGGAAGGAGGCGGTTAAGGCTGCTAGTGCTGCGCTGGATGGGCTTGATAAGCTACAGGGGAAAGGCGATGATGGGAAACCAGATGTGAAGGAGGTGAAGGAAGATGATGGGGAGGAGATTGAGGAGATTATCAGTGAGGGTGCTACGAAGGCGGAGGATACAAGTGACAAGGGGAAGAGGGAGGCGGATATTGAGAGGATACGGGCGAAGGCTTTGATGAGGAGGGCTAGAGCTAGGAGTGAGATTGGGGGGTGGGCTACGCTTCAGGGCGCTGAGGATGGTAGGGGATTCCTTTCTGGAGAGATTTTGGGTGGAACTGATGTGAAGCAGATTATAATGCGTTGTCTAAGATGCCGAATCTTTCTGTGGGAGATAGGAAGATTGTTCAGCAGCAACTGGTTAAGATTCCGCCTAGGAGGAAGGCAGCTCAGGAGGAGGAAATGGGAGAGATGATGGGGAAATTGAAAGGGGTTAGTAATACATCCTCTTGCCCTTACAAAGCTAACTATTCTTCTGTCAGTTGGGCAATAGTATCCTGAAGCCTTTTGGACTTTCGACAGATAATTTTAATATGGTGAAAGATGAAAAAAGCGGTGGATACAGTATGAATTTCAATCAAGGAAGTTCTTCATAATATAGATATAGGTAGCAATCCCAAGCCACATTCTATACATTACTGTATCCTTCACGATGTTAACTACAAACTTTCTACAGTACTGATCTCCGGCATTCCTTACTGATTATGGCCATGTGAAATAGTTTAACACTGCAACTACCTTACGTATTCAAGTACTGAACATGATGCCCCTCTATTACCCCTCTATCCACCACCCTATCAACCCCTCATATCCCCAACACGTGCATCCCACTTCTACTACCAGACTTTAACTGCATATAAACCTCTCCCATTCCATCAACTTGCCTCAAAGCCGGCCCCCATTCTAACACCCCACGCTAGAAAAGAAAAAATAAACCAGCCAATCCCCTCTCCACACAACAACATGAACCCTTCCTACAGCTTCTCGGCTCCTTCCCATACTTAATCTGAATACAGTACAAGCTCCTCCCTCCCCTATCAAACTTCCAAGCTCAAGTTACTAGACTTACTTTTCCCGGTCCTTTTCTCCATAGCAAAAACAGCTGTACTAGATCTAATACGAAGTACCCACGGGATAAATGAGGAGGTATTCAGTTGACGGACGGCTTCACAACTTGTCATGACATGCAGACGAGACGACTTATACCCCTGTACAGCATGGACGTAGTAAGTCTAAACAGAAAGACAGATGCAGCGGATAATAATGAACGGGAGGATCTATGCTCGCACGTATGATCTTAACCTCAAGATGCGTGTTGCTGGATCAGGACATGTGTATTCTGCCCCACCACCACCCACTCCACTACATGTATACATGCATTCATGCATGCCATGTTGTCGTGAGGCATTATTGGTGCACGCACTTATAACAGGGGAACTACTGTACTATTCATGACGGAAGTCTCTTTTCCTCGCTCGCGAGTAAGGTATTATAACTGACGTGTTCGTGTACTCGGTATCCATCTCTCTTCTTTGTCTATAAGTAGTCAAGTAATATAATATCATCTTTTGCTGAAAATACAAAGCAATAGCAAAGAGTTCATTCGTATCAGAATGACAATCACTACCCCCTCCTCCTCCTCCTCCACCAGCCCACTCCTAACTCTCACCTCCCCCACCCTCTACCTACCAACAATCTTCCACCAACTCCTCAGCACCACCACACTCTTCCTCCTACCCCCCCTAATCGTTCTCCAACAATCCTATTACATCGCGCAACTCCTGCTGCTGCACTGCGCGAGAAATGTTAGCTGGATGGTAGGCAGGAGTTGGAGGGTGGGCGAGAAGTTGAGGGAGAAGATTTATTTTGAGGTTATGGTGTTTGTGTTGGGGGGAGGGAATGGAGTGCTTTTGCTGTTGTTTTGGCCTGGGTGGATTCTGGTTTGGGTGGTTTGGGTCATTTGGATGATTCGGGGTTGAAGAGAGAGAGAATTAAGTTTAGAAGAAAGAAGGTATGCTTGCCTGTTAAAGAGCTACATATTTGGGGTATCTAATTAAGGGATCTATAGACGGCCCTCCTATCATGCTGAAATACTCGTCTTATGGGATGGCAAAAGCTGCCTAAGGGAGAGTCTATGTCTGCTCGGAACGCAAAGTAAGCGAGATGTTGCATGTGCCCGCGGAGAGACCGCTTCATGCTGTGTACTGTACATCACAGAACGTGCAACGTGCTGATAAGATCTCCAGATTATGAATCAGTACTGAAATCAATTATAATCAAAGCTATTGCAGTCCCAAAATAAATAACCTAAAGAACGCGGGCAAGCTCCAGGCACTACCAAATTGTTGAACGCCTCCATACATACAATACATACATGCAAAATCAAGTCCGAATATAGTCGGCGACAAAGCCGACCCATCTACCGGCTGCGGCTTAGAACCCCAATCTGAACCCAAATCTTCTTAGTTTCTGGGTATTTAGAAATGAAATCAGAAAGAAAGTCATCATCCGCGTAACGCAGTTGACCGTTGCGAACCGTCTCGTTCTTGTTAGCCATGTAATTAATTAGGAAGCGAATGTCCTCCGCGTCGTTTTGTTTCTTCACGCGTTCTCGGCTCGAATTCGCATATGAAAAGCACTTGAAATTGAGAATATTAACTGGCTTCAGAACAGTAATCCCTTGTATGTTAATTGTCTCGATACTGCCGTTGAATTGTTGGTGAATGTGTGCTGGCTCCATGATATCCAGATTATAATGTTCCCCGTTCGACGCGTTGTACCAGGTGCGCATTAAGCGTCCCTCTACCCCGAAGCGAGCCAGATGGCGAAGCGTTGACACGACTGCTCTTTTTCTTCCTTGCTTTACAACAATATCAATGTCGTATGTACCACGCTTCGAGCCTAGCAAACTGCATGCTGCTCCTCCAATCAAAGCATATGGTTCGTTGTTCAGAGCTTGTCCAGTAGCTTGGCACGCTTCGGCGATGATTTGGGGCTCCATGAACTGTAACGAGATTGCGGGGGGCATTGTTTGAAGGTGGACGCGTGAACCACTACGTTGGGAGCGGTGAGCATTGGTTGCACGACGACTGGCTGGGGTCGTTCTTGGGGACCTGAGCTGTTTCCAAAACACATGACGATTGAGTTGAGAATGGTGCTGGTATGTGTATATATGTGTATCGATGCGTGAATCGTGGGATAATGGCACAACGTGAATGAAATTTGAATCACCGCGAGTTTAGTAACGGGATCAAAGACTGGAAGGATTGCGTACTGATATGACTTTTCACAACGTCTGACATTTGGTTAATATATAGATTTCAGCCCGTTGAACCAACGTGCGGACGAAGATGTTGGAACTTTAGGTCTTTCGATCAACAGCCCGTTGAACCAACGTGCTGACGAAGATGTTGGAACTTTGGGTCTTTCGATCAACAGCCCTTTTCTGGCCTCACGAAGGCTAGCATCGTCTCGCAATCCAACTTCCAAATGCAAACGAGCCATAGAAGTTGCGAAGGCTGAGCTTAACGAAATGTTCATAGTCGCCATCAACCCTTTCAAACGTCCTGATAGAAATAGCTCACGGAGTACAGCGCGCGGCAAGCAAGATCTATGCTGGTATGGCGGTCAATTAAAGACACGGCGTTAATTGACCTTCCCATACTTTATTTAGCCGCCGTATTCCACTTCGGCTAACTCGTCAAGCAATAAACCAGTGCGTCGAAACCCCCCTCCCCGCTGTCCCGGGCTGACAATACTTAAGCGCCGACCACTTTATGAGAACTTTCATTCACACCTCTAACCTATATCGCCCCGAATAGTCATGTCTCCATCTCATCTCCTGAACCTTCGACGCTTCTCACAATGGTTCTTGAAGCATTTTGATAAGCTTCATCAGCTAGTGGCTCCGTCTAAATGACTTGGCGACACTCTCGACGACGTATTCGTACCGGCTGCAGAAAGCTCAAGATATCTACCCTGTCGTATTCTTTATGCAGCAGGCATTCCCTGCATAATATGGGGTGAAGATGCTCTGACAGCTTACGATATTCCTACAATTGTGTTTGACCTCTTTCTCTTGGTACACGACCCCGAAAGCGCAGCACTCGTGCTGGCTTCTCACGGTTTCACTCGCACTACACCAAATTCGAGATTCTATGACATACCACAGATGAGCGACAATGTTCCCCGACTAGCTCAGGTATCTGCGAGCACTTTTCACAATAAGACAGATCTACCGAAGGCAGACGATGTAACAGCTCCGGGCGTGATACTGCTTCCGGCCAAATATTGGCACTATAAGCTTCCTCAGACTGTCGAAGAGATCGAAAACTTCGTCCCACCATTGTCGACCTTGCTCAATACTCTCATTGACTTCTGGATTGATCTTCCTCCAACTGATGCATCACTACGTGGACATATCGCGATACACATCGGATATTTCTACCTCTATAATCAGGACATACGAAAGCCAAATTTTGAAAACGAACTTGCGGCCGAAAATCGCCAGGTCCATTTTGAAATGCTGCAGGATAACGAGTCGCCATATACCGCTCTCACGACGAAAAGGTGTCAGGAGTTACATCGAAACATTAGGGATCAAATTCGACTTGGTCAATACGAGCCGAAAAGCTATTCGGAAGGGTGCTAAAATGTTGGTCCCAAGCTTTTGACATAGAGTGCAAATGCTCACTAAGGGACTGTGAGTTGCGAGTGAAGAACAAGGGTGAAGAATCAGGTTCGAAATAGAGTACGTAAATTATTCTAAAGATAACTTTACTACTCCCTATTTGCCTTCCATCAATACTCTTCTCCAAGTCTTTGGAGTAGTCAATTCGGCACCGCAAGAAAAGACACGCTTACATCATTGCAGATACCAGCTCTGCAAACATTTCATGCATCTACCTCGCAACTAATCACTCTGTTTGTTGCAGGTTGCGGAAGAAATGTTCGACAGCCAATATTTATTTCTTAAGTAAACATCTCGAATATTGACCAAAGAAAGGGTGCATGTAACTTCATCTTGGATTAATCTGGATCATAGAATGAAATTCAAGGTTCTGCTATATATCTTGGCATGTGGCGCTTTCCCACGTGTTCTCCCAAAATGTGCGAAGTTGCTCGCGCTTGTCCTGTGTTGTGTTTTGTAGGGGGCTCGAGTTCGAGTTTCGATAACGCTATGTAGATAGCTGGGAGACATGTTGTATGGTCCTCCCTGCGTGGTCCCCATTAGAGACTGCTTGTGAAATGGGCTCTGGGGCAGATGTATTACCGAACATTCGCTAAATGGGCGATCAATAGTAATTATTCTCTAACTCAAGAGTGATTGGCGGTGTCATTAAACACTAAATGTTACGTGACCAGTGTACCATCTTGTATAAACAACTGGTGAAAGAGATGCCAAAACACTCGTCTTATGGGATGGCAAGAGCTGCCTTTGCAGAAGGAGAAGACATGCTCATACGACGGCGGATGAACAACAACACCCATTCTTATGGTTCCAGGTCGAGTGGCACATCATCAATCAGGGGTATAGCTGCCATGTTTCTAGAACCCGGGAGGGTCCTATGAGAAGAAGAAGGCGTTCCCACCAGCGTCTCTCTTCACTTCCTTCTGGTAGTCCTTTTCTGGGTCGAATTCTTGCCATACGCTGGCGGGGAAAATATGCTTGTTCCGTTCGTACCAGCGGCGATCGACGACCTTCGTATATGTTGGATCGTCGGCAGTACCCTCGAGGTCTTTCTTGTCTGTGGGGACATCCTTTGGCTTGGTCTTCGAGGGGACGGATAAAGGGTTATATGTATCAAGGTTGATTTCGGAACTAGGTGGGGTTGATTTGCTGGGTGGCTCGGAACTGTAATCGAAGAGGAGGCGGTTGCCAGGGCCAAGTGTGTGGTTTATTACGAAGTAGTAGAAGTCATAATGCTGTCATATAGTCAGCGTCGTTTCGATTGCAGCTTTCCAACGTGCCAATCGGCATGAAAGAACAAGATCGATGCTGCTGATGAGGGTTTTGACTTACGTGAGGTATAATGATATTCCCTCTAACCATCATCAAATCATCCACTCCAATCCTCGCCCACTCCCTCCTGCTATTTACCTTCTCTCCAACACCCAAATCAGCACCAACTTTCCTACTCCTATCCAAAAATACCCACGCATAATCTCCCTTCTTAATCGTACACACTCCACCCGGTATATTCGTCCCATCGTAAAACACAAACGGTATATTGATCTCCGTCGCCTTAACCGCTTCCTGAAGCACCAAAAACTCCTTCCTTAAGCTCTCCCTAGTCTGCGCCTCTTTCAATAACGCAGACTTTGTCAGAAGCCTCGGTGCAAGGGCCACGTTGGAATTGACACCCTTCTTCTTCGCAACGCTGTCCTTCGCAGACAGCGGCGTTCCTGACCGAGGAGAAGCAGAGCCCGAGAGCGGCGTCGCAGCATCTGTACTCTCTCCATCATCTTCTTCATCCATGCCAAATGATAACTTCGGTGTTCCGACCTTGCGTTTCTTCTTCTTCACAGGGGGTTCCCTTGGTGTAGATGCACTGTACTATGGCCATTAGTCCTGCCTCGATTTAGATAAAGAAATACAGGATACTACTCACCCGTCAGGCGTCGCGCGACCACTGGCAGTGCCACTGATTGTGCCAGTACCAGTAAGCAGATCTTGGGTATCTCGTTCCTTCTGCTCAAGAGCTTCTGCGCGTCGCTTTCGGAAATCAGACAGGTTTACAAGACCGACTGTCTGCGTGCTGAGGAGGTCTTCTGCCGTCTTTTTCTGTGATGTGAAGCGGGCATTGGGTGTAGAAGCACCCGAGGATGGGTTGGATGCCATCTTTGGTAGAGGTGGGTATGTTGCGCCGGATAGAAAGCAATGTTGACGCAGGTTGAAAGACTACAGAATGTTGGTGGAGGTTAAATGCTGAGGCGGGGAGCAGAACAGAAATGGAGGATCGGCGGTTGCAGGGATTTAAGCATCGGCCCAAGACTTGGAGAAAAGGGGCTTAGCCGATTTGTCCAACGTCGCTCGGAATATGATCTCGATCACGACTTCATGGTATTCTAAACTTTCCCATCTGGTAAGATATACGGTTACGGTCAAAGGGATCAACTGACTGCCCAGTGGCAACCTTTTCAATACCAGTATGCATTAGTTTATATTTTTCATGTCATTAGTACTTCGCATACCTAGATAATAATCAACTCGTTCACTTCATCTACTGTTATTAGATAGTACGGGCTATTCAGTGTTCCGTTCTCGTTTTTCAAGTAATCAACAAATATCATTCTCCCTTTCAGTTTCTTTCTAGGTTATCTATTCTCTTCCTCTAGATTGACCCCACGCCCTTTAACCAAAATGCTCGTCTCAGAAGCCATTGGTGTAGACTACCAATACCTAGACGAATGGTACGAGAACCTCAAGTCCGCCCCTACCACAGATGACAAGATAAAATGGCGCAACATGCTCGTATGGAATACCGCCCGCCACGCAATCAGCGAAGAGCTTACCGTCTACCCAGCCATGGAAAAGTGGCTCGGAGAAGAAGGCTAATCCCTCACAAAAACAGACTTCGAGCAGCACCAAGCCGTACCCTCACCTCATCTCCCCTTCATCTTCTCTAAATCCCAGCCTCCCAAACTCACATCCGCTCTTACATTACAGGTCAAAGAAGATCTCTACACACTCCAATCCCTTTCGCCCTCAGACCAAAACTTCGCCCCTCTCCTCGAGCACCTAATGCACGACCTGCACACCCACATCGAGCACGAGAAAACCGAAGGCATGCCTCATCTCGAAGCCAAACTGTTCCGTGAGGAAAGCGAGTAGATCGCCAAGAGTTTCATGCGCACGAAGCAGTTCGTACCTACGAAGAGCCATCTGGGGGCGCCGACGTTTAGTCCGCTTGCAGAGGGACTGGCGGGGTTGTTGGCTGCGCCGGTGGATAAGCTGAGGTATGTCAGATCAAAGTATCTCCTTATGGACTGTTTTGTTTTCTGCCTGGTATGGCAGGCTTTGAGAATAGTTGGTTTCAGCTAACTGGCAGATAGGACGATGATGGAGAGCTTTCCGGATGAGGAAACGAAGAGTGCGGAGGTTGATTAGAGGAGTTTATTGTGACAAAGGTTTGGTAGGGTTTTGAGTTTGATGTAGCTTGCCTCGGGGTTGAGCGTAGGTGTAGTTTGTCGGTACAGTGTATGCATGATAATTTCTCATCCTCGAAAGAATATCGCGTTCTTTACTACTCTAGAAGGCCGGCTCTCTTTGTCTGAGTTCAGTCTAGCTGGATTGTGTGACAGTTATGGAGAAGTTTCAGAAAGAGTACAACCATCTTTCTCAGACCAAGCAAACTAATGATCGTGCACCGGGTCGCGCGGGGTGTGAATGCTTTAAATAGATAGGAACTTGGACTTGGATGTTCAACATCAATGAAGATCACTACTCCATGATTGGCATAGTCTCACGCTTTATGGTCAATTCACAAGAGGACAAAACAGTAGTTGTATGAAATCCATGACGATCTAAAGGAAAACCCATTGTGAGCTAAAGATGATGCTATTGTAACACATGGACGTCGTCCAGTCCAACACTGAACCGCTCGAAGGGAAAGAAGTCCCAGCACTTGGTTTCTTCTTTCACCGCATCCATCTTCCTCTTCCCCCTTCACGTCTCATTACCAAAACTCCAGGAAACTTTCAGACTCCTCTCCATAACGCCAAATAAAGAAAGGCAACGCCATCTGTATGAACGGACGTCCGTCGCCTGTGCAATGCAAAAAGAACGCCGCGACCCCATGCAATGCTGGAATTCGTCAAAGATACGTGAATTGTTGTACAGGGATTATCGTTCGTATCATTATGTAGGGACAAAAGGAAACGCTGCGTGTATGGTTCTACGTCGGTCTAGTGAATAAACGTATTGGGGAATGACATGTAGATGCGCAGACGGTTGGTTATCGACGGTGACGAAGAGCAACCGTTAGAATATGAGAGCTGGGGGGTTGTGAACGACATCGCCGTATCCAAATTTCGAATACCTGACCAGCACTACATTCGAATGTCGGTGTTGTACAGACTCCCAAGCCCTCCAGTAAATCGAAGGTGGAATCCAAATCTCATGACCAGTGCAAGCAATATGCAGATGAATAGCGAAAGGTGGTGGAAAATCAAAAACGAGGTTGTATATAAGAGTCCATTTCACCTGATCCCTGTAGTGCGTCTTGAGAAGTAGGCGTGGTGTCAATGTTGTTTGCCAAGTGAATAGCGCACTAGACAAAGAAACCAAAAGCATTGTCAAGGAAACCAAGTGCCTCGTCGATTTCCGGGTGTCCTTCGCTATCGAAGTTTCGTGGTCCATTTGGGTCGAGAGTCAGATCTGGGAGCAGATCGCCGCGTGCAAGGGCCAGCTCCTTGCTCCAATCGAAAGCCAAAGTTATGTGAACCTCGGTGATACCATCTGCATTCTTGGGATGACCCTCGAGTCCGTAGACCATTTGGCCAATGCAATGAGCATGGGGGAAGCCAGGCAGAACCCATGACGCATTACCCTGGACGGCGTTGAATGCACGAGCGTATGTTCGAAGCTCGTTTAAGAGCAGGCGGTCGGCCAATGCGTGATCGACTTCGAGGACATCGCAGATGCGCTTTTTAAACTCATTGTCCAAGTCCATGCGCTCCATCTCCTCTAAATAATCAGGCGACTCATTGAGCCGAATGGCGTTCTGAATAGTTGCTGTGGCATTGATTGCAGCAGCTCGGACTGAACGTTTTCTAGACGGGGTTGGGTTGGTTGCCGCAGCATTACCGAACAAGACAGAATTGTTGCTACGGCCTCGAAATTTTACTGACCGCGCACCAGAAGCACGTCGCTTGGTAGGCGTATCGCCGTAATTGTCATCACTGCATCCACCGGACTGCTCCTCCT